AAACAATGTTTCATTTCTATATGTTTTCTTGAAATTTAACCTTTTATTTTCACCGAGTTCATCCGAAGATTGAACGTTAAATGTCGTAAGTAAAAAGGGTTGTTGTATTTGTGTACATTTTCTTTCAGTTCTTTCCATTCTATGCTGGATATTTTCATCTGATGTTGGAGTCTTTTGTATGTGGGAACATTTTTCGATATTCTTCTACTATGTCAGCCGAATTTTTCTTAGACTCTTGGAAAGATTCCATATTCTCCGCATACTCTTGTTGAGGGTCAAGAATTTTCGGCTGTTCCAAATCTTCATCTAGTTCTGTGAGTTAGTTTCCAAAGGAGGGACTTGTTCGTTTCCTTCAGGCTCTTCTAGCTGTTGTTGCTGAACTATTTCTTCCATGTCTGGTTGTATCTGAACTGTTCTTCCTGTGGAGTTTCTTGTACCTCATCTGCTGGCATTTCATATATTCCGAGACCGTTTTTAACAATTTCCCTATCTAAGTCATCCGGATTCATAACTTTTTTTCTTTCGTTCCGTCTCTATTTTTTACGCGTTTCAATACGAAAGTTGAATTTCATTTAGCTCTGACACAAATATCTCGGAGTAAATTCATCCATGTCATTTGGATGATATGCTATTAAATCATATCCCTTAGCGAGCTTGTATTTTCCAGGTTTGAGATTATATCCGTTTTGGTGCTGACCATAAAGCTAAATAGGTCCGGGTCAGTATTTCCTCCTTGAACTTTCTAATAGCTTCTTTATATCTGTCACTAAAGTCAATATATCTGGGAACCAAATTTCTTTAAGCATTTTTAAGAATTCTTGGTTTCCTTGTTCTCTACTTCTTTTATGTCCTTGCTCTGTTTGTGGTTGTTGTTGTGCAGGGTTTTGAACTGTTGGTTGCTGTGCTGTTGTTTGTGCTGGTTGTGGAGGTGGTTGTTGTGCTGTTGTGTGTTGGTTTGTGTTGGTTTTGGTGCATGCCTGTGTCTGTGTCCATGTGACGATGTAAATGTTTTAGGTAGTCCTGGTGCAGGTGCTTCTCTTGGAAGGTTTGGTGGTATATAAGTTCCACCAGCTGGCACATATGTTCCATCTGCAGCGTAATGTCCTACCTGACTTTTCGTTCTTAAGAAAGCATTTACTAGGTCTGTTTTGGTCTGTTGTAACTCTTTTTCTTGACTTTCCACAACAGTTGCTCTAACGGCGTCATAGCACTTTGAACTGCCTGTCTCGTTGCTGCATCTGTTATTTTCGTCATATTTTGTGCTACTTCTCTTAACTCTTGTCGAAACCTTCAGACTTCAGTTTCTTTCCAGATGAGAAGTCGTTCACTTTTTACCTTACTATGAAGAGCTTCGAAGGCGTTCTTAAAGTCAGCATTCTTAAAGCTTCATTTGAACTGTCTTCATCCGCTTGTATTTTTGTCCTTATTGACCCTATAAGTGGGCTGCTTTAGCGTTGGCTTGGGCATCTAACCAGTCATTTTAGCTTTTATATATTCTGCGCTTTTCATTGCCTTTTGCATGGCTGCGTCGTTATTTTTACTTTCTGTGCTAAGTTTTCATACTGTACGGTTTGGTTTTGCAACTGTAAAAGTTTTTCTGCCTTTACATTTGCTTCAACTTCTTTTTTATACTCATCGCTATCCATATATGTCTTCAGGGCTTTTTGTTTTATTCTCTTCATCTTTCAGTACTTTATATCGAGTAGTATGGTTTTTCAAATTTTAACATCTTGTTCCATTTTTGCTACTTCTGCTGCTTTTTCTGACACTTTTTTCGCAAATTCTCTGTACTTAGTTCTTTCAGTTGTTCTTCTTCTTCTTTTTCTCTACGTTTAACTCATTGAGTTTCTTTGTGTGTCTGTCATATTCTAGTTTCTTTTCGTTTTCACTTATTTGTTCTGTATGTCTATGTTTGACTTTTTGACATCTGATATTTGATTTTTGAGTGAACTCAAATTCATTTGACTTTGAGGGTTATAAGCTGTTCCGTCTGCAGCTCCACCATAGCCTGCCATTTTCGCTAAAAGTGCCGCTCTTAAACCTCCACTCTGTGCACCAAACTCGGTTTAAAAGCATAGGATTGCTTGACATTTGTTGCAACATAGTGGGGTCATTCATCATTTGTTGTTGCAACTGTTGTTGTGGTGTTAGTTTACTATTGGATGTTTCAATGCTCTCTTCCTCTTACGTATATTCTTACGTAGCTTACGTGGCATTTTAAGTGAAGTTAAAAAACATTTACGATGAAGAAGTTTCGACAAAGCATTTACGAAGAAATCATGAAAATTCAAGAGGTGAGAAAACAGGTGAGAAAACGGGTGACATCTCACCTCTTCACCTAAATTATATTTTTGGGTCATTTACGCTCATTACGATGAAATCATGACAAAACATTTACGATGAAGAAGTCTTGACAAAACATTTACGAAGAAGTCTTGACAAAACATTTACGAAGAAATCTTGACAAATTCAAGAGGGTAGAAAAGAGGTTAGAAAAGAGGTTATATCTAACCTTCTACCCTAAACATTATTTTGTCTGATTTTACGAAGAAGTCTTGACAAAACATTTACGAAGAAGTTTGACAAAACATTTACGAAAGAAGTCTTGACAAAACATTTACGAAAGTCTTGACAAAACATTTACGAAGAAGTCTTGACAAAACATTTACGAAAGAAGTCTTGACAAAACATGAAAAATATATAATTTGTGAAAAGCTCCTGGAAGACCTCCGAATAAAAACTTCATTTATGTGGGCTAGAAGGCACGAAGTGCCTGGAAGGTCACCCCAAGAAAAAAAACTTCATTATACTCATTCATCCTCAGGGCTAAGAAGGCAACGAAGTGCACATCTGCCACTGCCATTAAACCTTTTGAAACACTTACGCTTCTATTTTTCGGAAATGACATTTTACTTAGAATAAAAAGATGGACGTATTCGAGTATCTCTTCGAATTGAAGCAGAACAAAGTTTACACACACAAACAATACAAATACATTGACAGAATAGTTCTTTATACAAACAATGGTAAATGTTATAGAATAGCAATATTTGCTGAACCAAAATATTTCCATAAAGCAAAGAAAGTTGGTATAACTGAAATGGTGAAAGTTCTTGAAGCAGACAAAAATATAACTTCAAAACTTACAGATATTTCTAAAGGAAAGTTTATAATACAATATTATGTCAAAACTGGCGTACTGTCAATATTTGACGGAGAGAAGTCAGTTCAAGAACAACTTACTGACCTGCTGCCAAAATCTGCTCGATGGAAGCTGTCGTTATGCCAATCTGAGGAGCCCCAGCAGGTTTCATCGAACGAATCTTCAAAAGAGCATCTTCCGTGAAAAGTGCTATTGGTTTTGTAAACTTCTTTGCTCTCAATTCATCTGGACCGTCTCTGTCACCAGTATATTGTATTTGTACAGTACCAACAGTTGAAATACCACCATAAAGTCTTCTGAGTCAGCAAATGGAATGCCAAGCCAAAAGTTTGAACGGTCTCCATTTGTATATTGAGTTTTTTGACCTCCTGTATGAGTCCATACTTTCACATATGGCATAATAGAAACTTTGCATTTCAGGGTTAATGGTTGTGTGTGAAGTTGTTGTTAAAGTTCATAGCATCTAATGTCAAGTTGTATGACCTCATATCCTCAACTGTAGAATATTCTTCTCTTGGATAATATTTGCCATCTATGTTTATATGATATTTAATACCGGGGTGTAGAAACAAGAATAGTCATTTATAGTTCGTCTGAACAGTACAAACATAGTATCTGCATGTTTCATTGCAGTTGTTAAAGCAATATCTGTTCTTGCACCTGGGTCAGCACTTTGGTTTCCAAACTTCACCTGCAAAGTCTTTGACAGATATTTGGTGTATAGGGAACATAAGTGGAACTGCAATATATTTGGCAGCTAAAGCATTTGAAATATCTGGGTCCAACATATAGACTGCAAGTCTGCTTTCTATTCTCTTGCATTCAAACTTTTCGCATGTAAACTTAACTGGGTCCCAAGCAGTTCCAGCAGCATTGAAATAATAGTTTACTTCATTGTTGAAGTTTGAGAAACCAAAGTCTAAGTCAACTTTGTCTTTGCAAAGTCGGCGAATGACGTTTTATTTGTTCCCATTACGTCTGTAAGAGTTGAATGGGTCTTGTGTTGGTGCAATGACTAAGTATTATTTTGCTTGGAGTAAGTTCGATAGAAATTTTTCCTGCCCAGTTTGGCAAGTATCTTAAAAAACCTGAAGATGAGGAAAGATGACAAAGGAACTCTAAGTTTCAGTTTTACTTTAGTGGCAGCAGTTCCATCTGAACCAGAAAGGTTAACATAAACTCCTGGAACGTTAGGGTCAAGTCTATTTTTTTCAATATTTGCATACTGGTCTGTTTGTTCTCTAGCTTGTGGTTGTACTGAGTTTCTCAAAGCGAACCATTCATAGTTTGCCCATGTTACTGTTTGAACTAAGTCAGAGTTAGAATATATCTTATATCCCATGAAAACTTCTGGAGCATATTGGTATCCGACATAGAAAATTCCATTGCAACCTTTCTTGTCAGACAACTTGGCAGAAGGTTTTATTTCAATGTCTTGTTCCACGTATAAGAATGAGTTGTCAATAGAAATAATATGAAACCTGTCCGCAAGCAATATCTACTGTTGTTGAGAACCTTCTCCAAACTCACCTACGTTTCCATAAGAAACAGCAGTTGTATATTCGTAAGTTTCCAGGAACTATTTCTGACCTTCTAATGGCATTGTCGCATTCGTTTATACCATTCGGAAACATTTCCGTTCATGGCATCCAAAACTGTGGCGTTATATTCTGAGCGGCGTACATTCATATGGGTAAAATATAGAATAGTTGGATTTATGTGTCATAATAGAACCCACTCGTACCAAGCTTTACTTTCTTCCTGACTGAGTTTTTAACTCTTCTTTTTCCTTCATTGCCACTACTTTCACTAGATGAAGTAAACTTCTTCACTACTTTCACTTTGTTCTACTCTTCTTCTTTGGTGTCGCTTTTGGTAACTTGCCCTCTGCTTCAAGTTGTTGCATCTTTGCCTCATGTTCACCTAGTATGTTGTAAATTTCCCATGTCCTTTTTGCCTTTGGGCTCTGGTCGCCCATCTCAGGTAACCTATATCCTAGAAAGATTTTGTCATAGTTTGTATTTGAGTCTTCGCGTATTGTTTGCATGACTCTTTCCTGAGTTTCCGGTTCAAGCTCTTCAAACAGAGCTTGTCCATATGGAATAAGCTCGTTTCCAAATATATGTTTTTGTAGCCATTCTGGTTTTCTTTCCATGTTACCAATAATATCTTTTGTGAATGGGAAAGCTTTTACCCAACGTTTCAGGCTTGCGTCATTTATTTCTGTAGTTGGTTTTATTTTGTCAAGGAACATGTTTTTCAATACTAACATTTCATTTGGTACTGTCCATTTGAGTTTTCTTAAATATTCATCCCTTCTCGGTTCATTGTCTGCAAAGTAAGTTTTTATGACATTTTGCAAACTTTCGTTTGCAAGGTCATGTACAATAGGTTCTCTTCCTTCTCTCTCCCTAACTTTCTTTCTAAACTCTTCACCAAATATACCATCTTTATGGTTCTGTGTAGTTCTTTGAGATAAATGTTCTAGAACGTCAGGTGTTATATTTCCATCAGCCATGTTCATTTCATACTGGTTCAAAATATCTGCATCTTTCATATCTTTCAATGGCATTAAAGCCGCGCTGAAAATACCAGCTATATCTGGTTCACCATTCACTTCCATTGCGTCTACAACTTCTTGGAATTGAGGTTGTAAGTTTATGAACCACCTATCCGGATTAGCTTTATGACCCCATCTCATTGTAGTTCCATAGTCTGCAGAAACAAAAGTAGGTTTGTTTCCATATTGGTTAGGTTCTGAATGAACTTTAAACAATGTTTCATTTCTATATGTTTTGGTGAAATTTAACCTTTTATTTTCACCGAGTTCAGCCAAAGATTGAACGTTATATGGTCGTAAGTAAAAAGGATTGTTGTATTTGCGTACACTTTCTTTCAGTTCTTCCATTCTATGCTGAATATTTTCATCTGATGTTGGAGTCTTTTGTATGTCGGCGAACATTTTTCGATATTCTTCTACTATGTCAGCCGAATTTTTCTTAGACTCTTGGAAAGATTCCATATTCTCCGCATACTCTTGTTGAGGGTCAAGATTTTTCGGCTGTTCCAAATCTTCATCTAGTTCTGTGAAGTTAGTTTCCAAAGGAGGGACTTGTTCGTTTCCTTCAGGCTCTTCTAGCTGTTGTTGCTGAACTATTTCTTCCATGTCTGGTTGTATCTGAACTTCTTCCTGTTGAGTTTCTTGTACCTCATCTGCTGGCATTTCATATATTCCGAGACCGTTTTTAACAAGTTCCCTATCTAAGTCATCCGGACTCATAAACCTTTCTTCTTTCGTTCCGTCTCTATTTTTTACGCGTTTCATGAAGAGAGTTGAATTATCATTTAGCTCTGACACCAAATATCTCGGAGTAAATTCAGTCATGTCATTTGGATGATATGCTATTAAATCATATCCCTTAGCGAGCTTGTATTTTCCAGGTTTGAAATTATATCCCATTTGGTGCTGAACCATAAAGCTAAATAGGTTCGGGTCAGTATTTCCTTCCTTGAACTTTCTAATAGCTTCTTTATATCTGTCACTAAAGTCAAGAGTATCTGGGTAACCATAATTTTCCTTAAGCATTTTTAAGAATTCTTGGTTTCCTTGTTCTCTACTTCTTTTATGTCCTTGCTCTGTTTGTGGTTGTTGTTGTGCAGGGTTTTGAACTGTTGGTTGCTGTGCAGTGTTTTGAACTGTTGGTTGTGGTGCAGTGTTTTGAACTGTTGGTTGTGGTGCAGTGTTTTGGTGCATGCCTGTGTCTGTGTCCATGTGACGATGTAAATGTTTTAGGTAGTCCTGGTGCAGGTGCTTCTCTTGGAGGGTTTGGTGGTATATAAGTTCCACCAGCTGGCACATATGTTCCATCTGCAGCATAATGTCCTACCTGACTTTTCGTTCTTAAGAAAGCATTTACTAGGTCTGTTTTGGTCTGTTGTAACTCTTTTTCTTGACTTTCCACAACAGTTGTTCTAACGGCGTCATAGGCACTTTGAACTGCCTGTCTCGTTGCTGCATCTGTTATTTTCGTCATATTTTGTGCTACTTCTCTTAACTCTTTGTCGAAACCTTCAGACTTCAGTTTCTTTCCAGATGAGAAGTCGTTCACTAGTTTCACCTTACTATGAAGAGCTTCGAAGGCGTTCTTAAAGTCAGCATTCATTAAAGCTTCATTTGAACTGTCTTCATCCGCTTGTATTTTTGTCCTTATTGACCCTATAAGTTGGGCTGCTTTAGCGTTGGCTTGGGCATCTAACCAGTCATTATTAGCTTTTATATATTCTGCGCTTTTCATTGCCTTTTGCATGGCTGCGTCGTTATTTTTACTTTCTTGTGCTAAGTTTTCATACTGTACGGTTTGGTTTTGCAACTGTAAAAGTTTTTCTGCCTTTACATTTGCTTCAACTTCTTTTTTATACTCATCGCTATCCATATATGTCTTCAGGGCTTTTTGTTTTATCTCTTCATCTTTCAGTACTTTATATTGAGTAGTATGGTTTTTCAAATTTATAACATCTTGTTCCATTTTTGCTACTTCTGCTGCTTTTTCTGACACTTTTTTCGCATATTCCTCTGTACTTAGTTCTTTCAGTTGTTCTTCTTTCTTCTTTTTCTCTACGTTTAACTCATTGAGTTTCTTTGTGTGTCTGTCATATTCTAGTTTCTTTTCGTTTTCACTTATTTGTTTCTGTATGTCTATGTTTGACTTTTTGACATCTGTTATTTGATTTTTGAGTGAACTCAAATTCATTTGACTTTGAGGGTTATAAGCTGTTCCGTCTGCAGCTCCACCATAGCCTGCCATTTTCGCTAAAAGTGCCGCTCTTAAACCTCCACTCTGTGCACCAATAACTCGGTTTAAAAGCATAGGGTTGCTTGACATTTGTTGCAACATAGTGGGGTCATTCATCATTTGTTGTTGCAACTGTTGTTGTGGTGTCAGTTTTACTATTGGATGTTTCAATGCTCTCTTCCTCTTACGTATATTCTTACGTAGCTTACGTGGCATTTTAAGTGAAGTTAAAAAGCGGCTTTTGACAGATGTTTATATGACACTTTTTGTTCAGCACAAAAAACTACTCGGTCAAAGTGTTGTCAGTTTTGTAAAATAACCGTCCTATCTTGTTTTAAAATGGAGAAAAGGCTTCTCAAAGTATACTTCCTTGGAACGCCCGTAACTTTTCCTGTAGCGACGATAGACACTTACTTGTCCGGACAAAGTTATACTAAACATCTTCAGGGCTAGAGGGCACGAAGTGCCTGGAGGCCCCACTACCTTTTTTTTTTTTTTTTTTGACAAAGTTATACTAAACATCTTCAGGGCTAGAGGGCACGAAGTGCCTGGAGGCCCCACTTCCTTTTTTTTTTTTTTATCCTATCTAAGCGCTCATAATTTGTGAGCGTTATTCAAAAAAAATAGATGATAATAGAATTATCGCATTTATTTCGATAGTTTATGATAAACTATAGTGAAAACAGCTAGGGAAAACATTATTATTATGCTTTTCTTCCTAGATACCCTTGTATTCCCATTCCTTATGACTAATTTGAATGTAATCAATGTTTTGTTATGTCAACTAACCACAGCTTGTAAATAATTTTTATTATATTGATATGTATGTCCATAATATAAAGAAAAATAGCAAAGTACGATTATGTCAAAAAAGATAACATGCCAGCCAGGTCTTAACACGCGAGAAAGCGTCAGACTGTTAAGAGATATCATCTTTCTCTGGATTGATGTTTTCCCATTTGTTGGAGTTAAGAAGATAACAGATCTATTAAGAGGTGAATATTAAAAAAAATCATTATAAATTTGAATAAAATAAAAATCGCCAAAATCTGTTTTTATTTTGATGGATAAGATAAAATAAAACTAGATTTTCTTATTTCTTCTTGGCGGCTCCCTTCTTAGCTGGGGCTGCTTTCTTTGCTGGCGCTGCCTTCTTAGCTGGTGCAGCTTTCTTTCCAGCAGCTCCTTTCTTCGCTGGAGCTGCCTTCTTTCCTGCTGCTCCTTTCTTTCCAGCAGCTCCTTTCTTCGCTGGAGCTGCCTTCTTTCCTGCTGCTGCGGCGCCTTTCTTCGCTGGTGCTGCTTTCTTTGCTGCCGCTCCCTTCTTTGCAGCTGCACCTTTCTTCGCTGGAGCTGCCTTCTTTCCTGCTGCTCCTTGCTTTGCAGGAGTTGCGCCTTTCTTCGCTGCGGCTCCTTTCTTTGCCGGTGTCGCTCCCTTCTTTGCAGGAGACTTCTTCGCGGCTGCTGCACCTTTCTTCGCTGGCGTCTTCGGTTCTGGTGCTGCTTCTGGCCCTGGAGCAGGTGCTGGAGCTGATGCGTTGACGTCGACACCAAATCCAACGCCAACGCCCATTCCCATACCACCATCTGGAAGAAGTGGATAAGGAGCGTTCGGATCTCCGCCCATCGGTGGGAATCCGCCATTTGGATCTCCCATTGGAGGGAATCCCATAGGCGGGAAGCCAGCATTGGCACCCATTCCAGGCATTGGAGGATATCCGGACATTCCTGGGTCCGCTGGTGCTGATTCCATCTTTTGGAAGTAATTCTGCGGGGCGTCGAGGTCCTGGCCTTCTTTCGCGAGCTGCTGCATGTCGTCGTCCGGTCGTTGGTTGAAGAACTGTGAAAGAACAACGTGTAAGTTATGAGGTAATAACAAAGGTTCTTGGTTGTTAGCGAGAGCTGCATCGTTGAATGCAAGGACAAACTGAATGAAAGAGTCTTGTTCGCTGATCTTGTTTGCGTTCTCTTTATGAGAAATGCAGTAAAGAATGTACTCGATGACTTCGCAGAAGCGCTCCTTAGAGATACCGTCGTACTCTGGGGATTCTGTAAGTTGTGCGATACTGAAGAGGAACTTGTCGAGAAGTGGATAGTCATTATGAGATAACCTGTTGTTTAAGTCTGCAAGGCTGCCTGTGAAGTCGCCGAATGAAAAGGCGACCTTGGCAATCTCGATGAAACCATCGACGGCTTCCTTGTTTGCGCATGGCTTGCCAGAGTAAAATTCGGATTGTTGGAGAATGATAAGTAAGCAGCGGAAGAGGAAGAAGCGAGAAATTGCCATTAATGCATCGTGCTTGTTGTTGAACTGGCATGTTGCATAAGCGCCAATAACTTGAGCCATATGCTTCAATTGCTTTGGAACAAGGCTGGCTGAGCAGGAAATAAGCTTGAGAGCTGTATGTAATGGAACTTCGATATCAGAAGCTGAAGCCTTAAGACCTTTTGCAAATGCTGGTTTGGAGCAAATGTAGTCAAGAAGTTTGCTTACGAACTTTTCGAAATAGATGGCACCCCAGCGCTCGACGAAGCAATCGACGAGATGGCCGAAGTTTGTCTGTTTTGTAAGGAGATCTTCTGCCTTTGAAACTCCTTCGATATCGATAGCGGCCATCTGGCAAAGGAGGAGGTTGACCTTACCTGCATGGGAGAAAACATCAAGGAGAGAGTCCATGAGCTTCTCACCACGATTCTCGGAATCTGAGTAAGGAGTAACCTTTGGATTGGTAACGCAGCGGACAATAACCATATCTGCGCATGTGTAAGCTTCGAAAAGTGCATGGTAGTATTCAGGAGGAAGTGGTGTCTGGAATGAAGAAAGATAGTATGGGAAAGGTGAGTGTTGCTTAGCGAGAGCGGCACCCCACATCTGAGCCTGGTTGATATCGACAGGAAGGAATGTCTTTACATCGTTACCGGCTTCATCAGTAATAATAACTGATTTTCCATCTTCATGGACACGTGTACGGTTAACCTTGCACTCGAATTCGAGTACGCATGTATTCTTCTTAAGGAGATAAAGCTTAAACTGCTTTGTAGTTGTAAGAAGTGCCCAATAAGCTCTTCTTGAAGGTGGAACAACGCAACGGCAAACAGCACCGAGCTGTGTATTCATCAATGTTGAACGCTTTGTCCAGACTTTTGGGAAAAGAGAGTTTGCAAGCCAATATAAGACTTTGTTGCCATCCTGTGCAGTGTTAGCAATTCTAAGGATGAGATGTAATACAGAATCGACATGTGCAACATGGCGTGGGATTGCTGGAGACCAGTTGAAGCCGATATTGAATGCTGTCTTAATTGGGATCTTCTGACGAATGAATGAGACAAAATCAATTAAGAGCTTCTTCTTTGAATTAACCAATTGGTCATAACTCTGTGAATCGACGAGTTCACAAATTTCGTTAATCGATTCAATTGGATTGGAACCTTGAAATGTTTGCAAAACTTCATAGTTATCATTCTTGGTAGCTTCAAGAACATCTTCATGAATACGGTTAGTTAAAATAACTTTTAATTTGCGGTTATCTTGTGCATAAGGAGAATCATCTGAATCAGTTTTGAAAAGATTAGAAAGATTTGGTTGGATGCGCTGCTTTGGAGGTGGCACATCAGTAGCAGCTGGGGGCTGCTCTTTATTCTCTGCCATATTAATTTTTGCTCTTTTAACGGTTATATAACGCACACATTTGAAAAAGCCAGAATTAGATATATTTATGATATATTACATTTTACCCGAAAATCGTGTTTTGAATGATTCTCGATTATAACCGCTTTTCGTAATGCAAACCACCAATACAATTTTTTTCATTTTCTTTGACATATTAAAGCCAACATTTTTATTAAAATCAAGTTGTTTATAAGAAAAAAGTGACGTCATGTAACAATTTCACATGGGATCCAAATCGTTTCAAAGTCATTTATTAGATTATTCATTACATCTTGGCCATATACAATTTCAAGGAATAATTTTCATATTTAAAGAAGACTTTTTGAAATATTTTCATTTCATACCCTCGAAAATATCTTGGTTTTATGAGTTGATATATTTTTATTCCATATGTTTGATAAGTTGTCAGTCAAATAAGCTGTGTTTTCAATGTCATAAGCCAATTATTATTCAAAATCGTTGTACCGCAATTCAGTAAGCGATCATTTGAAAAACAATCGTTAAACTCATTATTTTAAAACTAATCAGCTACTTAAAAAAGGGCTTATGACAAAATTATTTATTCTGAATATAATTTTTGAGGTAAAGAAGGAGGCAAACCATAGAAGCAAGAATGAAAATAGTTGCAAGAGGTCCAAATATCCTTTCTGCTATGAGAATTATTATAAAGAAGGATAAAATGGCAAGGAACTGGTTATTATCTATCCAGACCATCAATGGATGGTTTCTCATTTCTGGAGGTAACTCTCCAAACAAATGGCTCTTTTGTGGTGGAGGTGGAGCTGGTTTTGGAGGCTGGTATTCGACAATTTCGATTTCTTGTGTATATTTCTTTAATATTCTTGTTGCACGTTCCTTGGATATTCCACCACTTCTTGGGTCCATGATTTCTTCTATTTTTCCTTCATCTTCAGAAGCATATTCGTCTTCTTCCTCTTCTTCCTTAAGTACTTCGTTGAAATCGAGTGGTTCTGCAATGATATCGCTGAATAATTCTTCGCGGTTGAGATCGTTTGCTCTTAAAATGAAAGGATGTTTAAGTAATTGTTCTGGACCTGGTCTTTTCTCAGGATCCATTACTGTGCATTCTCTGATGAAATTAACGAATTCTTGTGTATACTTATTTCCTTTGCGGAAGCCTGGGAAGCCTTTAGTAGAAATTTCGACTAATGCTCTTGTATAAGGAAGCTCTGAGTATGGTGGTTGGCCTTCGGCAAGCTCAACAGCTGTAATACCAAGTGACCAAATATCTGCTGGATATCCGTAATGATCATCGTTCATGATTTCTGGGGCCATCCAATAAGGAGTTCCAGTAATTGTCTGTGTTCTTTGAGATGATGTGCTGCTGAATTGGCAGGAGATACCAAAGTCTGTAAGCTTGATCTGGCAGGAGCTATTAAGAAGAATATTTCCGGCTTTGACATCACGGTGAAGAACATGGAAGTTCTTGTGGAGAATAATTAAGGCTGTAATCATATCTTTCATGATAACGCTGATCTGATCTTCAGAAAATGTCATTTTCTTCGCTTTCATGATGTCATAAAGGGAACCACGATTGCAAAACTCAAGAAGAATCATCGGGGAACCTTCAAAATCAATGGAACCATAGTATTGGACAGTGTATGGTGACATGACTTTTCGAAGTAAATCAATCTCTCTTGCGAGGTGAGTTTTACTTGTACGAGTCATTTTTTCGACACTAACGGATTTTCCAGCCATGTGTATACCTGAAGGAATGTGCTCCATTTCGTATACATCGCCAAATCCGCCAGCACCGATCTTTCTGATGACTTTAAAAATGTTGCTGACATCGGTTCCATCTTCCATACTCCATTTGAAGTCTTGGCCAATGTGAGTAACATGTTGGAAATTCGTCGGATTTGAAATCTCCATGATTAGAAAGTTTTACAATCGAAAACGTGACACTATTGTTTTGATTTTATTTTATAATTATTCCGTGTAAATCTAATTCAAAAAACATGCATCTGTGATTTGTGGAAATATTAAACTGCAGTTGAACAAAAATATTCGCCATTATAAAATTAAAGTGAAGCTTCCTTTTTTTTTGACAATTGGAAAATTTTTGGGGAAAGTCATCTGAAGAAGATGACGATCTCTGGAATAAATACTTCAATAGCCAATTTGCAAGTTTAAAAACTGAATATTGCAAGAACTGTAATCTTTCACCCGGAAAAGGTCAATACTACTTAGACGAATGTAACTTTTTTCGAGATAATGACCGAGTTATTAACTTTAGTTCAATTACAAGCTCATTGTTTCTACATAATCGGTGTTCTTTTAGTCATTGCACTTCAACAGAAAAAGGAAGTTGCATTTACTACCAAATTGGCAGCAATAGTTCGATTGTTCAACGAAAATTCTGTTGTACGAAATGCCAAAGCCAGAAATATGGCCAATTTTCATCTACAAAAGTTGATAAAAATAACATAAACTTTTTTATTGAAAGTTCCGTTTGTTATGTAGGAAATGAAGATGTTGACGGAAGAGTAATTGATGCATTTGATGGAAATATCATAGTTTCATCAACAAATTTCTCATCAAATAAATCTCCAGAAGATGCTGTTGGATTTTTTTCTAAAGAGTCAGAGAATGACTTTATAACAACATTTAATTATTCAACTGTTGTTAATAATTTAGTAACAGGTCAATATGATCTTATATATTTTCGTTTTAACTCTTTGATTGATTCATGTAATATTATAAATAATACTAATAACCAATCAAGATTAGGAATTATTTTCCATTATAAAAATTCTCTTACTGTAAAAAGTTGTTCTTTTATTAACAACACTACTCCTGAAGGTACATATTTGATATATAACACTGTTGATCAATTAACAGTTGATAGTTGTTACATTGACAATTCGATTTCATCAACATTTCTTAGTAATGTAAAACCTACTAATCCAAGAAAACTATTTACTAACAATTTGATTCATTTTTCAACTGGTAATTGCCAAGCAGAATTTGCAATTATCAATAAAAGTATTTCTAAAGTTAATAAACTTTCTCTTTTTTTACAAACTTTAGTAAACATTTCTAACTCTTCATAACCCTCTTTTACCCGACATCCCCTTATTTATAAAAAGATGTACTTTACTCTGTTATATTATAGTTGATGCTCTTAAAACTCCTCATAATGATTTGCAAATTAAACTTTTAAAAACTGCTCTAAAACAATTCCCGATTTTGGCAAAAATTTATTGAATTTTGTCAAAATTATTTTGTCACTTTTCAGAAGTCTGAAAAAAAAAATAATTGAATGAAAAGAACTTTAACTACTCATATTTCTCTTCCTTATTCTGATAGAGAACTTATCGTAGAACTTACTAAGACATTTGTTGGAGATGAAGTTCTTACTTATATAAGAGATGTTTTAAAAGAGAAAATTCCAGAAAATCCAATTATCTTAGTTGTTGGTAAAGATACTAGAAATCACATTCTAATAGACAACATAAAGCTAGAAGAAAATACCAATTCATCATCAATTAAACTCACAATTATTCCAGAAATGATGAACTTATCAATTATTACTCCCGATCATAGAAAAATTACAGTCAAAGTGCCTGCAGTTCATACAGTAGGTGATTTTGTTAAAATATTATGCGAGAAATTAAATCTTTCTTCTGTTTTTGACTATGGATTATATTTTCAAGAGAATGATTCACTTCTTTCATCACTAAAAGTCAATTTACCACTATGCGAAAACCGTGCGGTGATAACCGAGCTGTATATGAAAAGAAGATGGTGGCGACAAGATTGTTACAAGAATATATCAGCCGATGAGCTTAATTTCATATACAACCAGATCCACAAAGAGTTTGTAGATATGCCAAAAGATCCTAGCTTCTGGGATTGCATTGAATTAGCTGGAATTTACTCTGTAGTTAAGTTTAACAAGGACACGACACGTTTTAAAGAGGTCCTCAAGTCAGGCAAAACACAAAAATACTATCCGAAATGCGTAGAAGGGTTTTTCAATTCAATAAAAATTCAAAAATCGTTCGAAAACCACTTAAAACAAGACATTACAACTCTCAAGCAAGAATTTGTCAAAAAATTTCTATCTTACGAGTTCGCTTTCTGCGAATTATTCCCGATTTACAAAGATAAAAAATTACGATATCTTACAGCACAAGGAGAGTATGTACTCATCATCAAAAAGGACAAGAAGACAGTTGTTGATCGATATTACCAACTCAAAGTGATCAGATGGCAGCCTATCGGTCAAAAAGAGTTACATTTAATTTATTCCGGTACAAAAGTTGAAGATATCATATTTACAACTAAAGGCAACATTGACATCATCCGATTCCTTTCCGATTACTTTGATTTCATCACTCCTATTCTTCAGGACACACATCGAAAAAGTTCACGAGAAAAACGACAGAAGAAAATTGAACTCCAAATTTCACCAAGGATGACAATTGTTAAGACAGAGATCTCTATGCCATCTATCACAAAATCAGACTCAGTTGTCTACACAAAACCTATCCCTTCTAAAATTATTTATCCGTGTATTCCAACATTACCAAAAAGTGACAATAAAATTTCAAAAAGTGACAATAAAATACCAAAAAGTGACAATAAAATTTCAAAAAGTGGCACTCAAAATACGAAACCAGAACTCAAAGAAATCAACATAGATAGTAAACCAAATGGATTTGCAAAGCAATGCATCAATTTAATCCACCAAATTGCGAAAAACCAAATCGTTCTTCCCATTCAGAAAATGATTGATTTCATTACTTCTATTTCACCACAATCAGTTAAAGAAATCAAGTTCCTTGCAGACACGGACACCACATCACCTGTTATTGCAGTTAATCTTGCAGCACGCGCAGCTGCATCAATCATCATCAATGAATGTCATGAATCGTCACTTTTTGTCAGTTTGACAAAACTTGGGGAAATTGTTATGTTGTATGCACTTGACAAATCATGGTCATTTGATTACAGTGTTAAACCTAATATCAAAAATCCAACACTCTCAGAATGTTTCGTCAATCTTTCTACAGAAGAACTTAAAGTTGAAGAGAGTCAACCACTTGTTTCATTAATTTTTTGTTCTCTTAACATTTTCTTTCATGCAACTCTTTTTTTGCTTGAAAGTGAACGTGTTCGATCTGAATTACTTTCTCCACAAAAGAATTCGTATTGCATGCCATGTTTTGATTTAATTAGTTTAGTCCATTTACTTGACATTGTTGGAGACAAAAACACCACGAAAACAGTTTCCATTCTCCAATCATTTGTTAAAACAATTCGAGATCCAAGTACTGTTTTCAAGTTATTGTCATCATACAACAGCAATCTTTTTGAGGAAGAACCACAATCCATCAACGAATACATCTACATTTTCGAGATGGGTCGTGTTATTAGTTATTGTCTCTACCAAGTTCGTGGTGGCTTTAGTGTTTCACATTTGTACGGTGTTTCTGTTTGCACATTGTTGTGTAGTAATTCATCAGACACAAAGACAAAGAAACTGTGTTACGAATATTTCAAGAACTCAGTTAATAAAGTTAACTATTTCTGCATGAACAACATCTCATTCACATCATGTGTTGATTGCAATGAGTCTATGTTCCATTCATTTGTTTACGAGTTGAGTCACTACCATCAGTCTGTTTCAGATATTGAGAAACTTATGAAAGTCACTAATTCTATCTCAGAGTCCGATCGATACAAGATCTTCTCTGACTTGGTTGATGTTATCCACGAATCTATGAAACATAACGAACGAGATAAAGCAGTTGAAACCGCTAAACGATTAGCATTCTTATCTATGTCCTTCAACTTATTATCTCTCAAGAACTACTCAATTAAGATGCTTGATGCAGTTCACAAGTGGTCACATGAAGAAATTTCAGTTGAAGAAGCAATCAAATTAGTTGATTATTGATTATTAACTTTTTTTATATATTTAATAAATTGTTTGTTTGTATTTTTTATATGATTTAATTATAATTCATAAGTATTATTTATGTTGATTAAGTATTAACAATATTGCAGTCTTAAGAGTCAGATGTTCAACGTTTAATAGTCTTTCAGCAACATCTACTCAAATGAATGCTCTCATATATTCAGCACAAGCAATAATTTATCATTGTTATATCAAGAATACAGTCGAAATTCCTATAATCAGTTCTTATTCTATTCAACTTGTTTCTAATAATATTGCCTCATCAAAAGGATCGTTAACTAGTCCTAATTCTGATTATTTCAAAATCAACATCATTTACAATAATACATTTGTAATTTTGATAGTTCCTTTAGCATTTGGGATTCAGATTGTATTGATAAAGAAAACTAATGATTTGTCATAAACTAATTTTAGAACTTTGATGTATAATAAAATTATTCGGAAAAATATCATCTAATGGGCGTATTAATAGATTATTATTTTGGTGTAGTCGAGTAAACAATTAAATAAAAGGGAATTATGGACAGTTACTAATATTTAGTAAAGTTTGTAAAAAAAGAGAAAGTTTATTAACTTCAGAAATTCTTTTATTGATAATTGCAAATTCTGCTTGGCAAATATCAGTTGAAAAATGAATCAATTTGTTAGTAAATAGTTCTCTTGGATGATTAAGTTCTGTATTTCTAAAAAATGTTGTTGAAATCGAATTGTCAATGTAACAACTATCAACTGTTAATTGATCTAGAGCGTTATATATCAAACATGTACCTTCAGGAGCAGTGTTGTTAATAAAAGAACAACTTTTTACGGTAAGAGAATTATCTTGATGGTAAATAATTCCAGTTACTGAATGTGTACTAGTATTATTTAAAATATTACATGAATCAATCAAAGAATTATAATTGAATGCTATAAGCTCAAGATCACCTGTTCCTAAATTATTAACAACAGTTGAATAATTAAATGTCGTTATAAAGTCATTCTCTGACTCTTTAGAAAAACATCCAACAGCATCTTCTGGAGATTTATTTGATGAGAAATTTGTTGATGAAACTATGATATTACCATCAAATGCATCAATTACTCTTCCGTCAACATCTTCATTTCCTACATAACAAACGGAACTTTCAATAAAAAAGTTTATGTTATTTTTATCAACTTTTGTAGATGAAAATTGGCCATATTTCTGGCTTTGGCATTTCGTACAACAGAATTTTCGTTGAACAATCGAACTATTGCTGCCAATTTGGTAGTAAATGCAACTTCCTTTTTCTGTTGAAGTGCAATCACTAAAGGAACACCGATTATGTAGGAATAATGAACTTGTAATGGGGCTAAAGTTGATAACTCGGTCATTATCTCGAAAAAAGTTACATTCGTCTAAGTAGTATTGACCTTTTCCTGCTGTTAGATCACAGTTTATGCATGATTTGGTTTCATTTCCTGTGAATTGACTATGAAAATAGTTGGGCCATTGAAAGTCATCTTCTTCAGATGACTTTCGAACAAATTCATACAATATGACAAAGCAATATATTTAATTAAATTGGTGATGATGAATAAAATATATTTTAAAAATAAAAATATTCACTTTTGATAATCTTAGACGATCAACCTCACACTTTTGCATTTGTCAACATAAAAGTTTGACCGATCACCTATATTTTCATCAATTGTCAATTTTAAAGTCCAACATTCTTCATTTTCATCTTTTTTTCAGTCCTATTTTTTATTCAATGGTCGACTTAAAGATGAAAAGTCTTCATTCCTTAATTTACTGTCTCCAGTATGCCTACATAATGAGAACGCAAGATATCTTTTTATTATTACTTCATAAATATGGTAATTGAATAATAATTTCATATTAACCTGTGCATTGGCATCAGCATATTGCGAAATATGGAAAGAAGGTGAATAAACAAAACATGTCTCAATATCATTAGTTTGATCCAAATATACCAAAAATGATATTGAATATTAATCTGTTTAGAATAAATTGATTTCAATATTGAATACATTCCTCAATAATAAACCAAAACTAGGTTATGCGAAATAGTTGCATATCTCATGCATTCTTCAAACGCTCATTTAAGATCTCTAGATTTCCATCAAACTCCGTCAAAACTTCGAGGAAAAAAAATCTTTAGAATATTAATCTTCAATATCATTTTTGGTATATTTGGATCAAACTAATGAATTTGAGGCATGCTTTGTTTATTCACCTTCTTTCCATATTTTCATGAATATGTTAGTAAGATATATGCATAAGCAGGTATTTCTTCCAAGCATGACTGTAATAATGATGCTGTTGTAAGATGGCAATTATATATATATAAAGTTGCCTCAAAATCTCGATTGAAAGGCATTGAATTTAGTTTTGAGAAGACTTTTTTACATTTTGCGAATTATTAATCAGTATATCATTATGATCATATTGTATTAAGTTATCAATTCTCTTAAATTTTGAAAGCTTAAGAAATTTAAAAGCACAAACAAATATATATTATTAAAATCATTGTATTGATCAATTTAAAAAATTTTGAAATTTTGAATTCGAATTTAAATGTAAGCTTTAATAGTTGTAACAGAATAGAAAGCATCACAGATGTCAATTTAGATTAATGAAAAGTTGAAATTTTTCCAATAAAATTTTATTAATGAAAAAAGATTCATGAAATACAATAATAGTAATATAGATATTTTATACAACATGTTATATAAGAGATCACTATAAATAGAATAGCTTTAAACAAAATAATCAAATCAAAATTTGTATTTGTAAACAGCAAGAGTGTTATATGCTAATATTATGTGTAACTACTCATTGGATAATGAATGCAATATAATACATTGATTTGTTGGCTAAAGAAAAAAAATTATATCCTTCAATTTGGACAATCCGAAATTTTTCTCATTTTTTTGAATTGCATATATATGAATTTGCAATTGAGTGATATCAGCGAGAAACTTATATGCACGTTTAACTTTATCAGATTTCAAATGAAAACATGGATTTCATTGATTGTTTTTCAATACGAGCTCAACAAAAATGATACAAAGATGAATAAATAGTAGTGCCCCTAAAAACAAGGTAAAAAACAAAAAATTAGCAACAATATACTTAATTTCGGCCAATATGGTGAAAAGTGAATATGTCAAAAGCATTTACTCCATCATCTTGTTATCTGTACCTCACGACAGACGAATATAAAGAGATATCAATTTCCAAAAGTTTACCAAAAAGAGATTAGGCCTAATTTTTACGGCCAATCTTTATTATTTGTTACACAGATGCTAGATCCACTACTCCCCAAAACAATTCATTTTTTGAATGGCCCTGTTTTTTAGGCCTTTATTTTATGAAAAATGCCAATATTATACGAATCTTAATATATTTATTTTTTTGTTCTCAATAAAGGTATTCAAAAGTCAATATAAACCATTCAAAATTGAGAGGAAACTCATTGAGAGGCTCGGAATTCGAGTAGTGAGGAAGGGTAAATTTTGAGAGCCAAAATTTCAAATCCCCTCAATATTTCAAAGCCCTTCTACTTAGATTTTTTGACTACCTTATATATATATATATATTAGTTATTAAAATAAAGATATATTATAAATTTTCTTCATTGGTTCTTTGGAAGAAATTTGTATTGAAAACTACTATTCATTGGTTCTTTTTGTCAAGATCCGTAGCAATTTCTGATTCTTTCTGCATCGTTAGGGAACCTTTCAATAATACTTTGGATCTGTGACTTATCATAGCAATTAGCTGGCTGACATTGTTCTTCAAACTCAAGCAAAGCATTTAAAATATTTTGTTTTTCTTCATTTGAAATTTTATCAGATGCAAAAGCAGCTCTCGCCCAATGGAAAACAGTTGGATAGTATCCTGTGATTTTCCTCACTTCCAGATTGTAGTAGAATGCTAAGTCTGGTCTTTCTTCGCTTCCAATTAGCATAATAGAATAGTCTTTGATTTGACTGATTCTCTCGAAAAATTCGGAAAACTTTTGTGGAATTTTTCCATAAATTGTTAAGGGTGCCGGAAAGTGAGGTGACGCGATTTCGAGTATTGCTTATAACTTCATTTGTAGTAAAGATATTAATGATATTGAAACATATATTAGTAGTGTATATACTAAGGTTTTTATTTCTATGATATTGAGGTCTTGGATACTTCCAGTATGAAGAAAACTGTTTCGCAATTTTCGAACTTGCAGACCTATCTAGTCCCTGGTTATTCCATGGCAGGGGCTGATACTGCAGGAATGATATCTAGGTACAAGATACTAGATATTTTATAGAAAACATTTGGCACTTGTTAAAAAGTGTCGAGATGCAATAAGTGGGAAACTTCAAAACTAAAACAGGTTACACTACCATCTCACTGGATTCTACTAATTACTATTAGAGAACAAACCTTATGGTAGCTGTTTCCAGCCGAAATGACCACATTCAAAGTTTAATTAGATTTGTATCTAGTCCTCCAATAATGTGTTTAAGCCAGTGAGATACATTAAACACAAAATTTCAATAGTTATACTAAAAGTTTTACAGAACAAATTTTATTTTTAATTCTCATATATGGAGATAAAAGCACTTTTTCCCTTCCAAATTTTAAAAATTTTGTATGATTTTTGTATGTTTTCGATAACCTTATAATCATAAACATCGTTTTCACTTAGTTTGAATATGATACTATGATACATCATCACTTAATGTTTATACTCATATAAACAAAACAAAATAAAAATGATTTTATTGGTTTGAAAAGTGTTGTTTTTATAATAGCTATCACTTCACTTTCCGGCACCCTTAACAAAGATGAAAATAATCCATTATATTCAAGGAAAAACTCGCCTTCTTGCAAACTTTCCACTGTTTGAAGGATTAATTTGGCAAATTCTACCAAAAACTCTTCGTCATCCGTTAGTTTAACAATAGAACTTGGGAGGATTGTATTTGGTTTTTCAAGTCTTTGTTTGATTAAAATATAGCAACAATTCAAAATTTCCGGAGTAATTTGATTGAATGCTTGAATGATAATATTAAATGTAAATAGACAGTCATCTTCATAATCTTCAATATACAAAGAAGTTATTTCTAATGCCTTTTGAGTAAATTCTTCAAAATCATTTCCGAGAATTTTACCTAACATAGCCAAGATTCCGAGCAACCTACTGATATATAATTGAACTTCACTAGAATTAGTCAATGTTTCAATCAAAGAAATAATTTCAGGGAAAATTGCTTCGCATATACTTTGTTCGAGACGAAATGCATTTGCTAGCATTAGATCAAGAATGAATAGATTGAAATCTGGTGTGTTTTCGTCATTATTAAAGCAATTCATCAAGTATTCCCAAATTATTGAGTGTAGTTCTTGATTTTGAAGACAGAATAAGTCATTAATTGCTGATTCAGCTATTGCCTGATTGTTTTGATTGTCAGAAAGTAACATTTGCAAAATAAAATTAACAAATTCTTCAGTTGGCTGCAACAAACTGCTTCCAATACATTTGCTTTCCATAACTATAAATATCTCATCTAATTTTTCATTCTCCCCCAATGGAATTTTCTCGAGAACTTGTTCACAATTTAATAATTCGTTTGCCAAGCTAATATCAATAATTAAGAGACAAATATATGCTTTACCAGCACAAATTACTCCCTCAAATGTGTCAGAACTCAATGCTTCGTTAATAACACCTGCAATTGAGGAAAAAATATTCGATTTTGTTTCCATTTTCTGCTGTTTAACTTCATTTGTAACGACAACATCAAATTTAAATGACTCAGAGAGTTTTGATTTCAATCCTCCTCGTATAAATTTACATAAAAGTGAATCATTTAATGAATCAGTGTTTTCATTGAGTAATTCTGGCAATATCCTTCTACAAATATCTTCAAGGTTCACATGTTTATAGAATGTGTCCTGGAAGTTAATCAAAACTCGAAGATATTGATTGTAAATTTCAGATTCATAAAATAATTCAGAAATCATCGAGTCGATTCCAGTTTTGTCAAATAATCGTTCTCGAATTCCAGTTTTGTTAAATAATCGTTTTTTAAACGTACATTTCATGTAAGTCAATGAGAAAGTTTTTATTCTTGGCTTCAAAATCGGTAAGTATGATGTAGAAAGCTAGAGATATGTCAGATGCATTATCACCAATAGTTATTTTTTAAATCAAAAAAGCATCATAAATAAATTAAAATTATTACACAAATAAATACGGAAATGCGGGCTGATATTGATAGATCATATCGAATTACTTATATTGTTATCAATGATATACAACAAAACTAAATCAAACGAATTTTAAAAATTTAAATTACAAAATATTTCTTAAACCTGCAAATATTCGTTAATAAATAGTCATTGCCCATCAGAATCTTGGATATTTTACTTTATTTGAGGCTCTTTCTTATGGATATTGTCAAAGTATTTTGATAATATTCAAAAGAAGATATTTCAAGTAAGTAGATTATAATGGATTCCAAGCTTATACAAATTATAGTCTTTTAAAGAGCAGTTGTTCCAAGATATTCGAAGTTTTCAAGTATCTTGGGAAAACGGCCCTTTATAAGGCTGTAGCTTCGGTATTATAACTATCTAGTATTAAATTCACGTAATTACAGTCTTTTAAAGAGCAGTAGTTCCAAGATATTCGAAGTTTTCGATTATCTTGGAAAAACGGCCCTTTATAAGGCTGTAGCTTCGGTATTATAACTACCTAGTATTAAAGTTACATAATTACAATCTTTTAAAGAGTAATTCCTCAAAGAACTTCGAAAATTTGGAGATTCTTTGAAAAACTACTCTTTAGAGTAATTTGACTGAGGTTTTGTGTTATAAGATAAATTTTCTGTTGATATTTTTGGATTTACTGTATATAAATTGTAGATTGATCGCGAAAATCCAAAATTCTGGGGATTTTTAGAAGATACGCCCTTGAAACGAGCGTATTTGATGATTTTGCTTCATCTCTGAGCTTGGATGCTGTAAATTTTGAAGTATAAAAGAGTTATTAGTTGAAATTCATTCGCTCATTTAAAAAGTGAAATATTTTCATTGAAAAATGAAAAATTAAAGCCATTCTAGAAGCCAATCAAAAATACAATTAAAATAATATGATTCTTGGTGAAAAAATAATCCAAAAAAATGAAAAATGAAATTTGAAGAAAAAAATTACAGATTTAACAATATATGAAGGATTTTATAAATTTCTGTGTCAAATAAAGACTATTAAAATAGGTGGGGATTAAATTGTAATATGGTTTGAATTAAAAATTTGTGGAAATCAATGATATAATGTATGAAAAAGAGAGATTTTATAATAAATACAACTGAAATGTATAATGAAATTTGATCAGTATCAATAAAAAACACTCCTTTAGTAAACTTGTAGTCTGAAATATCGCATTCAGAAAAAAATACTCCAAATTTGCTCAATGAGTTTAGAAATGTAAAGATTTAGGACATGCTTTACATTTGTAAACTCATTTAGTAAACTTGTAATTTGAAATATTGCATTGAGAAAAAAGTGCTTCGAATTTACTCAATAAGCTCACAAATGTAAAGCTTTTGTATAAGCTTTACATTTGTAAACTCATTTAGTAAACTTGTGGTTTGAAATATTGCATTTAGCAAATAAGTACTCCAAATTTGCTCAATGAGTTTAGAAATGTAAATATTTAGGACATGCTTTACATTTGTAAACTCATTGAGCAAATTTGGATTAAAAAAATTTAATTTGAATTATGGGTTGTAATTCAATGTAAGATTGTCCTTTAAGTCAAAATAGACTATGAAATCAAATAAACCAAGGTAAATCGTAAGAATCTTTTTCAATTCATAATTTAATAAATAATCTTTTGCTGTATTTAAGATATCGATTAATACTTAACGAAATTTTGAATAACTGCATACGTGAATGAGATAAATGAAGTTTGAGATCTGAGGTAGAAGAATTCGAAATTTCGAATATATGCGAATTTGGTGATAACAATTGAAAAGTAAAATTTAAACTTGTCACAACACATAACAAAACTCCACCTGCATAAATCGAGTATATTGTATATGGTTGGTCTAAAATGAAAAAAGTGTACGTTTAAAATACGATTATTTAACAAAACTGGAAGGTCAACGATTATTTAACAAAACTGGAATCGACTCGAAATCATCTGATAAAAATCTGGGATCTTATTCACAAGTGCTTCAGAATTGATATTCTGCATGATACCTGATACCTCTTTTGGTTTACTCTTCAAAAATATGAAAATCATATTTTTCTAACTCCCAAGCATGGATAGTTTGAATATGGCTAAGTATTTGAAGGCAAATGCTTGTAACATTTTCGTCATTATATTGCTAAATTATGTTATAAAAAATTTCGATACAAGAAACTGGTAATATATAAGACGAAAGATTGAATACATCCAAGATAATTCCTAGCATTAGAGGAACATTTGTGTTTTCATGGAATTTTTGAACAAAATTTGAAATAAATGCTCTGAAGTATCCTTCGCTTACATTTATGAGACAATTTGTTAGAGATGATCTACAAGCTTTGTCAAATTCGTCATTCTGCTGTAAATAAGGTTCAAGAGTCATATAAATTTGATTCCTTTCTTCCTCAAAACCTGGTTCATTTGAGCCTATCCGCCTGCTAGATTTAATTGGGATAGATAATGATTTAATTGCACCGATTCTAACTTTGTAACTGATGTCTTTGTTATTAATTAATGAAATTAAGTTTAAAACATATTCACTAGGATTTTCTTCTTTAAATTTGGCGAGGAATTCAAGTGATTCCATTGATGGTGCTTGATTTTCAACTGTTGCTATAAAACAATCAGTAAAATTCATCAATAATAGATGATTTTTAATGAAATTTTTCTAGTCCGAAATTCATTTAATTCATAGCATTTTAATTAATTCGATACAATTGTGAAAGGTACTAAGGGTTTTTGAAAAGTATTCAAATGTTATCAGAAAAATAATAACGTTGTACAATTTTCTGGGACCGAATGGTGTCACCCCCGCATTATCTTATGTCGAAATATTGGGTGTTACATTACTTCATTTATTGACCTCAGATAGATATTTAGAAAATAATTGATGTTGATTATAACAAATTAATTTTTCGTACTCTATCATTGGTGAAATGCTTTGCCTAAGATTTGAAAGTTAGTATTCCAATATGTGATATTTTAACTTATCATACGTATTTGATTATACTGGAACACCACAAGTTTTCCATGCATTTCCTGGTAAATAGATTGTTGAATCTATTACTTCAATATAAGTTTAAAAAATATCAAATCAATAAATTTAATAAATGATTACAACACACACATGATTACATTGATGTGTTCCACTATTCTATGCATCAGAAAATGAACAACTTGAAGCTGTTAAATACCTTATCTCTATTGGAACTGAAAAGAAGCAAAGAATAAAGGTGGACTCCACTCATTTTGTCATCAGGAATTGGTCATCTTGAAATTATTTAATATCTTATCTCTATTGTAGCTTTTAAAGAAGAAATGACTAATTGTAGATGTATTTCATTCATTACTCCTTCTATGGTGTTTTTGGAGTTAATATTCGAAGGAATTATGATACGAATTGAATGTTTGACAAAGTTTTGAATAATAGTAAAAGTTTTTTAAGTTTGGGAATACTTTTATCGATAATTGCAAATTCTGCTTGGCAATTGCCAGTTGAAAGATGAATCAATTTGTTAGTAAATAGTTCTCTTGGACTTTTGGTTTCTACATCATTGGCAAATATTGGTGTAACCGAATTGTCAATGTAGCAATTTTCAACTGTTAATTGTTCATTACCATCATAATTATCGTTATATATCAAACATGAATAAGGAGCGGTGTTGTTACTAAAAGAGCAGCTTTTTATAGAAAGAGAATTACTTATATGGTAAATAATTCATTGATTTGATCCGGGGTTAGAATTATTTATAATATTGCATGAATCAATCATTGAGTTATAACCAAAATATATAAGATCATACATGCCTGTTCCTAAATTATTAGCAATTGTAGAATAATTAAATGTTGTAACAAAGTCATTCTCTAAAGTTTTAGAAAAATATCCAACGGGATCTTCTCTATCTGTATTTGATGAGAAATTTGTTGATGAAACAATGATATTCCCATCTATTGCATTAACTACTCTTTCGCTATCTCTTCCATTTCCAACATCGAAAAGGGAACTTTCAATAATAAAGTTTAAATTATCTCTCTCAACTTTTGTATAAGAAAATTGACCAACTCTCTGGCTTTGACATTTTGTGCAGCAGAATTTTCGTTGAACGATGGAACTATTTCTGCCAATTTGGTAGTAAATGCAACCTCCTTCTTCTTCTGAAGTGCAATTACTAAAAAAGCAGCGATTATGCAGGAATAATGTGTCGTTAATTGGGTTAAAGTTGATAACATGGTCACTATCATCAAAAAAATTACATTCATCTAAGTAATATTCATTTTTTCCTGCTGTAAGATTGCAGTTCTGGCAGTGTTTTATGGTGCTTCCTGTAAATTGGCTGCCGAAATAGTTGGTCCATGGAAAGTCATCTGAAGAAGATGACTTTCCGCAAATTTATACAATATGGCAAAAAACCGTTGATTTTTAAAACAACAATGATTTATCAACTTAGTAATGATGAATAAAATGAATTTCAAAAATAAAAATATTCACTTTTGATAATTTTGTAGATGATCAACGTCACACTTTTGCATTTGTCATTAGTAAAGTTTGACCGATCACCTATATTTTCATCAATTGTCAACCTCAAAGTCCAACATTCCTCATTTTCACGTTTTTTCAGTCCTATTTTTTATTCAATTCGTCCCCTGAGAGTTGAAAAGTCCTCATTCCGCAATTCTTTGTCTCCAGTTTACTTATCTAACGATGATACGAGAAAATATTATACAGGAACACAAGAACAAGCTGTTGAAGTAAATTCAGATGCAACCGAAGTTATATTTGATAATTGCATTTTCCAAGGTGCTAACACCTATGTCATAAGTAATAACAATAACGCAGTCTTAAGAGTCATGTGTTCAACGTTTAATAGTCTTTCAGCAACATCTACTCAAATGAATGCTCTCATATATTCAGCACAAGCAATAATTTATCATTGTTACATCAAGAATACAGTCGAAATTCCTATAATCAGTTCTTATTCTATTCAACTTGTTTCAAATAATATTGCCTCATCAAAAGGATCGTTAACCAGTCCTAATTCTAATTATTTCAAAATCAATATCATGTACAATAATATTACTTCTTCCCAGATTTCTTTGATTTCTACAACTGATTCTTCGTTTGCAAGTGAAACCGGAATTTCTTTTTCATACAATACATTACAGGGTGGATCGCAAACTCAATTTTGTACTCTTGATCCCAAATTTTCTTTTTCTTATTCTAATTTTGTCCAAAATTCGATGTCAATTTTTGAATTAAAGCAGAATTCAGTCATTTCAAACTGTGTGTTTATAGGCAATAACGGAAAAATTGCAACTTCTGCTGAATCTCCTTTCGGATATCAATATACCTTAAAATTAGTCAATTGTTTAACGGATAAGTCCATTTCTGACTGTGGTGCTGTAACAGGTGACTCATCACAGTTCGAACAGAGCTCAATAAGCAGAATTTTGTTTAATTATGCCGATGAAGATCCGAAATGTCCAACATTACCTCCAACTCCTGGTCCATCTCCAGTTCCTACAGTATCTCAATCCCCAACGCGGTCCCCTCTACCTTCAACTCCCCCTCAAACAGATAATTTACCAGAACGTACTCCCTACCCCGAAAGAACACCTGAAGAAACACCTGCTCAATCTCCTTATCCTTCACAGTCTCCTCCGCCAACGAATTCTCCAAAAGCAACAGTTAATTCGATCGGAATTATTATTGTTGTTGTTCCTGTACTGTTATTCATCATCATTATACCTATACTTGTATTGGTCATCATCAGACTTGTCAGAGAAATGAGCAGCAACGAAGCGGCCAAAAAGAACGATTATCAGAGGTTCTTCTCTGACGAAGGAAGCTCCAGCAGTGACAGACCAGATCCACTCGAGTTGAGAATGTCCAGCAGTGGAAATGACGGAGATGACGACGTATTTGCGATGTCTCTTGAAGAAAGAGGGAAATACATGCCAAAGAAGACAAGTTCTCAGACAAAAGATGAAATTATATATGATTTCATGAATGCTTAGTTGTAATTTATTCATAAAGTTTTGTTATTTTTTTATTAATTGAGATTTTTTTAAAATGGCAGCAAAATAAAGCTATTGTTAACGATAAATGGACTATAGTTAATGTATTTAACTCTATTTTAAATAAATATCATTTAAAAAAACTGGATTCAATTTGAATAAAATGGAAAGTAAGCATATGTTATTATCCTTTAATATAATAATATAAGAAAATCTAGCATAGACATGATGCATAGCATTTTTTAATGAAATAAAATATTCTTTTTCTGGGAATTGCAACATTCATAACTATAAATGAATGTGGATGATAATTGAAAATATATTTGGAACTTATACATTATAAAAATACATGGGATTCTAATGAAATTTGAATATTTCATTGGTTTAAAAAAGATATCTGTGATTTTTAATTTTTATATGGAACTAAAGACATGTATCAATGTAGATGATAAATATAGAAGGAATTCATTTTGTTTCAAAGCAGGATTTTAAATGGAGATTTTAGTCGAATTGACTTTTGAAATATTTCACTGAGATGACTCAAAGAATTGAATTTAATAAACGATGATTTAGTGTTAAGAAAAGTGAACTGACCAATTCAGATGTCTGCTACAGCCTATTTCACATTCCATGGTCATGTACAATATGCAATGTTCCGCCAAACAATTATGCGTGGAGCCATAAAGCGTGGAATCGAAGCTGGTGCTACAAATTGCACAGATGATAAGAATAAAGTTATTGCAACATTCAGAGGCGATCGTGCTAAGATTGATGACCTTGTCAAAACAATTGGAAGTGGAGAAGTATTAAACTCATGGAAGGCTCAAGTTACATCTTATGAAGAAAACAAAGAAGGAAAGGCTATTGAAGAGCACGAAGTAACCAACCAGAACGTTGATACTATCAAGTGGCCAGGAGAAGTTGAGATTTATATCTGCTAAATCTTGGTAAATTTAGTTTATAGAAATCAAAAACTGGTTTTTTATTATAAAGAGATTTTAGATACTATTATAAAATATTTTCTGTCTATAAATACACAATATAGTACTTTTAATCCTAATAATTAAACAAAATTTTCCAAATTAATGAAAATTTTACTTGCATTTACAGACAGATCAACTTTACCTCTACAATCAATTAGATTTTAGCAATGCAAGAGATACATACTCAAATATTAAATTTTGAATTTCAGCATTTTTTGTTTTTTAGAGTACAGCATGCAGAACTGTGTTGTAAATTCCTGAAATTTTCACTAATGATTGGCTTTTATTGAGTTTAAATTCTTTATTTAATTTTATGAGATTTGATAAAAAAAAATGCATGATGACTAATAGTTTATGTCTGAAAAAGCTCGAAAATGCAATAAATAGCTCATTTAAAGTAATAATCAACATTTTATTCTTAAATTGATGTAATTAAGGTGAATTTGGTTATTTATTCTCTTCATTGAGCTTTCCCTTTTTTTCTTCCTCTTCCTCAGCTTCTTTGAATTCTTCATCAGTGTTAATTAGTGGAATTGCCTTTTCATTTGCTAATTTTTCTTCATCAGCTCTCTTTGCAGCAGCCTTATCCTGCATTTCGAATACTGAATATGCAATTGTACCAATCATACCTAAAACTAAACCGCCAATCTTCTTAATTCTTTGTTCGTTTGTTTCTTCAACATTTGAGTCAAGGAAAATGAGTCCAAAGACGAAAATAAGGATTGTCTTTGCATGGCCAACGACTTGGAATGTAACTGCAGAGGCTTTTCCGATAATAGAAATTCCGAAGACGTTTGCCCAAACTGCGATCATGCCTGTCATGAAAATCCAGAAGAGTTCCATTGGTTTAAATGGATGCATTAAAATTGAGTTGCTTCCTGGGACTTCGTAGAATATTGCGCAGAAAAAGCTGATAATTGTCATTGGAAGTGAGTTAGCAAGTTGGTATGATGGGCCACTAATGTGGTATGTGTTAGAAATAACGTTTGTTTGGATTTGGAAAACAACATTGAAAAATACGTAAATCATGGAAACGATGGTACCTGGGAGGTTGACACTTACTTCATTGACGGTGAAAAGTCCGACTCCAACAAGTAAAACTGCTAAAGTGCAAAGAGTTCTAAATGGTGTCTTTTTGTTGTAAACAAAGTAGTTTGTAGCGACCATTGCTGGAATGCAAAGAAGTTTGGTGAGTTGGTAAAAGCCGACCGAGTTCAATTTCAAAGAAAAGTTTGCAAAAATAATTCCGGCAACACTTTCGAAAGCGCAAGTAAGTCTCATTTTAAGAGGCATGCTAGTGGCACGTTCAAAAAACTTAAGCGAGCAAAGCAATTCAAGAACACCCCAAGTGCATAAGAAATGAAATGTGGACAAAGAGATTGGCCATCTGAAGCCATAATTTTGCATGACGTATTTGTTTAGCAAGATTAATGATGTTGATGTAGCCATAGAACCAACAATAAGGAAGGGAGTGCCTAAGCCCATTTTTGTAAAAAATTTCTGAATCGTATACAATTTTTGGAAAATATCATTTCGTTGATTTATACTAATAAATATTAAATATTATAAAAAATTGTTTCTAAAAAATTTGAATAAAAAAATGGCTCGACCTACGCAATCTATACACATAACTATTTGAGTGAAATTTCTCAGCTTCAGAGAGGGAATAGGATATTTGTAAGCTCCTATTCTCTCGAGAAAGTTCGAAAACTTGTTCACATTCAGATCCATTTGCAACCAAGTTTTCGAACTTTTTCAGAGGAATTGTGAATCATTACATTCATTATATCGAAATGCTAAATGAATCAAAACTTTGGCTTTCTGAGTTCTACGACTTTTTTTTTTTTCAACATTTTCAGTACACAATGACATTCCAACTTGGAGAGTCAAATGTTGAACTTACAGCTAACGAAGCGCACAGAAAGATTCAAGACGATCTATTTTATGATGTTTTTGAAACTGAATATGAAAGATATCTTGACTATTTAAAACTTGATATTAATGAATGGCACCTCCTTTACAAACAATGCAGAGAAAAAGAAATGAAATTCGGTACTATTGAACATGCCAACGTAGATTTAGCAAATAAAGTCGAAGATTTTAAGGCATTCCTCGATACAGCTTACGGGTTTCAACATGCAACTCCACTTCTTACTATTCGTAATGATTTGGATGAAGTTCTAGTCAATAATACTGAACAAATAATTCAAAACCATAAGTTAGAATTAGAAACTGCCGAAAACGAATTCCGAGTCTTAAACACTGAATACAATGAGAAAAATACCGAAAATAATAATTTGAAACAGGAAGTTAATCAAAAGAAAGAGGCAGCGAATGCAAAAGCAGCTGAGTACCAAAAACTACAAGATGAATGTGAGCGCAAAGAACAATTATACAAAAAAAATAAAAAAATTATAATTGAAAAGAGAATTGAGTTAGCTAATAGCAAGCATGATGCAAACCTAGCCCAAGAAGAGTTAGATTTTACAAATGAAGAGAAAGCCAAGTATGAAGATACAGATGGCGAACCATGTTGCTCACACCTCTCTGTTTTACTCGGTGGTTTTCATCAAAAATATATTAGTACGTTTAGATTAACCCTTTACACTTTAATAATTTTACTTGGCGCAGTTTCAATTTCCGGAATTTTCACTTGTGTCCATCCATTTGAAAATGACACCGATTCCAAGTATTTCTTACTATTTTGGTTCTTACCTTACATTGGAGCTTTCTTATCTTGTGCATTATTTGTATTTACCAAAAGACTCTTGGATAATAAGAATTTTGACACCATATTCTTTTTGAGTGATCGAAGGGTACTCATTTCGATACTTAATTTGGTCCTTATTGGGTTAATAATTTTATATTATTTCTTCAATACAGAAATGGCAGCATGCTTAGTTATAAGAGCATTTCAGGGACTTATTGTTGGGTTTTTATCTATTGTTTATCCTGTTTCGCTCTTCCAACTCGGAAAAACAAAGCAACCTTTGTATTTGTTTTCATTTTTCTTAGTTTTTCTTGCATTCGGAGTCATTTTTTGTGTCCCATTACAACAGAAGTGGCCTCTTTATATTGTTATCTTCCCAGGCCTCCAAACAATCCTAATCTGGTTCATAAGCAAAAGCTCTTTCAACTTTGTCAACTTGAAATTCGAATTTCGAGTTGATTTTAAGTTCCATTTAGAGTTTCTTGTCATAGGATTGCATATTCTTCAGCCATTCCTCGGTCCTTTCACATTATGGACATTGATTTCACGTGTTTACTCCAATCCATTGGATAATGTCAGATTCATTATTCCATTTGTTGTTGGAAGTTTCGTTTTTTGTGTCTTTTTGATTATTCTTCGCATGAGGAGCGATAATACATTTGGATTAGCATCGATTATTGTTTCTATTCCTTGTCTTGTTTTCGCTTTTATCGGAACTCTTTTGATTATTTTACACAAAGATTATTATGGACTTATGATCATGTCATTTTCTAACGGCATTGGACTGTTACAGTTGCCTTGGCTTCCTTATTACGAAACAAGAACTCGAATGAGACCAAAAACATTTGGTTTTTATTGGGGCTTGTATTGGCTTTCCACATCAATTTCTTCAGCGATACTCACTAATCTTAGCTTATATCACTTGTCATTTGTATGGCTTAGTATCATTCTTGTAATAATTATCTTTTTCTCACTTTATCTCACTTTCTTCAAACTCGACACATGCCATACAATACTCTGATATTAACATTCATTATACTTTGTGTTTATTTTAAAGATTCTTTCTTGAATTATTTTTCATAATTTTTCTCATCTTTGGAAATTTGCACAATTTTACACCTAGGTCTCAAGTTTAGCTTCTGATGATCTATTCTATCTATGACCTAAATATGAGGCCTTTTCTCAGACTAGAAATGGTGATGGTAAACTTTTTTTTTCAATATTCCGATTTATCACCAGTATTCTTAATGAATTTGTTTTTAATATTTCTATTTAAGGTTATTTTGAAAGAAGAAAGAGAAATATCTGAAAAAGTCGCATTCATTTTTTAACGATAACTACTTTTTGAGAAGTTTACATCATGGTTTTACCGAAAATCATGATTTTTCAACAAATTTCATTTCAGTTTCAGATTAGTATATTATTCCACTAAAAAGAATCTTGTTATCTTTCGATTTCAAAACATACGACTTTTTTTTTTAGGTCTAAGTTTTAGAGAATGACCACGGCTATTCAGCGGCCTGCGTCAGAGTCTATAAGTGATTCATCAGATTATTATTCTTATAGTACAACTATTAGTACCAAAAACTCAATTACCAGCGAAAATAAGCAATCAGAATCTGTATCTTCGTCAACTACAGAACAACATTCAGAAGCTAAAGCAGAAACTAAAAGTCCTAAAGAACTTATTCAAGATGGAACATTTTTCACAGTATACAAAGATATAAATCAAATAAAAACCGTTTTAAAGGAGAACGAGCTTACTTATGATGAATCCATTAAGATCCTTGACCAATTAAAAACGGTTCAGATCCCTGATAACCAAGATTCTAAGATATTAAAAGTATATAAATTCAAAATTTTTAAATATCTGAAAATTAAGTTCGACAACAAACTTGTTAACATTCACGAATTCATTAAAAAGGCGAATACCGTACTAGAACTCTCCGTATTAGCATCAATGGAGCAATTTCTAACAAATTTACAAAATGATCAATGCGATCTTAGATTAGGAGCAACTCCAGAGCAAGCCGCAGAGATTCAGAGGCTCAGAAATCTCATTGACCAGAAGAAAGCTGAAATTAGGCAAACAAACAAAAATATCCAAAATTTAAGTACCGAAAAGCCTCAGATTGAGTTAGAAGGCGAAACTGCAGAGAAACAGATCAATGATATACAAAACGATATCAATACTTTCAAATCAGGACATCAAAAAATTTTTGAATTAGAAGAATTTGATGACGGAATTGATGTTGAAATTGCCAACGAGAGCCAACGAGCTGCAGACATACGAAAGAGTGCCAATAACAACTGGCAAGAGATCAATAAAAGCAAAAGAAAGTTTTACCAATATTTCAAAAAAGATAATTCAGATGAACAATTCAGCGATCTTATTTCATCAGGCTCAGCTGAAGGAGGAGTCAAAATGACGAAGTTTGGCTTCCATTTACTATGTTTATTGATTGTTATTGGTGGAATTACTCTTTCAGGACCAATGGTTTGTTCATCTCCTTATGAATTTGAAACGACAAAGAATATTTTGTTCTATGCTTTACCAATGTTTGGAGCTTCTATTCCTCCTTTTGTTTATATGTTTATGAAACTATTATGTGACGAAGACGAGAAAACTATTTTCTTTATTTCTGACAAAAGAATTTTAATTTCTGTCATTGACTTAGTTTTTGTTGGATTAACAATTGGACTTCATTTTTCACCCAAAGTAGTTCCTTTGCATTTATTAATTAGAACACTTCAAGGTTTTGTTGTTGGCATAATGTCTTTTGTTTATCCAATGACATTAAGACAAGTTGCATCAAAGAAGAAATATAAGACATATTTAGCTGTTTATTTTGTTTTCTTCGGTTTGGGAATTTTCTTGTTCAGAACAATCGGAGTTCATTGGATCAAAATTATTTGTATTATTCCTTTCTTACAAGGTTTATTGATCTGGGTCTCTAATGACAATAATTACAAAGAAATTGATCTCTCTCGTTATATATTTTATAAAGAATCAAATGATATTTATGTTGTTCAAACAATAGCTACATTCATAGTTCATGCATTTATTGGATCTATTACATTTTGGATTGGATTATATCGATTTAATTATGATTATTTATCTATTTTCAAATATACAATAACTTTCATTTCTCCATTGATTGTTTTCACAATTATTTTCCGATTCTTTACAAATGAAATATGGGAAAGATTTACAATTTACTATTATATTTTGTCAGACATTTTGTATTTTATTGGATGCGGAATTGGTTTAGGATTGAAAGATACGATTGGATTTTATCTAATGGCAGTAGCAAGTGGATCAGGTCTATTTTTCCTTTGTTGGGATCATTATTTCATTCTTAGAAAAGCCAATCCAGTATCAACGATGGCATTTTCATGGAGTTTGTTTTGGTTTGTCAATGGATTTTCAGCGGTATTGTATCTGATGACAACACCTTTTATTTGGTTCATTGTTGGCGCAAGTGTTTTAGGTCTGTATATATTAAGTATGATTATTTGTGTCATTTTCTACAACGATCATTATATACTTGATTTTGATTTAAGATCCGATAACGAATTCTTTAACACAATAATTTATTGTTTATCAGCAATAGCAATTGGCGCAGCAGTAGTTGGAAAATGCAACTTGAAAGATGATTATTATGTTATGATATATCATACTGTTCCTCTCTTTGGTGCAGCATTTGCATCTCTTATTACAGTTTTGTTTAAGATCTGTTTAGATTATAAATATATTTTCATCTTCGAAAATCGAGAATTGCAGTTAATGGTGTTTAACATCATTTTTATTATTTCAACAGCAATTGTAGGATATCTTGATAATCCAATTATTGTCTTAGTGTTTAGAGGTATTGAAGGTATAGCAATTGGTTTCTTGGCTTTTCTTTCATCAATAATGATTTCAGAGCTTCAGAAAGAATTCTTTAGTTTTTATTTGGGTAGTTTTGCTGTTGGACTTAGTATTGGTAATTGTATTCTTGAGAAATGGCCGATTCTTGCATTATTAGCATCATCATTGCAGGCAATGACCATTTGCTTTTTGGAGCCAAATAAAGCCACGGATTTCGATTTCGATTGCGAATTATTTACTGGCAAGGAATATGAATGGGCTACTCCTATTCTTACAACATTAGATGCGTTTGTTGGTGTTATTGGAATATTTATTTATAACTCAAGAAATGCTAAATCATATCTTGATGCTTTTTATTATGACATTGCATTTTGTGCTGCAGCAATTATGAGTATAGTTATATTTTATTTTATTTTTAACGAAAATGATGGAGAACCATTAACCTTACTATATCATTATCTTTCAATTGTTGTTCTTCTTGTTGGATTTGTCTTATATTATCTTCAAATAACTGCAGGATTATATGTAATAGGTGCTGGAATTGGTTTTGGTGCATTTAATGTTCCATGGGCTTGTTTCATATCAGATAATTATTATGGACCCTCATTTATTTTTGCATGGGGATGTTTCTGGATTGCTAATGGAAGTGCAGCATTCCTTTATCTTAAAGTAAGATCTGAAACTTGGGCAGTTATTGGTTGGATAAGCATGACTGTACTTGTAGGCATAGCAGCATTGGCTGGATATGTTTTGTTTACAAAAGCTATCAGGCATAATTGTGCTCTCAACAATAGTGTATTCTGGTGTATTTTCTTAGGATTAGGAGGAATTCTTGTTGGAACAATCATCGCGCCTGGCATCTATGATGATGACGAGTATCATTATCCACAAGGTATATCACCTGATTATAATAGTAGTGATTTTTCAAATTATTATTATAATCATTATTACGAAGAATACATTGAGGATCATAAATCCGGTTTTGAGGTTAATTTCCGATGGCAATTTGGCTCTTGGGGAAAGTTCAGTTCGTATCCTCCGTTATTCGCCTTGGTTGGAGCCGGAATAACAATTTTAATTGATATGTGTGTACTAAGTGATTTGAGAATTTTATTTACAATAGCAAACTTTGCATATATATTGTTCACAGGCTTAATGATTATTGGTGGTATTCCAATGATTGTATTCAAATATTTACAATCGGTTGCCATAGGATCTTTTTCAATCCTAATTCCACTTATGATGAGATCAGTTGCATCATCAGAAGGCTTTTATCATGCTATTAGTTTTTATTTATTAATGATACCTGTTGGAATGTTAATTGTATCTTATGTGCAAATATATTATATGTATTTTGTACATGCATTGCCATTATTTTATATTATTCTAATATGGTTCTCAGATGAATTCGATTATGAATGTGATGATGCAGACGGTAGTGATGATCCTACTTATTTTGATATGGCTCTAGCCCTTGCCGCACCATTTTACAGAGGATTTTGCTGCAATTGTTTATGGGTTTATCATTACAAAGGAATGGGAAAGTTTGTATCAATGCTGCATGTAATTTTAGGAGTAGTATTCGCTATTTTGTACGGCATGTGTGTTGGTTGTGACTATTTAGATTCAACTTGTTATACTATTTTCAAATTTCAAATGGGACTCCTTTATTTGGCAGCTGGTATCGTTGCAGTTATTTTTATTGGTGATAATTCAGATAGAACGCCTGCAATTGCTGTTATGGCCGCTGCATACAGCTTTGGAATCTTTCAATTACCATACCTAAGATCTGCCAATAATCATGATGCTTTTTCTATCTCTATGTTTACATTAATGAATTGGTTTTCAAGCACCATTTCATCTGTAATGTGGTATTACATTCCACGTATAACAAGTATAATAGTACTTGTTGGATGCGTACTATTCTTCATTGCAAGATTTATAAGATGGATTTGTCATTAAATTTTAAATCTTTTACTTTCAGCAAATAGAGAAAATACTATAAAAACATGTTAATCTTTCATTAATTTGGAATCTTTTCTTTTTGAATATTAATTTTTGAAATCTCCCTTCGTAAAGTCTATAATTCAAATTTTTGATAGAGGTTCATTCAATACTGAGGTAGAAAAATGATAGGGAGACTTTGCGTAGTTAATTGGGTTTAATTTCCAAATTATTTTTCGAAAATTCCACGTTTCATATATGTAATTAATCAATAATTGAAATGTATAGCTAGTTCCCTTCGATAATATATCATTCGATGTTTGGAAAATTGATCAATTTTTCATTTATGAATTCAATACTCTAAGCTTGAATAAATTGAAGTAGACATGTCAGCATTATGAACCATTTAATTCAATTTATTATTCAATTAAAAGGTTCTAAATGAGGTTAATATGAGATATGAGAAAAAACAAAAAAATTAATCGAATAGCAAAACAAAAACAATTTATATTAGTCTGATTTTCCTCCTTTGAAGCCGTTTGTCTTTCTATGCTTATAGATGAAGAAAATTATATAAATAACAAGCTCAACTAAAGCAATTTTTCGCAGAATTTCAATAATTGCCTCATTCTTTTGTGGTTCAAGGCCAAGAGCTGACTCAAGACCGCATTTTCCTATTGATATATCCTTTACCGCTTCCATCATCTCTTTTTTAATACTTTCCATAGAAATAACTGCTTCCGATCGTATTCCCTTTATCTTATGATTAAGTTCTATCCATAAATCTTCAAGAGATTCTCTTGTTGCGTTAAGATTTTCACTTGCAGCCTCAATTTTGTCTTGTGCTGTATTCAAAGGTATTTCTAAACGATTTCTGATTATTCTTTCCAGTGCTCCTGACGTTATTGAGTTCATTGATCTTTCATATAACTCAATTATAATATCTATTGCATCTTTGAGCATTATATCGGTTCCTGTAACATTCTGGATCTCTTTTAGCTGAGAAATGTAGAACAATGACTTCGGCATCTTCGATCTTCTTCCTTTCTTCTTTAATTGACGTTCGTAATAGCGAGAATAGATGATTTTTCTGTTATGTGATTCTATTTTAGGGTCAAAAATCTCTTGTAAAGGTTCGTTTGAATATGTTTGAACTGTATGAAGAGAAAATGAAGTTCCGCTCGTATTTGAGTTCTTAGCAACAAATGAGAAGTAGCCACGGTTGATTAAAGTTGGGTAGCTGAAGATAAACAAGTCTTTGTATTGTCCTGCGATTGATGTCTCGCATGATGAAACTTTAACAATATCTGAGAGCTTTTGGAAGAGTAAGAACAACTTCTTCGTTGTTTTGGGGAATGTTACATTGCCAATATTTAGGTATTCAAACTTTGTGATGTTAATTCCATCATATGCTCCAAAATATATTGGATAGGAGCCATCTGCGCTTTCTGAACTAGTATTTATCCATATGGAAAAGCCTTTGATGTCTTCTGTAGTGAGTTGGCACACTTGATCACTGTAATAAAAATAAAAACCATCTCCAGGTTTATAATCTTCAATAGATAATTCTAAGTATACCATCCAATCGTTGAATAGTGTAGGAACACGTTGGCAAACTGCGCCGAACTCTTTTGCTGCTTCAGATGTCAGTTGCAAATGTGATTTTTTATTAAGAGCATTGCCAAGAAGCGTCCAGTTTCCGATTTCACTGATATTTGTGAACTCAAACACTGGTGTTAAGCTATATCTAGGTATAAAAGATGCCCCAAAAATCGAAAAGAAAAGAATCATTTGTCACCTTTTGTTAATTTTTAGTATGTCATTTACAGCTGAAGAACAAGCGCTTATTGAAAAGGCTTTTGAGTTATTAAAGAACGAAAACGCAGCTAGTAAAATTGTTAGAGACCAGTGGCTTACTCCATATGATGCTTATTCTCAGTTTATCGCAACAGTTAAAACAAAATTTGGTAAAGACGAAGCACTTGCGAAATATCTTAAAGAAGTTTATAATACAGATTCAATAGATGATGCTCTTACACCAAAAGTAATGTTCGAATTAGCACTTACAAATTTAATCAACACATTTCTTAAGAAATAATAAATAAACTATGTGTATTTTCATTAATATCCTTGTAAATACTAATAATTTTTTATATTTATTTTTTTGGCTCTAAAAAAAGATCATTTGAGAAATTGGCTAATTAATTCATTTATTTTATTTTTTAGTTCATAAATTTAAACAGGGGTTAACACTATTCAATCAAAATTTGATCAACGATTATTTTCAATTGAAAGTTTGACGATCATAGACAAACAATTGTATATTTAAAAGCGGCTTTATCAATTTAAATAATGACAAATTGCTGTGTGCGCTGTTACACAAGTGTTGGATGTGCTGCCTGCTATGTAGTTATCAGTGTTTGGGGCATAGTCATGCTCGGCATTATGGCCATTCTTTTCGGTATCGATAAAGCCGGTACCATTGGTGATCTTAACCCTCATCACACAAGAAAAGACAATACAAAAACATTATGGATTAATGTTATCATTTACTTCATTGTTTGCATTTTAAGCTCAATCAGTCTTTGCTACAGACTTAAGCATCCATTTGAGGACGACAAGGCTAACGAGGAAGTTGATGAAATAGAGGAGATGCTCAAGAATGCACCAGAAGAGGAGCAAAAGAAATCCGAAAATGCAAAGTCTGTTGAGCAGCCTCTTAATAGCAAATAAGCCGCTTAGGGAAGGGTAATTGAAACTTTAGTGTTCGTTCTTATTATACAGGAGTTGTAATGAATTAAATTGGTTATAGATACTAATTCTTGAAATAAACTTTCTATTTCTTTTTCTTCTTTTTACTATCTTTTGGAGATGCTTTTGCACTAGGTGATTTTCGAGTTTTCTCGGGTGGATACGAATTTTCTGATAAAAATGCATTTTCCGAGTCAACTGGCTTGGATGCCAATATAGCCTTGTATAGTTCCGGATCTTGGTGTTGTAACTTGGAATTTATTTGTGGAATCTCTTCTTTTTTCATTCCAATTCCTTTTGCTATTACAAGATCGCTAACAAGAGTGTTGCAGCTCTTTATGAACAAAAATGTTGATCCTGGTATCTGATCATTGATACTATGTAACTTATCAACGATTTTCACGTGTTCGCCCATAACAACTATATCTATTATGACGTTATTCTTAATTGAAAGTGCTCTAATAGTAGCAGCGATCTCATCTGTCATTAAACAATCTGATGAAACAAAAATTAAAATTCTTTTTTCCGATGGGATTGGTATGCAGTTCTTAAGTGCCAAAATAGCACTTTTGACTCCAAGTAATATGTCAATAGGCTCTTTTCCTCTTTTAATATTTGGAATTGAATTTGCAATGTTATTTGGTTTTGTTGTTGGGGAAGAACGAATGCCAAACTCTGGTCTCGACATTGTGATAATTCCAACTTGCGAATTTTGGTTAGATTGATTATAATTTTTTGCTAGACGCTCTGCACATGTTGTTTGAGCATTTAATCGATCAGTTATGAAATCCCCATTGATTGATGTTGGAGAATTATCGATCAAAATGATAGTAGCTCGATCTCTAGATTCCATTCAATCTCCGATAAATTTTTTTATCGTTTTTTTCTCTTTTATTTATTTTTGACTATTTTACGTGACAAAAAAAATACCATCAATGATTTCTGCTTCTAAAAAAAATAATAATGATGAGAATCAACTTGAAATCACTAAAGCAGAAACAGATACAGAAAACAGTCAAGATATAGTTAATGCTGATTTCATTGCAAGTTTGTTTAATATTGAAGAAGATATTCAACAAAATTTGGAAAATGTTGCATTTCTTATCAAAGAATACTATCACAAAGATTTAGAACCACAATTTTTAGAGTTATCTACTCGTTTAATCCCATTATTATCACCAGAAATTTCAAAAGATCAAGAATTAACAAATTACGCATGCATTCTTTTTGTAATATTTATAAAATCTCCAGGAATATGCAATTACTATGTTAAACACGATATTCATCAATATTTATTCAATTATTTACCAAATCCTATGGCTATTTCATTGTTTCAGCAATTACTCGTATTCAATCAGCATCCAAAGCACGAAATGATCATTAAATCTCAGGATACTGATCTCCAAATTTATGATCAAGTATTTTCCTTCCTCAAAGAGAAAAACTTCTTAGATATCATCCTCAACGTGCTTAGAACAACAAACCCTGATGATAAATTGTTTATGTCGTCCTTAATGTGCTTTGGTTCATATTCTCATTATGATGTCAATAATTCTCAAGTTAAAGCTTATCTAGATAACTTACTAAGCATATTCTTGAATAGCGAAACAAGTGATAACTTCAGATTTTATCTTTTCTCTGTTTTTAATAATTTTGTTGAAAGATCAACAGAATATCTCAATTATTTCCTTGGAAATGCCAGTTTTCTAGACATTGTCAATAGTTTTGATCACAATAACGTTCTTTTGTGTAAAGAATTCATTCGTTTCTTATCAATTTGTGTTTCTGAAAAAGAAGATATAACAGTTCAAAGTGTAAACACGCTTATGACACTCATATTTCCTTATATCGAAGAACAGAACCCGAATTTTACCAATTCTATAGCGAATTTCTTCCATGAATGCGCTTATTCAATTCAAAACATTACAAAAGTGACAATCGAAAATAACATTGTTCAAATTTTGAATGAACAGCTCAATGACGATTTTAATTTTGAGACGAAATCGGATGTATTAAGGTCTATATGTTCGTTGATATCCGTTGCTGATGATGAAAGTATCCAATACTTTCTTGAAAATAATTATTTGCAAATTGTATTAGATTTTGTAGAACCAATGTGGAGATACGCAGGTTTAGAAATGACTGATGCTCTTTATCAATTTGGTTCATACGCAATTAGCCACGATGAATCGTTAATTTCTGAAATTTTTGATTCAGATGCTTTTATGTTTATTCGAGAGATTTATGATTCGATAGAAGATTATGCAAACTGTAGAGAGCATTCTCTTCAAGCAAGTGTAATGGTTTTGGTTAATTTAGATCCTAATTTTAAAGATTTTGAAGATTAATATGTTGTTTGTAAAAAATATTAGTTGTTTATGATAATTAATGAATTTTTTACTAAATTTAAACATAACAAAACAAAAGTAAAGGAAATAGAAATAATGATAAGTCATAGCTCTCTATAGGAATCAGTGATAGTAGAAATCATACTAATGTGGTTGTATTTAATGTTCCAAACTATGAAATTGAACAAAAATTATTGTAATGATTCAGAAGATACAATTTTGTACAATTTAAGTAGTATAATATGAAATACAAGTAACAAAATGAAGCAATTCTAAATATATTAGATCTTTTTTCCAATTAGTTGACCAAGCCAACAAAAGAAGAAACCAACCACATGATTTGCTACAACATTAAGTACAGCTATCATGTAATCTTTATTTTTTCCAAGTTTAAATGTTTGGCTGGCGAATGTTGACCAAGTTGAATATCCACCACAGAAACCTGTTGTTAGTGCTACGTGTAATTCTTCTGGATAGTGCTTTCTAAATGTAATTTTAGATAATATTCCATACAAAAAGCAGCAAGTGATATTAATGATAAAAACTGCTAGTGGAAACTTCTTTTTATAGCATTTATCGAATAATATGCAAATAACCCCACGAAAAACAGCTCCTATTGCACCACCAATTGCAATATAAAGGACTTCAATGCCCATGGCTCTAAAATAAACTTAAAATCTTTGATCGTAGTTTACACTGTATCGTACCGATTATTTTGCATTCAAACTATTTTGTATTTGATTAGTGCTATTTTACTTTCAAATAAAGCCGAATTCATTGATGAGCAATTTGATAAAGTAGCTGTTGAATTCAGCAATGGTTGACCCATATAGCGAACTCATGTTGTATCCAAATATTAGTGAAGAAAAATATTAACTTTGTTGAACCAGAGCTATTGTTTTAAAATGCTAGATTTGATCATGTTTAATTATTTTTCATTAGATTTTGCACGTTTGTCTACAAATTTGAATCCAACATTCCAAAATTGGATCAAGAAAGAGGAAATTGTATTGGTGTATCCTATCATTCATAAAGTTAAACAAAATTTACTAATGATTAGGCAGATTTATTGCAAGATTACCAAATTTTTTTTCCAATTTTTTAATATTTAATGAGATAATATAAGCCTTTATAAGAGATTTCACTAGAACTGTGTAGTAAATAGTCCAACTTTGTAGAATACCATGAAATATTTTTCCAAAAAAAATCAAATTTTTCAAAAATGATTGAAAAAAATAAGTTTTTCGAATCAAATTAATGAAATTCAAATATTTTTGGAAGACAAATTCATTGTAAATTAATTGTATATGCATGTTTACTTCTTAAATACACAAAATTATGGACAAATGAAAAATATTTTTGAAAATTTCTCATAGTTTTCATTGTTAATATATCATTTTATTTTTATTTGAGTTCTGTTTCAAATTATTTGCTTTTTATTCTTTTTTAATTTGGAGTCTCTGGTATTTCGCCATCGAGACAAACCATATAATAGTCCTATAGAGGAAGAAGATGAAGACGAATACTTACAAGCTTTAATGTCATGCAAACAAGTTGTTATTTCAGATAATTTTTTACAGCAAGCAATTGATTCTTTGCAATCAAAGGATTTGAATGATATATTTCAAGGAATAACCTATATTAGCGAGTACAGTACATCATGCCCTAAAGATTTATATTCTAAACTTGATCAAAATCAAATTTCATTTTTACTATCTTACATCAATGTACAAGAATTTCAACAAAAAATTCTCATATTCATAAAGTCAATGCTTAGAGCACCAGAGTTTTATTTAGATGAACAATATGTTGCAAAAATTTATGAAATTTTACTCACAGAATCAAATTTAGAGATAATCATTCTTGTTATTGATATTTTAAGACAATACTGTACTGTTTACACACCTAATCAAGTTAAATTTCTTGATATAATTAATTTTGATTCGATTTTTACAATTAATCTTGAAAATACAAAGTTATTACATAAATTTTTGAAGTTTTTGATGATACTATATTCATCACCTATCTCCAGATTTGTTCCAATGCTTGAATCAAAAATACCAAACTTAGAATTTTGGCTTAGTAACGAAAGTGATTTAAAAACTATTGCATTAACCCTTAGTATTATGGATAAGGCTATTAAATGGTCCAAAAATACACAAGAAAACGCAGAAAATTACGTTTCAATCTGTTTCAGTTTTCTATTTTGTGAAGAACAGAAAATAACATTCTTACTACTTTCATTTCTTCGAGATGTTTCAAAATCATGTCCAGAATCATTAATTGATCACTTAAGTGAAATTTTCAACTTTTATCATCAATATATCAATGATATAAACATAATGAAGCAAGTAATCTCCATATTATGTGAGCTTTCATCATCAGAAAACTTGATTATTCCAATTCTAAATGTGTTTTTTGCAGATATCAACGCTTCATCCAGTTTATTCAATTGTAGTTATAAGATACAGTTACTAGTATTAGATTTTACAAACCAAATGCTTAAGAAAACCCCTCTTTCATATTATAACTTAATTCTTACTGATTATATATTTAATATCTATACAGATACACTAATTAATGATACTAATCATGATGTTTGTAATGATTTTATTATGATTCTTGCATCTATTTGTAGTCAAAATCCTGTTTCAGATGATTTTACATGGTTAGTTGGCAAATTGCATAATGATAGCTTTATATCTATCATTTCAGAAATAGACAATGAATGTTCTCAAGTTATTCTAGATATTCTCAGTCAATATTAAAATTTTGTTTAATTTATACTATTTTTTAAACTATTTACTATCATTATATAACAGAAACTATACGTTAACTCCTTATGCATCAAATTTGTTCATTTCGCACTAAACATATTTCAAAATTTGTAAATCTACTATTTCCATTCTCATTTTTTATAATCCAAATCCCCAAAGATAGTTTATATAGTTATGGATTCGTGATTTGACATTGATGAAGGTGTTGGCATGGATTTTATATTTGAATACTGAAAAGTATGTTAATTGCAATATTAATCTACTTGCTTTTATTGGGCCTTCATAAAAGATGCAATATTTCTTTGCGGATGCAATATGTTAATTAGCAATTTAGAAACATTTCATATTTTGAATCAAGGAGTTCATTGTTTATTTATTCTCCAGAGAAGTAACATTGTTTTGGTATTAGGAATCTTATAAGTCAAGTTTTTTTTTTCTTGAAAGATTTCTGACTTGAAACCAATCAATCAATTGAAAAGAATATAATCAAATAGGAATTTACAACAATTTTAAAGAATAAAACAATTTTTATTTCATAAATGGGTGCTGAAGAATCAACAACTAACACAAAATATATAGAATGCCTTTCCACCCTTACAAAGAAGGATTGCTCCAAGGACGAGAAGTTCTGGATCAGTCTTATCTCAATGGCTCCACCGAGAAACCAAACTTTACCATCTCCTAAAATTTTATTCGACATAACAGCACATTATCCACAAAATATTATCGGATTATACCAGACATGTGTAAAATACATGGAAATTAATGAAAAATTATCATCAGATCAACCATTACCAACAGTTTTCACAGATCAGTTTGCTTTTGTATTAAATTTAATCAACATGATGTCTGCAGTTCTCATACAAACAAAGCATTTCCATCCAATTCTTAAAGAAATTTTAGGAACAAATGAATCAACAGAAAACTCTCAGAAAGACAAACAAAATGAGCCAAAACCAGAAGAAAAACAAGAAACTGCTACTACAGAATCAGAAACAAAGGTAGAAGAGAAGGAAAATAAAGAAGAAATTGCATCCAAAGAAGAATCAGAAAAGAAAGAAGAAAATCAAGCTAATGATGAAACAGACAAGAAAAAGAATAAACAAACTCAAGAAGAAACCGAAAATAAAGAAAAAATTGAAGAAAATAAAGAAGATATTCCACCAAAACAAGGAACAGAGAACAAATCAGAACAACCAACGGAATCTACAGAAAATAAAGAAACTACAGAACAAAAACAAGAAGAAAAAACAGAAAATACAGAAAAAGGAACTTCAGAAAATATTATTCCATTCGAATTACAAAGAATCAATTCACCAAACAGTTCTTTATACGTCCGATTCCTCCAATCAGCCTACAATACACTTTTCAGAGAAAATATTACTTTATTCAACGAAGAAACATTCTGGCTTGAGAAGAATGAAGACTATACGCAATCTATTAGCCGTTTAGACCTAATCCACTCGATTTTGTTCAATATTAATCTTCCATATTTTGCCAAAATCGTTGGAACTGAAGAAGTTGCCATGCCAATAGATAATTTAGAGTTTCCATACCATGAATTCGTAATATCTGTCTTCTATCTGATTCATCATCATTTTTATGACCTTGGAGCCAATCCTTCAGACGTAATGACCTCTCTAATGAAGAATTCTCTTGCTCTGTCTGCATATTTCCTTGTTCATGATCACAATATATTGACCGCTATGTCAGATTTGGAAAATACTGTTCCATTGACAACAGTAAAACTTGCTTTACAGAGAATTCTTGCTAATCCAAGTCATCTTTACTTTAGGGAATCAGTAGCCATCATTTATGGCCTTTTGTATTCAGATCCAGACACAATTCAAGTTTTCGCTGAGGATGGATCGACCAATGAGATGATATTTGCACTCCTCCAGTACCTCCAGTCATCGTACGAACAGGGTGGATTGAGTTTTGTCCATGTTTTGATAGTTTCCATCATAGAACTCTTCATACAGAACTCGTTAACCGCTGCTTCCCTTAACTGCCCATTTAATGCATCCTTCCTTGCCACTTTCAGGCCACATCGTGGAACTTACGCCGATTTATTATTTGAGATCCTTATGAATTTCATCGGTAAGGAGCCACTGAGCTTACAGATATTCTCCACATTCGCAAATCTCGCTGGATACATTGACGAAATCACTCTCTATAACTCAGTAAAAATCGGAAATGCTATTGAACACCTTATAACATCAAAAGACCTTGATGCAAAGAAAGACCAACTTAATGCGGCCCTTACTTTCTTCGCTAAGATCATTCAGAAGAAGGAACATCGTAATATTAACATTCAATTGATTGTTTACCAGAAATCTAAGATTTTCAAGGAACTCAAGACACGTTTGACTGATTACAATGCACCTCTCGAAGTTATATTGCATTTTTGCGAGGCTGCAAAGACAATTTTCTCAAATTCAGGCAAAAAGAATGTTTCTGCCGAAGAAGCTTCTAAGATTTTAATGGGATTGGATATGGAAGAGGTATTCCCCGTTGTCAGAGAGTTTGAGAAGTTCAAACACGAATTCAACGATTATCTCCACGATGGAATGAAGAATTGGGCAACATCGTTGTTATCTAGTGTAATTACTAGAGAAAAGGAAATCCTCAGGTACGGTGATCAGAGGAAACAGCAGCAACAGCAAAAATCTCAATAAAAATTATATATTTATGTTTAACCATCATTTTATTACATTTGTAAACGATTATTTTATCATAACCTTTGTATATGTTTTAATTATTAAGTAAATTTAAAACAAATAATGATTTCTAATCGTTATTTGGATAATTGATGCTTTTAACCTCAATAATAAAGTACTCACAAACAAGTAATATGTTTGTTGTAGCTTAGGCATACTTAATTTAATTATTTTGCAACCATGATAAATAATGATATCGAATAAGCTTAATGCAATGAAATTGTTATAGTTATCGATGATGAATAACTATAGTATGCATTCACATAGATTTTAATAATGATATTTTTTATAGAATTTTTTGGATTTTATTTAATGTGGTTAGAATTGGATGTAGTCGATTGAAAAATGTTATGGAGTAATTTTAACTGTAATACAGACATATTAAAAACAATTTATATAACAACAAAATAACAAACAAAACATCTTTGATCATATTTGTAATAAAGTTTTCTTAGAACTTACGTAGTTTGCGAATCATCATTGAGAATGAGACAAGAAAAATGAGCTTTTGATTTCGTATCCTTAATTTTTCGTTAAATTAAAAAATAATATAGCAACAATGTTCTATTCCTTAAGGATATGACTTGTATACATATGATTGTGCTGAACACCTAATATAACTATCAGATTTCCGAAAAAATTATAGTAAAAGGCAACATGTTGATTTTTGGTTCTGTTGGGTCTCATTATTTTCTTCTTCCTTAGAACCCTTTTGAGGTTCTGCTGTTTTTTGAACTTCTGTCGAAGTCATTGATAATCTTGACCGATCTTCAGTATTAAAGTTAGTCATTGATGTTTGTGAACCATCAGGAAAATGCAGTGATGGTATATATACGTGTTTTGATGTTGAAGTATACTCAATAGTTGAATCATCAGACATCAACCACTTATGAATTTAATCTGAAAATATTTCAGTTATTGACATAGTCATTAAATATAGAACTTTGGCAGCATTTTGTTTCATTTTTCTTTTGTGACTCAATTCGGGGATCGTTTTTTCAAAAATAACTTTGGAATTATTATAACCATATGAATGTGAATTAAATCCATCATATGAAATCCTTAAAAACGATTAGGATTCAATAGCATTCAGTCAATTGTTAGAAGTGGTTCCACACTGGTTATTTGGTGTCAATCAATGGGGTAAGTAGGGTATAATGCATACTAGTATGACTAACTGAAGCCGTGATTAAATCGAGAATTAAGCTAAGTTGTAGGGATATAATAATCTAACTTCGATGATATTATAATATTATTAATGTTTAGAGTATAAATCATTCTACACTATCAGTATCACAATATGTTTGATCTATATTTCACAATAATGCTTAATATTTGGAGAAATCATTTGATAATCTTTTAATAAAAATATGATTTTTCGTATAAAAGACTATTCATATGTATTTATAACATTACAATAACCAAATATATCAGTAAATTACCTTTAGTGATAGTTATACATAAAGAAATAAAATATTAGTTGTTACAATCGGTAAAAAATATGAAAACTGTTTTTAAAATTTTAAGATAGCAAATGTAGATAAAAGCTTCAATGTTTCAAAAAAATTAAGAAATTGAGTTAGATTGCATTGAAAAATGATGCAGACACCAGCTCATATCTCAATATAATTGATAAGATAATGTTATTTGTTGACTTCATATATGATATTAGCTCTCTGATGAGGAGATGCATTTTCATTTATAACCAAAACCGGCATTATTGTTGATTTAATAAAGTAAATATTTGAATTATGTATATTTAGGGCGTTAACAAACTAAGAAGTATACATTCCCGATAAAATAATATTTGATTTAATAAAAGTGAATTTTAGAAATTGATATAAATATATATGAATGGATATTAAAAATAACTACTTTTACCGATTTATAATCTCCTCAATTTGTTTAGAAAATGAAAAATTGAAACTCTTTTAAAAAATTTGAAATTTTCCGCGAATATAATTTGAATTGGAATACAAATATTTCAGAGTCTACCAGCGTGCTCGAGCAGAATTATTTTTGCGTTTTTTTATGAAAAAGTAGGGTTGTTAGATTCCCGACGATAGGTGTCTTGGAAGATTTGCCTGGTGTCATCATAGTGTCTTTAAATCAAAAATTTTATTTTGGAGTTAGTTTTATTGATTTTTCAATAAAAAACATTTCGAAAACAAGAAAATAAAACGATAAAATATTTATATTTTATATAAGGATCTTATATATTTAAAATAAATATCATTTTATTTTTTTCATTGGTGTCTGTCAAACCATAATACACTATTCAAAAATTCAATTTGTCTTGCGGTTTCAAAAGACACCTTCAAATTGAACGATAGCACAGACACTATTGAATTTTACCCATTTTATTTAGTTTTTACCCTTTTTATTTTTAAGAATTAATGACTGAAACAGCCGTTTTGCTATGACCTCAATCACTTTTATTTATTATTCTAAATATTATTTAATTTTATTATTTGAATAGGCCAACTTATATTTGAGAAGCTCAATTTGAGACTACTTAATACATTGAAATATCATAAATATTGAAATATTAAAAAGTGTATTTCAAAATATTGAAATTATAAAAATTTATAATACTGAAATTGAGACAAATTAATAAATTCAATGTGTTTTTTTTGAAATAACTCTCAAATATTACTTTTTTGTTTATTTAATGATGAATAAATATGATTGCTTTAGTCAATCATAAAAACTAATTTAAGTTTAAAATAATGAAAGGATAATTTGATCGTTTTTTAAAATACAATTATTTTTGATGATTTGCAAGAATCTTTGAAAAGAATATAATATAGGTTCTATTTTTGTAAAATTTATCCAAATCATGTATTACATAAATTACGATTAAAACGATGAAAGAACCAAAAAGTGTCTTTTGTGTTTTGTTGTTGCGTGTTGGATGCGGGATCCTGTTATTTCCGAAATCGACAAAAAATTTGGAAATTTAATTTCCGAAATCGAAATTATATTAATGTTTTTAATATTCTTATATCAAAAGGATTAAAGTTCATTAAGAGAAAAACAATTCTTCTTCTTCAATCTATTTGCGCATTTATTTCTACACGCCAATAAGGAAGGGAAAATTATAAGACACCATAGTGTCTTCAAAACGCTAATTTTTGATATTTTTAACAACCCTATGAAAAAGTTATTTCATATCATACGTAGATCTCCAAAAAGTGAGAGTGTCAGAAAATTTTCTGACAAAATTTTCGACAATTTGGCTTAAATAAAAAAAGGATTTAAAAACTTCAATATATGACGAATCTAAATTTCGATTTATTTTGAGCTAAAACTCAAAATTGAGAGTGGAATCCCTTCTCAATTGTTCGATAATGCATTGAATTTCAAAACACTACGGAAAGATAAAAATACAATTCTAAAATACGCTTATCGATTTAATTACTATATACATTTAATCGAAATGCACATTGCTTTTGTAGACATAGATAATTAATAGTTAGATTTAAAAAAAATTGAAATTTAATTTCATGCTGAACTCATTTGTTGATATGTATTTGAACAGTCTGAGAGGTATCATTAGTGTAACATCACTTAAAGAAGAGTAATGATTAAACTTATCTTTTTCTTTTCAATAATTTTTTTAAAATAGTAATGCTTATTAAATATTTCTGTTTCCATTAATGTGAATCAACATTAATTGTATCTTGGCATTGGAAGAGAAGATGTTTCTGTGACAGCAGCTGGTCTGAGCTCAATCTTCTTCTGTTTGATAACTTTCTTGAATGTATGGAATGAGATAAGTCCCATAACAGCACCAATAATCATTGCACATACTGCATCATCGATGTGATTTCTGCGATCCCAGATACAAGCAGCGACGACGAAAATTGCGAAGAAAATTGGTGATGCCATCAAGAGTGATGTAACATTATTGTAGTATGGAATCAATTCACCAATGTACAAACAGAGGAAAATTGCGGCAGCCATTGCTTCAGCAGCTTCTGTAGCTGGGAATGACGAGAATTGGGATGCGAGCTGCTTTTGATCGAGGAATCCAGTGCATGTAAGGTATGAACCATCACCACCACAAATTGCAATTGTATCTGGTCTTGGTCTACCTACAATTTTGCCAATGGCAGCACAAACGAGCATTGCAGATGCAATTGAGAAAATGTATGAAGCTGTAGCCTTGATAACGTTAACATCATAATAGATTAAAAGCCAAAGTAAAATAACAATAAGAGAACCAACACCAAATATAACAATGCAGAGAATGCCGTATGTTAATGAGTTCGTTGATATTGGGTTATCAATGTCTGAAGTAATAAATGGAGTAAAATTCTCGCCAAAAGTGGTGTATTTAAGGATATAGGCTGGAACAAGTAAGAGAATGTTAACGATCCAGTCAATAATGGCGTATTGGGAAAGAAAGTTGAAGAAATCAACTAAAAGCATTGTTTGTATTGAATTCTAACGTCTTGCTCATCAAAAAAGAATCCGAATCTCTGATATTAAATTCATAAACAGACTATCCTTGTTGAACCGAACATAAAAAAATCATTTTTGGAGATACCAAAATCTCGTTTTATAAATAATCCGTATGAATTCAAATTTTAAATTAATTTTTGAGTGATCACTGAAAGATTTTTGATTACCCGATTCCTTTCAAAAAAAAAAAGAATACTCTTGATCCCCAGATTCTAGGGTTGTTAGATTCCCGACGATAGGTGTCTTGGAAGATTTGCCTGGTGTCATCATAGTGTCTTTAAATCAAAAATTTTATTTTGGAGTTAGTTTTATTGATTTTTCAATAAAAAACATTTCGAAAACAAGAAAATAAAACGATAAAATATTTATATTTTATATAAGGATCTTATATATTTAAAATAAATATCATTTTATTTTTTTCATTGGTGTCTGTCAAACCATAATACACTATTCAAAAATTCAATTTGTCTTGCGGTTTCAAAAGACACCTTCAAATTGAACGATAGCACAGACACTATTGAATTTTACCCATTTTATTTAGTTTTTACCCTTTTTATTTTTAAGAATTAATGACTGAAACAGCCGTTTTGCTATGACCTCAATCACTTTTATTTATTATTTTAAATATTATTTAATTTTATTATTTGAATAGGCCAACTTATATTTGAGAAGCTCAATTTGAGACCACTTAATACATTGAAATATCATAAATATTGAAATATTAAAAAGTGTATTTCAAAATATTGAAATTATAAAAATTTATAATACTGAAATTGAGACAAATTAATAAATTCAATGTGTTTTTTTTTGAAATAACTCTCAAATATTATTTTTTTGTTTATTTAATGATGAATAAATATGATTGCTTTAGTCAATCATAAAAACTAATTTAAGTTTAAAATAATGAAAGGATAATTTGATCGTTTTTTAAAATACAATTATTTTTGATGATTTGCAAGAATCTTTGAAAAGAATATAATATAGGTTCTATTTTTGTAAAATTTATCCAAATCATGTATTACATAAATTACGATTAAAACGATGAAAGAACCAAAAAGTGTCTTTTGTGTTTTGTTGTTGCGTGTTGGATGCGGGATCCTGTTATTTCCGAAATCGACAAAAAATTTGGAAATTTAATTTCCGAAATCGAAATTATATTAATGTTTTTAATATTCTTATATCAAAAGGATTAAAGTTCATTAAGAGAAAAACAATTCTTCTTCTTCAATCTATTTGCGCATTTATTTCTACACGCCAATAAGGAAGGGAAAATTATAAGACACCATAGTGTCTTCAAAACGCTAATTTTTGATATTTTTAACAACCCTACCAGATTCTAACCTTGTAATTCATATTTTTTTCATGTAGATCGCCGTTAATTTTCAAACACTTGCAAATTAAGGGCGACTTTCAGTTGAAAAATAAGTTTCTTTCAATCTCATAGATAAAATTACGATCTTCGTAGTAATTTATCATTTGAAATTGCTTTCACATAAGTTGTATATTAGAATATTATTAAATACATTGCTCTATCTAGCCTTGTTAAGAGTAAATGTGATTGATTTCATACAATACAACAAAACCATATTTATTATTGAATAGAAAATATAAATTCACCGTTACAATGAATGATTTGTTTTCCATATCAAACTCAAAATCATGTAAAGCATTGAAAAGATATTTCTGCTATATTACAATCATTATAAGATATGTGAAAGTAAAAATCATTGAATATGTAATTATTTAAGAGATAGAGAGCATAAACTGCACTATCGCAAGAAAATTATGATGATTTTGTAGAAATCGATATTCATTATATGTGAATTCACCTAATTGAAAAGTAACAAGCTATATATTTTATTTCGCACCATAACAAGATTACATTTTTGAATGTTGTACATCAGAAATCATTCTGAAATATATGAAATATTTGAAATATATGAAATATATCATCGCAGTTTCTTTGGAGCTAATTTGAACTTCATTCAAGGGGAAAAAAGAAATATAAGTAGTATTAAAAACGAAATATAAATATTATACTTTATAATAATAACAAAAGATCATTAACAGCTTGCTGCGTAGAAACAGGTTGAGCCTGAACTTGTAATCCTTTTCTTTGTGCGCGAAGCTTAGCCATCTCTGCGAAAAAGTCTTCATCCGCCATATCATCGCCATAAGTACGAAGAGGAGTTCTCTTTACAGGTTTTTCTTCAGATTTAGCATTTTTAGCCTGTCCTCTACTCTTTTGTTCGGCTTCTACTTTCATCATCGATTTTGTCAACAATTGTGTATCAAAAGAACCATTTTTCTTGAATGCTTCGTATTGGATGATGCAGCATTTAGCAAATTCAAATATCTTAGAGCAAAATGATCTTAATTTCGGATCATTCAAAGTTTGAACTAATTTTTCCGCACGACGAGAGATTTCGAGCACGTTAATGTTGATTTCTCTCAACAATGGGTCCTGTGGGTTGCCCTGTTCCGCAAATGTAGTTATCAACGTTTGGCAAAACATTGCTAATATTTCTGCAGCGGAATCGAGATCTGAGTAGAATTTAGTTCTAAGTTCATCTGTAAGTTGTGGGACAAAGTAATATGTGCAAATTGTTTTCTGCCACTTATCGAAATCGCTATTCAAGCAATTTTCTTTTGCACAGCAATCTACCCAAATTTTTGCATTCTGATGGATAAAGTTTTGAAGTTGTGGCTCTTCGGAAAGCTCAGGTGCTGATAATTGCGATGTCAATAATTTGGTCTGAAGTCTAGCCAATTGAGCCTTCTTACCGTTCTTAAACAGAGCATCAATCAACATAAGTGAGTTGTATTTTAATCCTGAAGGATCTTTTTTAAGATGCTTGACAAGCAATTCAAGAAAAACGTCAATTGAACTTGGTTGAGCTTCTACTGCATTAACCAACCTCATTATTCCTGCCCAATCAGGATGTCCAGGCTGCCCGTTGATTGCTTTTCGTATCAGGTTCTCGTGAACTACGACAAAAGCATCCATATCTGATATAAATTTGAGACGATTATTTTGTAAACAAATATTCGCAATTCATTTATTTACAAATTTCAATGGGTTGATAAAATGATTTTGATGGATATCTGTTTTTATGACAATATTAAAGCGTTTTTCAACGAAATGGAACGATAGAGACAATTTTTTTGCAAGTGTAAAGAATTTTTTTTAGGGTTTTCGGTTACCATCAAACGAAAGTTTAAGCTTAACTACCGTTTTCTTCAAGAAGATAGGGTACCCAAAATTAAGACAAAATTTCCCAGAATTGACATTTTCTAATTTCTCTTTTTGAAATCGATATGATATTATGCGAGCGAAAACTTAAAATATATAATAACAACACGAAAGATGATAAATCCATAAGTAGCCAATAACAAAATCATGGAAATTTCCAATTCTATTTCATAATTTTGACTGAAAAATGCTAAGTGTAGCAATTTTACATTAAAATTAACGTAGTTGTTTGCATTTTGATCTATTTATCTATGGCTAATGGCTGATTAATCTGATAATCTCCATCGAGATTTTGATGTAAAAGGTATTCTGGTTAAGCAAATGAAATCAGCTTCAAATGTAGTATTAAGTGGTGCTAGCACATTCCTAAATTAACAAATATGTGGAGAATTGATATATTTCATTGAAAATAAGGTCATCATTCAAAATTTTAAAATCTTTTCGTACAAATATTATTTAAAAACACTTAGCAAACAATTTTTATTTGATGGTCATATAAAATTTTGGGTTTATTTTTTTCAATTGATAACCTCATTTTTTTCAAAAATGTCGTATAAACCAACAGCCTTCATCAAGCATGTTATGACAGCACCACATTCAGAACTTGTTATTGGATCCAGAAAGTGTGCTGCCAATCCACAAGTCATCAATCTTGGCACAGCACAAAGTCATCTCTTGAATGACTTTCTTTTACCATTAATGAGGAGTCGCCCCGAGTTCACAGGATGGGATTTCACATATGCTGGCTCATATGTTAAAACAAATCTCAAGAAAGCAATCGCTCATCTTTATGAAAAACATTTTGGAATGAAAAACGTCAATCCAGATCACATTATCGTTGGAAGTGGTATCGCATACTTGGTAGAGATGCTTTCATTAGCATTCTGCGAACCAGGAGAAAAGATTTTAATCCCAGAACCATGCTATGGCTGTTTCGAGCCAGATATGTGGTCATCTGGTGCTAAAGTACAGTACATTGACCTAGATAACCTTCCAGCGGAGCCACCAGCTGATGCAAGAATTTTATTATTAACAAATCCAGGAAATCCAATCGGCGAACCTGTTCCAAACCAAGACGAATTACTTACATGGGCAATGAAGAACCCTCTTCTCCATGTTATTACTGATGAAATCTACGGTCTTAGTTTCCGAGACGGAACTAACTTTGTTTCAATGATGGAAAACAAATTTGTCGATCCAAAGCGCATCCACCATCTCTATGGTGTATCAAAAGATTGGGGAATGGCCGGTTTGCATGTCGGATTCTTTTATACAAGGAATGATGCTTTATTTGAAGCATTAAATGAGGCATGCACAGGATATTCCCTTCCAAGTGATACGAAGCAGTATCTTGAGAAGATTTTCTGCAATTACGAACTTGTTGATAAAATGATCGAAGCTTCAAGAGAAAGACTCACTAAAGCTGAAGAAACAGCAATCAGGATCATTAAAGAAGGTGGAATTCCTTACAAGAAATCACCTGCTTCCTTGTTTATGTTACTTGATTTAACGGATATTGCCAAGAATGCAGAGGAAGAGAAGAAACTATGGTTAGAACTGATTGATAGGTTCAGTGTTCACGTCCTTCCTGCATATAATGGATTTAGATACAAATATCCTGGCTGGTTCAGACTTTGTTTCTCTCTCGACGAACCACAGCTTGTTGAGGGATGCAACAGATTAGTCAATGCTGTGAAAACACTTAGAACTGAGCGTGCTAAATAATTTTTTTCTTTTTGGGCAATTTGAAAATTAAATTTATTAAGATTTTTTAATGTTTAGTAAAGAAATGAAGAAAAGAGAAAGTTTATTAACTTTAGAAATTCTTTTATTGATAATTGCAAATTCTGCTTGGCAATTACCAGTTGAAAGATGAGTCAAATTGTTAGTAAATAGTTCTCTTGTATTAGTAGGTACTACATTACTATAAAATGTTGATGAAATCGAATTGTCAATGTAACAACTATCAACTGTTAATTGATCCCAACTGTTATATATCAAACATGAACCTTCAGGAGTAGTGTTGTTAATAAAAGAACAACTTTTTACAGTAAGAGAATTACATAAATGGTAAATAATTCCATATTTTGATTTTGTTATGGTATTATTTATAATATTACATGAATCAATCAAAGAATTATAATTGAATGCTATAAGCTCAAGATCACCTGTTCCTAAATTATTAACAACAGTTGAATAATTAAATGTTGTTGTGTGTTCATCTGAATAACTGCTAAAATATCCAACAGTTCTTGTTGTAGCTTTATTTGATGAGAAATTAGTTGATGAAACTACGATATAATCACGAACTGCATCAATAGATTCACTGCCAATATCATTTCCTAAATCGAAAAAGGAACTTTCAAGAAAAAAGTTTAAGTTATTTATATCAACATTTGTCCATGAAAATTGACCTCTTTTCGAGCTTTGGCATTTTGTACAGCAGAATTTGCGTTGAACAATAGAACTATTGCTGCCAATAACGTAGTAAACGCAACTTCCAGCTTCTGTTGAAGTGCAATTACTAAAAGAACACCGATTATGTAGGAATAATGAGTTAGTAATAGGGTTAAAGTTGACAACTCGGTCATTATCACGAAAAAAATTACACTCGTCTAAGTAGTATTGACCTTTTCCGACTGAAAAATTACAGTTCTGGCAGTATTCTGTCTTTAAACTTGAAAATTGACTATTGAAGTAGAAATTCCAGGGATCGTCATCTTCTTCAGATGACTTTCTCCCAAAATTTTCCACTATGTCAAAAAAACCGATTTGTGAAAGAGGGATAGGGTTGTTAGATTCCCGACGATAGGTGTCTTGGAAGATTTGCCTGGTGTCATCATAGTGTCTTTACATCAAAAATTTTATTAAGGAGTTAGTTTTATTGATTTTTCAATAAAAAACATTTCTAAAACAAGAAAATAAAACGATAAAATATTTATATTTTATATAAGGATCTTATATATTTAAAATAAATATCATTTTATTTTTTTCATTGGTGTCTGTCAAACCATAATACACTATTCAAAAATTCAATGTGTCTTGCGGCTTCAAAAGACACCTTCAAATTGAACGATAGAACAGACACTATTGAATTTTACCCATTATATTTAGTTTTTACCCTTTTTATTTTTAAGAATTAATGACTGAAACAGCCGTTTTGCTATGACCTCAATCACTTTTATTTATTATTTTAAATATTATTTAATTTTATTATTTGAATAGGCCAACTTATATTTGAGAAGCTCAATTTGAGACCACTTAATACATTGAAATATCATAAATATTGAAATATTAAAAAGGGTATTTCAAAATATTGAAATTATAAAAATTTATAATACTGAAATTGAGACAAATTAATAAATTCAATGTGTTTTTTTTGAAATAACTCTCAAATATTACTTTTTTGTTTATTTAATGATGAATAAATATGATTGCTTTAGTCAATCATAAAAACTAATTTAAGTTTAAAATAATGAAAGGATAATTTGATCGTTTTTTAAAATACAATTATTTTTGATGATTTGCAAGAATCTTTGAAAAGAATATAATATAGGTTCTATTTTTGTAAAATTTATCCAAATCATGTATTACATAAATTACGATTAAAACGATGAAAGAACCAAAAAGTGTCTTTTGTGTTTTGTTGTTGCGTGTTGGATGCGGGATCCTGTTATTTCCGAAATCGACAAAAAATTTGGAAATTTAATTTCCGAAATCGAAATTATATTAATGTTTTTAATATTCTTATATCAAAAGGATTAAAGTTCATTAAGAGAAAAACAATTCTTCTTCTTCAATCTATTGGCGCATTTATTTCTACACGCCAATAAGGAAGGGAAAATTATAAGACACCATAGTGTCTTCAAACCGCTAATTTTTGATATTTTTAACAACCCTCTTAGAGGGAAGTTTCACTTTGTAACACTGAGAGCGTCACTTTTTAGAAAATTATTTGAGTAGGGGTAATTTTAGCTAAAAGTGACACACCTGTAAAAAATGACACACCCGTGAAGGGTGTGATTACCGATCGGTAATTTCGACAGTTTAGAATTTGAAATTTTTTATGGAACTGTTGCGAGTTTCATAAAGAATTTAAGGAATATAAGCAAAGATTTGAATCAAAATCTTAGACCTAAGCCGCTCGATTCGCTCTCGGCTTCCGCGAATTACAGATCAGCAAAGATTTGAATCAAAATCTTCGAACTAAGCCGATCGCTTCGCTCGCGGCTTTCTTTATTATTTTAAATTTGCATATTTCCATCAAAAGTTCATAAGGTAAAAAATTTCGTTTATTTTTACTAAGAAAAAAAAGGTTTTTGATAATAAATTTATTTTATTTCGAAAAAGTAGCAATAATCGTAAAAGGGTATTGATAGACTTGCTAAAGTAACTAATTTTAGCTGTCAAATACTTTTGTATTTTGAAGTAAATTAGTATAAATTTGTTTTTACTTTTATTTCGAAAAAGTAGCAATAATCGTAAAAGGGTATTGATAGGCTTGCTAAAGTAACTAATTTTAGCTGTCAAATACTTTTGTATTTTGAAGTAAATTAGTATAAATTTGATATTATTTTAACTCCCTTTGAAAACCTCAATTTTCCATACAGAGGGAACGGGAATAGCATCCAATATTCCCTGAGAATGGTTGCGCATTCTCAGTTCCCTCTATATTTCGAACGAAGCTCTCATCGGTCTTTTTTTTAATACTAAACGTTTTTTTTCCCTGTCACTTTTAGCTAAAATTTGGGTTTGCCAAATTATTTCCCCATTTTTGATTCCATTTGTATGAAATAATGATGTGTAATTATCCCCTATTTTAAATCTATTGTTTATTGGGTTGATTGATAAAAGAGAGTTTTTTTTAAATTAACGAACGAAATGTGACAAATTCGTTGATGGGAGACGAAGAAGAAGATCAATTAGATATTGGTGTATATGAAGGTGAACGCGATGAGGCTGGCCAGAGAAGTGGATACGGTAAAATGATCTTCTCCAACGGCGATATTTACGAAGGAATGTATTTAAACGGCATGAGAAATGGCAAAGGCCGCTATACATGGAAGAAAGGAGGCATGTACGAAGGAGAATACGTAAATCATAAACGCCAAGGCTTTGGTATTATGCATTATCCAGACAATTCAACATATCAAGGCATTTGGTTCGAAAACTGGCGCCACGGCAAAGGTATATATACATATCCAAATGGTGATACATATGAAGGCGATTGGCAGTACGGTCGTCGCCACGGACACGGCGTTTATACAGTTGTCTCCGATGGCTCCGTTTTCGAGGGTGAATACCGTCGTGGACGTCGCCATGGCGTTATGAAATGGACAACAAAGCATGGACTAGTATATACAGGCGTGTTCCAAAATGATCAGCCACTTGGCCGCGCTAAATGGGAAGTCCAAGGCAAGACAATTGCACAGCATGGTGAATATGCACAGATAGATGGCGAAATCGAGGAAGAAGAGGCAAATGAAGAACAACCAGAAGAAGATGTCCTCGATGAAGTTGTTGAACCTGAAGAAGAGAAACCTAAGAAAGTTCTTACTAAGTGGAAGCCAGATGTCGAGCTTAACAATAACTTTGATGAGCTTAATACAAAACCAACTTGGTATTTACGTGCTGTTGAAGAATAAACAAATTATTATTATACAATACATTCGAAAAATTATACTGGCTTTTGCCCGATCTTTTTAATTACTTTTTATTTCATTTTTTAATTATTTTTGATGAAGAAATTGATTTTTCCGATTTTATCTTTTGCAGTTTTTCTTTGCCTGATAGCAGTTAATGTAAGTAATCCACTAATGTCGATCTTTAAGCAATCTACTTCCGTTGGAAATCATAAATTAAAAATTTACATTGAAGATATTCCATCAAAATACAATAAAGACCTGATACAAGATAAATGCTCTTATTGCAATTGTAATAATTACCATTTAATTGGTCTAGAACCACTAATTCATTGCTTAATCGAGAATTCCGATTTCAAAACACAATCAATTGATGATGCCACATTCATTTTTGTGCCTTCTTATACATCAATATATAGACAACAAACTGATTTTATTGATATACCTGATGAAATTAAAAAGACAAATTCCTTTAAAATCTGGCATGGATCAAGACATCTGATTGTTGATTCCTCTATATTTTATGGAGGAAATAATAATTATATGAAGTTTCCTGATCAACATGTTGTAATCGCAACAAATTTGACAATTGATTTTATTCATGAAGATAGGTGGCTTAATTCACGACATATTCAAGTCCCTCCATTGCAAATACAAGATTCCTATCCAAAAAACGAAAAAACAAAATCAATAGTTTTTGTGGGAAATTCAACAGGGATAATAGACATTTTGAACTCAGTTAACGCAAGCATATTAAGTGATCATGATGACATACTTAATTCTATTTGTTCTTCTAATTTTACTATACTCAGACCCAATGAAATTTATCTTCCTCAATTTATATACGAAATTATTCGGTGCAGATCTATTCCTATACTACTCTCAGGTCCATTCTTGCCAGCATATGCTAATACTCATATAGATTACTCCAAATTATCAATAAGATTAGAGATGAATAATATTTCTCAGCTTAAAACGAGAATCAACAAGTTTGATATTGCAGATGGATTAGAGTACAATAGCAAGGTATACAACCATTTCTTTTGGCCGCTAAATGGTAAGATATCAAAAGGAGATGCAGCAGATATACTTTTTGATTATCTGAGTATTAGAGACCTCATTTTAACACCAGTTCTCCGTAGAAAATATATCGGAACTGAGGAATATATTTAGAAAATAATTATTTTCCTGCATGAATAGCAAAAATTTCTTGTTAAAAATATTGTATATCATGAGTATATTATATAACACTAATTTCATGAAAATGAATTACATTCAAAGGTTGTAAACGTCCCTAAATAAAAAAATAAACAGATGCCAAATGATAGGGATACTCTACAGAATGATGAGGATAATGCAACAGATACAGCATCCCAAGCCGGCAAAAATGTAGAAATAGCTACAGAAGAGTCGCTTTTTGAAGCAATTAATTTATATAGAGAATCAATGAAGCTTCCGCCATTGAAGTTCGATAATGTTTTGAGGAATTATTCATTAGAATTGGTTCAAAACAAGGAAATTATTATCCCTACTGTTGATTTTAAAGTCTACATGACAAAATTCAGATTCCTTGATCAATGGAGGAAACGTTCAACAGATAGATACATGAAAAAGTGGATAGCAGACCCATCGAAACGTACTGTTCTACTTTCTCCTGGAAATTACGGTGCAACGTGTATCTTCAGCAAACCAAATACAAAAGAGAACTATGTTGCTGTATTTGTTTCCTCCGTCTTCATTCCAAATTAAGGAAATTTTATCATTCTATTGTTTATTTGTTATAAAATATTTAATGTTTAATCCTTACATTGAATTTGAATTATATCAATAGTTTAATGCTGGAAATTCTCACTAATACTCTCGAATGTTATAAAAAATTTTAAACATTTGATCAAATTATTTGAAAATAGTTACATAATCGAGCCAATGTCCAAAGTTCACCTATACAATGCATGGAATAATGAATATAATATGTGTCAATATCTGATATTTTCCTTGAATAATGTAATTTTCGAAGCATATACAGAGATATAATTGGTTATGAACTAAAAACTGTTCAAGAATAAGATTACTTTATTGAACTCCTATGTTAAAAGTTAAGAATCAGGTATAATTTTTGAGATAATTTTTGATAAATTATATTGAAATGATAAACAGCTAAATAATGCGAGTAAATTAAATTTTCTAAATAAAAAGACTTTATATAAATGAAAATAAAAATTCTATAAAATTATTTCTTCTGATTCTTCTTATTCTGATGTGCCTTCAATTTCAAGAAGGATGCTGTCTTCTTGTTCTTATTCTCCTGAGGACGAGCGGTCTGTCCCATGAAAGAAAGGTTCTTATTCTTGTTTTGTTTCTCTTCTCCTTCTTCTTCCTTCTTTTCCTCCTTCTTCTCCTTCTTCGGGAACTTCTTATTTTGTTTGTCTTCTCTCTTCTTCTGTTCCTTGGCCGCAATCTCTGCTTTCTTCTTTGCAGCCTTTCTTGGTGTAGATCTTTCTACTCTCATCTGTTTCTCTTCAAGGAAAGTACCGTCAAACTTGAGAGCATCATCAACAGACCTCTCATCAACGAATGTAACGTAAGCAACGTAACGAGATTTTCCTGTTTCGCGATCTCTTGGAATTTTAACGTGATCGATTTCGCCTGCGTTTGAAAATAGCTTTCTAAGCATATCTTCTGTAACTGTTGGCTTCAATTGTCCTATAAAAACGGTTCTATTCGATTCTTCATTTGATATTTTTTCAGAAACGTTCTTAGGTGTAGCTTTATCTGTGCGGAGAGTGAATCCTTCTACTTCCTTGTTCTTTAAACCAACAATTGCTTTATCACGATCTTCAACGTTCTTAAAAACAACGTAAGCATCGGCATTTTGTGTTTTATCGAAGTCACCACGTCTAACGGCAACTTTTTTATTAACTTTTCTGTCTTCTTTGAATTGAAGATTTCTAATACGTACTGATTCTATAGGTCCGAATTCTTTGCAGAGTCTCTTAACATCGTCATTATCGAATTTAGCTGGAATGTTGCCGATAAATAATGTACGTCCAGTTCTTTCTTCCTCCTCTTCAGGAGTTCTGATTTTTGCTTTGCGGGCTGCTTCAATTGCCTTCTTTTTTTCTGCAGCAGGATCAACAATCTCAACCTTCTCGCCTTCGAGGAACCTGTTAGCAAAGGAAGATGGCTCTTCCTTTCCGCCAAAGAGAGAATCAATGAGGCTTGAGTCCATTGTCACTTTTAATATGTGTCTTAAAATCTTGGGCATTTCTAGACTCATGAAGTAAGAATCTGATGAGCATGGCCATGCAAAAAGGTTCTGGCAACTAAAATCTATGTACTTATTGCAGAAAATTTGTAAAATATTAATAGTTTTCCAAATTTAGTACAATTTGTAGATATTGGATGGCACTATGAAATAAACAATATTACTATTATACATTATGTAATGATTTGATGCGCTATGAATCAAATTCATGAGGAAATACGCTTTTTTAGAAATTTTTATTACAAATAGAATGATTAAAATCTTCTCTAATAACAAGTTCATATACTTATTAATCATGAAATTCAAAAGGAACTTTGAAACCATAATAATTTTGATATATCTTATCATAAGCACAAAATTTCTTACTTGTTATCAAAAATAGAAGTCTATTCAATGTTAAGATTTGAAATTATGAAGAGTTAGAAATGTTTACTAAAGTTTGTAAAAAAAGAGAAAGTTTATTAACTTTAGAAATTCGTTTATTGATAATTGCAAATTCTGCTTGGCAATTATCAGTTGAAAGATGAGTCAAATTGTTAGTAAATAGTTCTCTTGGATGATTAGAATCTACATCATTCTGATATGTTTTAGAAATCGAATTGTCAATGTAACAACTATCAACTGTTAATTGATCATTATTGTTATCTATCAAATATGTACCTTGAGGAGCAGTGTTGTTAATAAAAGAACAACTTTTTACAGTAAGAGAATTACATAAATGGTAAATAATTCCATATTTTGATTTTGTATTAGTATTATTTATAATATTACATGAATCAATCAAAGCGTTTTTCCAAATACTTAAAATTATTCCAGTACTACTTGTTGCTAAATTATTAACAACAGTTGTATAATTAAATTTTGTCGTGTATTTAAGTGATAAACCTTTAAAATGTCCAACAGCTCTTTCTCTAACTTTATTTGATGAGAAATTTGTTGATGAAACTACGATATTATCACTTATTGTATAAAACGTATGACTACCAACATCATTTCCTAAATCGAAAAGGGAACTTTCAATAATAAAGTTTAAGTTATCTGTGTCAACTTATGTATATGAAAATTGACCTCTTTTCGAGCTTTGGCATTTTGTACAGCAGAACTTTCGTTGAACAATTGAACTATTGCTGCCAATAACGTAGTAAACGCAACTTCCAGCTTCTGTTGAAGTGCAATTACTAAATGAACACCGATTATGTAGGAATAATGTGTTTGTAATTGAACTAAAGTTGATAACTCGGTCATTGTCGCGAAAAAAATTACACTCGTCTAAGTAGTATTGACCTTTTCCGACTGAAAAATTACAGTTCTGGCAGTATTCTGTCTTTAAACTTGAAAATTGACTATTGAAGTAGAAATTCCAGGGATCGTCATCTTCTTCAGATGACTTTCTCCCAAAATTTTCCACTATGTCAAAAAATCGATTTTTAAGGGATCCCTGCTTTAGTTTACAACTATTCAATTTTTATCATTTGCTTTAAAAATGGAATAAAAACAAAGAACTGGCGACCAATATTATGAAATATATAATCAATAATACAATACCATCTTATGCAGAAATTTTCAAAAAAAGTATTCAAATATCTAATGTGGTGAATTGTCCCTTCCCCTCGCAGAAAGACATCAAGATTTGGGTAAGGATTCCGGATGGCTAAAAAACCGCTGGCTATAGCCATTTCCCCAAAAAAGCCCTTAGCCAAGATTTTAACCTTTTTTTCATATAAAAATTCGTTTTTTGCTTTTTGCAATTTTTTTGGAAAGAAAGAAATGTATTTTTATCATACATTTATCATCAAATTAGATCTATTGTTTATTTATATCATATAATTAACGTTTAATTGAGTTTCGATTTTTGGCTAATGTAAACATCAGAAATATCATGGCTAATGAGCCCCGATTTTGTCAAAAAGCCAGCTTCTAATTTTCGAATATTTAAACATAACTTTTAATAAGCTTTTTAATGAACTATGCTGGCTAAAGCGTCAAATTGCTAAAACCGCTTTAGCCATTAGCCTTTCTCTCTCAAAAAAAAACTATTAGAATCAGTAGAGCTTTACTAAATATTGAACGAATTTGCGATAGAATTTTGACTCACTTAGTACCACTCGTAAAGAAGGTGATAATTGTATTTACATTCGATTCTTTCTAAATTGAAATCTTATTACATTCTACTGCAAAATACAAAATTACATTTTCTTAGGTGAATAAATAGACAAAACATACAATCGACATTTAGGTTTACGAAACGTTGCTTCTAATTCTTGATTCAGAATACAAATGTTTTTATAACTACCAATAAATTCAGGTCTGATCTCGAAGGTGAAATACTCATTTGAGATAAGTGACCGTAATATATGGATGATTGTGAGATTGGTATGCGATAATCTGTAAATATAAGGAATTTTATTCTGGAATCTCTGAATTATTTTGCGAGGTACAAAAAGAACATCCTGTCAAATGTATTAGATATACGTGATAACAAAAACTTACGTAATAATTCACGACAAGCAAAGTTTTTCCGAGATTTAATTTATTAGATGGTCAAAAATGAGAAATTAGATGGATTTTATTCTAGTTAATCGTAATCGTTTTGCTGAGTAGTTTTAAAATGCATATAGAGCGAAGTTTAAGGAAACAGATTAGTTGATTATCTATCAATTGAGAGATTTTCATTGAGATTAAATATTACGCTTTAGTTTCTGAGTAATTATGATGTCACAATGTTCAACTTAAAAAAAAATAGCTTAGCCAAATTCCTTTCTTGGAATCCTTTAGCCATCTGTCACTTTTTAGCCATCCGGAATCCTTAATTTGGGTTGTTGACTTTTTTCAATAATGAAGATATAGACTCTTAACCATATTTAAACGTATTATTTCAATAAAAAATGAACATCGGATGGACCAATTTTGAGAAATCTTGATCAGAGGGCTCTCAGTGAAAACTCCATTGTTTAAGGTTTTGATCAAATCTCTTCTTTTTGATATCTGAAACGACATATAGGTAGATAATGATATGGTCATGTTATGGTCCTGCTTATTCATAGTGATATCTATTCTATCAAGAGAAAATAGACCTCGAATTGCCGTAAAAGAGCGAAGTTTCACTTTTATGCAAACTTATTTTCCCATTTTTGATTCATTTATATGAAATAATGATGTGTAATTATTCTCTAATTTAAATCAATTGTTTATTTGGTTAATGCATAAAAGAGAGTTCACCATGTAAAACTTATTGTCGTAAAAATAATTGAGCCTAAACTTAAAGCTCCAAAGAGGGAGCTAGCGATTCCTGTTAAAAGGAATTATCTAATACACGATTCATATCAAGCAAAATTTATCTTCTTGGACTATTTTTGTTTGGCATGCAAAACAAATAAGGCATGCTCCCAATAGAGTGAGCTGAGATTGTTAGTAAAAAGTTTTTTTTATCAGATTAATCAAAGAATGAAATTCCGATTTGAAATACGAAAAGAAAAGTCAGTATCAATCCTTGTGGAATCTTGTCTATGATTCTCGAACTCAGCGGAAAAGTCAAGATTTCGAAATTTTCAGTTCAATTATGTGATTTTATAACTCAGCAAAGAGAACTAGAAAAAACTTACAGTAAGAAGATAATGAACATTAAGCTATGTAAAATTAATATTAAAAATCAAAATAGAATTTAGGTAATATCAATTATATGTATAAGTCAATTTCATCAACAGTAAATTTATAAGCCTATTCTATAGGAATTGAGAAGTGTTTCCAAGATTTGCTAAATTAATTTGTATAAATCTATTTCTTTTGAGGTCTAAGATGTATGAAAGTAGACAAATACCTTGTTTCTAAGGGTGTGTGCAAATGATTATGATTTAACAATATTCCGAATTGGGCGATAGAGACCTTTTTGTTGATCAGAAATCAACTCCCGCCACTTTTTGAGATTTTTCTGGTCAGAATTGAACTGCTTCTTTTATTTCAAAAACTTAAGTATTTAGTTACTGATCTATTTTTCATTGTAAAAAATGATGGATGATAAAAGGAAAACGATTATTGTAAATCCAAAAATTGACAAACAGTGATTTAATGAAATCAGTCAATTTACTTGTTTTAGGATCTGCAGCTGTCGGTAAATCAAATCTCAGTCTTCGTTTTACTCAAAATTGCTTCGAAGAAGAGTACGAACCAACAATTCAAAACATCTTTCAAAAAGCTATAACATTAGATAGACATACATATCAATTGGATATTACAGATACAGCTGGCATGGAAACAGGCGATGTTATGAGACCAGTTCTGTTTAAATCTGCTGATATTTTTATTTTAGTTTATGATGTATGCGATAAAACAACATTCGAGCATATCGAAGGACTTCACGAGGATATAATTAGAATTAGAAGATTGGAAGCACCAGTACCTTGCATGATTTTAGCTAATAAGGTTGATAAGGTTGATGAGCGTGAAGTTTCAACAGAGGAAGGTCAGAAGGCAGCAAAATCTATGAATGCGGCATACTACGAAACATCAGCTAAAACTGGGCAGGGCGTACAAGAAGGCTTTGAACAGGCAGTTCGCGAATTCTTGAAAACTAAGCCACAAGAAAAACCATCTAAGCGCTGCTTGCTACTTTAATGCTTCTATTTTAAGATTTGTTCACAATACTTATTAAAAACTTATTATATTTCAATAAAATTTTCATATCTTTACGTTTCCATTAAATTTTTTCTAATTTGGCTTAATAAAATAAAAGATAATTTAAGGATTCATCTTAACCGCCGCATTTCTGGGATCAATGACCTTGATGATAGCAATTTCGAATATGATATTCTCATATTCTTTTAAAAACAAGAAATATAGCTACCAAAAGAAGATTAAATGATGATCTAGGATAATGAATTGTGCAACTCAAGTTATTTAATATTTTGCGATTCAAAAAAGCAATTTGAAAAGAAATTGTATGGGAGCAATACATTTCTACATGATGTATGTTCTGGAAAATGATCCGAAGTTGCATTTATGCTCAAATTTGATGGTATTTCTTTGAAATTTTATAGATTTTTAATTATATAAAATCTTCACTATATAGAAAATTTATGTTCTTGAAATAAAGAGATTTCATCCAATTAAATTTTGGAGAAATGTCACTTTTTATCAAAATAAAAAATGGAAAATGAAATTCAATATCTTGAGCGAATTTTAAACGAGTCATGGGACAACAAAGGAATTGAAGACAAATTACAAGTACTTAAGCATATTTCAAACGTTATATGGAACATTAAAGACGATAATGAAATATTAAATTTTATTAACAAATGTATCAGCTTAAAGATATTAAATTCAGACAATATTATCCAGCTTATCGATGTTGCAGCATTTAGAAATGTCAAAAATACATATAATTACGCGAAATTATTAAAATCTTTTATTGATAACGAAAAGAAAGAGAACATTAAGATATTTTCAAAGAATCTTCAATATGTAATGGACCACTATAGTGAATTAACGCGTAATGATGACTTTTTAAAGAAAACAAGTTCAAATTTAGAATTTTCCATAGTAAAAGACGAAATAACTGAAGAATCCAAAGCAAAGATTAAAAGAGTCAAAGATATAAACGCATATCTTGTTCTTGCAGCACGATACGGATCATATCAATGGTTCAATTTCATTTTAACAAATTTCGAAGTTAAAATTACAGAAGAAGTAATTATTTCATCATTTTTCGGCGGAAACGAAGAAATTGTTGAGATGATGAAGCCTCACATCGATCAGGACAACAGTATATTGATGACAAACATCGTGAATGCAGCAATCGAATCTCGTCATCACTTTTTAATTCAAAATCATTTCTTTGACAAAGTAAAAACTGTTTGGAGACCTTCTTTATCAACATTTAACATCGAATCTTTCGAATACCAATTAGCGAAAAACACGCAAACAAACAAAGAAGAAAACCACAATGACGAAATATCAAACAAAGAAGAAATTGAAAAATCAAACAAAGAAGAAAATAAGAATGAAATGAATTCTTTGAATGAAGAAAGTTTTGTTAATACAAATGAAAAGTTTATTAATGCAGTTGATAGTGAGAATAGAAGTGCATTGCATTCAGCAGTTGAAAACAATTTACTTGTTGTTGTTGAGTACTTAGTTGAAAAGTTAAAATCAAACATTGATTGTATTAATGAAAATTTAACAATGCCAATTCATATTGCATGTTTCAGAGGATATCTCGACATTGTCAAATACTTGTGTGAACGAGGTTGCAATGCTAAATCATTTGAAAACTCAGGATATTGTTCACTCCATTGTGCAACAGCAGGTGGCCATTTAGATGTCGTCAAATACTTGATTGAAGAAAGGAAAATTGATATTAATATTGTCTCAAACAAAAATATAACCGCATTGTATTCATCAGCACAAGATATTGACATCATCAAGTACTTAGTTTCTAATCATGCTTGTTAATACAGCAACGGCTGATAAGAGATGTCATCCGATTTCGAATGCAATCATTTCTAAAAACTTTGAAATTGTAAAATATCTTCTTGAAAACGGTGCAGATCTCAAACAATTCGAGAATGGTAAGAAGACACAATTAATGATTGCATGCGAATATTCTACAGCAGAAATCACAAATCTCCTTTTGAGCAAGAATGCAGAAATCACAACTCGCGATTGTTGTGGTTCTACTGCACTTTATTATGCAGCAGCAGCTAAGGAAGAAAGTCCAGAGAAAACATCTCTCATCCTTAATCGAATGAAAGAAAATTCTAATTCTATCAAAGATTATGTCAATTCTAAACAGAAGTGGGAATTATCACCATTGATGTATGGAGCGATGAATGGAAATGCAGAAACAATCAAACTTCTTCTTGATAATGGTGCAGATCCAGATCAGAAAAACCGATTTGGTATGACTGCACTTCATTATGCATCTCGATATGAAAAGTTTGAAGCAGTTCGCGCACTCACCGACTACATATTGAGAGAACAAGGCAGACCTGCGAGTGACATTGACATTCCAGATGACAGTTCATTCACACCTTTCCTCTATTCTTTGAAATACAATTATCGAAATGAAATTTCTAAGTATTTGTATTCTCTTTATCCGAATGTAAAAGAACCATCTTCACTTAAAGGTGCCACAAGTACAGAGATAGCTGAACTAGAAATCAAAATGAATCAATTGTTCCCAAATCATAAAAAATATTAAATTTTGTATTTTGTTTGAACACATTAAATATTCAAAATATTTCTTCATAATAATTTATAACTTGGACACATTAAAAATAGAAGGTGATATTGATATTATTGGTGATTTATGAAGAGTTTTTAATGTTTAGTAAAGAAATGAAGAAAAGAGAAAGTTTATTAACTTTAGAAATACTTTTATTGATAATTGCAAATTCTGCTTGGCAATTACCAGTTGAAAGATGAATCAATTTGTTAGTAAATAGTTCTCTTGTATTAGTAGGTACTACATTACTAAGAAATGTTGATGAAATCGAATTGTCAATGTAACAACTATCAACTGTTAATTGATCATTGTTAAATATCAAATATGAACCTTCAGGACCAGTGTTGTTAATAAAAGAACAACTTTTTACAGTAAGAAAATTATATAAATGGTAAATAATTCCATATGTTGATTTTGTTATGGTATTATTTATAATATTACATGAATCAATCAAAGCGTTTTTCCAAATACTTAAAATTATTCCAGTACTACTTGTTGCTAAATTATTAACAACAGTTGTATAATTAAATTTTGTTGTGTATTCTTTTGAATTACTGCTAAAATATCCAACAGGTCTGGCTGTAGCTTTATTTGATGAGAATTTTGTTAATGAAACTAGGTTAGTGCCACTTTCGGCTGTAATTATTTCTGTACCAACATTTTCTTTACCTACATCGAAAAGGGAACTTTCAATAATAAAATTGATTTTATTTGTGTCAACTTTTGTAAATGAAAATTGGCCAATTTTAGAGCTTTGGCATTTCGTACAACAGAATTTGCGTTGAACAATCGAACTATTGCTGCCAATAACGTAGTAAATGCAACTTCCAGCTTCTGTTGAAGTGCAATTACTAAATGAACACCGATTATGTAGGAATAATGAGCTTGTAATAGGGTTAAAGTTGACAACTCGGTCATTGTTGCGAAAAAAATCACACTCGTCTAAGTAGTATTGACCTTTTCCTGCTGTGACATTACAATTCTGGCAATATTCTGTCTTTAAACTTGTAAATTGATGATTGAAGTAGAAATTCCAGGGATCGTCATCTTCTTCAGATGACTTTCTCCCAAAATTTTCCACTATGTCAAAAAAACTAATTTGTAAAAGAGGGAAGTTTCACTTTAATTTTATAATGATGAATATTTTGAGCACATTGAGTCCATTTGTATAAGGATGTAGTTTTATTAAATCAATTCAATATTTTTTCATAAATCAATCATGAATGAAGATGAATTATATACGAATTCATTAATCACTACGACTCATGGTACAAAGAGATGGATATGTTTTCATCATTAATTAAAATGGTCAGATTGTTCATTGATTCGGAATATTTTCAAAGGTCTTCTATATATGAAAATTCCGACACATGTAATATTACAATCAATAGTAACACATTTTCAGTTTCAATGAACCAAGCTCTTTGTTTATCAGAGAAGATTGCAACATCATACATCACAGATAAATGTAATCGCAATTTTTCGTTTAAATGCCCAGTAAAATCAGATCAAAGCTACGAATTACTTCGACAAATCATATCACAAGGACGAATTTCATGTGAAATCACAGAAAACATCACAAAAGATCTATTTGAGCTTGGTTATATTCTCGGGAATCGAGACTTAATGAAACCATTCATCAATTCAATCAACTCTAACGAATTATCTCTTGTTAACGTTTTTGATGTTTTAGAAATATCAAATAAATTCGGCAACATCAATCGCGAGATATCATACATTGCATCACACTTATGTGATTTTGAGACATCCTTTCTCATTTCTCGACTTTCAGATTTAGAATTAAACCTTGTTGAACTCATTTTTCAACATCCAAAACTAAAGATCACATCAGAAGATTATATTCTAGATATAATAACTAATCTTTGTTCAATTAATGAAAAATATCTCAAACTTTTTGAATATACGAAACCAGAATACGCAACAACAAAAGGTATTCATAAATTTATCACACTTATTGATCGTATTATAAACAAAACAGACAATTTTCCATCAATATGGTCATTTACTCGAAAAATACTAAAGCAAATTAATTTTCCAATAAAAATTGATAGCAATGAAACAAAAACTTTAGCAAATAAATCGAATACAATTACTGAAGAAACAGGAAATAACCAAGAGAAAGAAAAATCTTCATCTTCTCCTCTGAAGTTACCAAATATTCCATTACTTTCGAAATTTTTACCATCAGTTAACAACGATAATTATCTTTGTAACATTCTTCGTCAAGGGAAAGGCACGATCACAGTTAGTAGTGATGAAGAAGGTAAAGCAGAACAAATCAACAGTAATGATCCAGACAGTGATTTTTACTCTAAAAACATTGCTAATTCATGGGTTCGTGCTTCACTGGATGGATATGTTATTCCATCATCATACACTCTTCAATCTACTATAACAGATTCTTCCATGCTCTTGAAATCTTGGAAACTCGAAGGCATCACAGCACAAGGTTCACATGTTGTTTTAGATGTTCACAACAATGATAGTTTTGATCAAGGGGAAATTCGAACATTTGATTTAAACACACAAGACAAGTTTGTTGGATTCATTCTCACACAGACGGACTACAACTGTGATGGTGACTACGAACTTGCATTAAATATTTTTGATATTAGCGGATTCTATTCGGATAATTAGTTATCATGTTTCTTTTTTTTTATGCTTGTAAATCATAATGTATTTAAATTATTTATCTAGATATTAATATTTTCAACTATTCAATCCTCAAGTATCATGATCTCTTAAAAGATTATCTTGGGATTTACCTTTTGAACAAGAAGTAAAAATATAGATACAGTAGTAAATATTAGCATTTTATTGTTCTGTATGAATGCAGGAGCTGTCATTGAAGATTCATCTTTTTTATTTTGGCTTAGCATTTTATGATAAAGAGAGTCCAACTAATATAGGCCATTTACGCAAAGTTGAAAAGCGTTTTCAAAATGAATTCTTCACAATTCCAAATAAAGGATGATGATGGAAATACACCACTCATTCAAGCATCAAAAAGAGGTCAGCTTGAAGTTGTTCAATATCTAATTTCTGTTGGAGTTGACACAGAAGCAAGGAATAGTGATTGATCCATTTCTTCAGTGCCAAATTTCTTCTTCTGATAATGATGATGGAACTGTAGTCTTTTATGTATCAACTAATATTGATTATCTTGAAGTTGTTAAATATTTTATTTCTATTGGAGCTGAAATGGAAGCAAAGGATGATGATGGAAATACTCCACTCATTTATGCATCATGTAATGGTAATATTGAAGGTGTTGATAGTCTTATCTCTGCTGGAGCTAATATAGAAGCAAAGAATAATAATGGATTTACTCCGCTCATTATAGCATCAAAAAGAGGTCAGCTTGAAGTTGTTTAATATCTAATTTCTGTTGGAGTTGATATAGAAGCAAAGGATAATAATGGAAATACTTCACTCATTCTTGCAGCAGAGAACGATCATTTTGAAGTTGTTCAATATCTTATTTCCATTGGAGTTGATGAAAAAGCAAAGAATAACCATGGTGATTCTGTCCTCTCCCTTGCAAGTGATGATGTTCGTGATTATTTGATTTACATTGGGGAATAAAATTATAATAGCATGTGAATAAAAGTGCTGAGCTACACTCATAATGGAATTAAAAAAAATATTTTAAATTTTAATGAATAAATACCAATATTTGTTATAATTGCAAGATACAAAATATAATGCAATACTTTTTCTTGATCTATTTTAGATTTTAAAGAATAATTGAAGGGAAATGAATTCATCATTTTTTATTTTCATCATTTTGACTCAATTTTAATGCATAATTAATCATGTGCAATTGTTCTTTAGCTTGTATTTGATATCATCAAGGCGAGTAAAAAACGCGGGCAATGTTGTCACTTTTATATTAAAAAAATAATGTTGTTACTTCTTTTTTCCTTATCTTTAGCATCTGAGGGAACATGCTCAAAGAAAGGTCCATATTGGGACAGAGTAGGTGAATGTGTTTCTAAAAAAACACAATTAGTCTTCACTCCATTTACATTTGTAGTTCATAAAGTTTGCAACTTATTTAGACGCACGCTGAAAATGATTTGGTTCATATTCAAGTTTTCTCTTTGCAAGTTTAAGTTGTTTATTAATTATTTATTCGGTCACAAAGCCGTTAATCCCGAAAAACCTATTATATCGCCAACACCTATTCCTTCACCAATTCAAAAGCAAACGCCAACACCATCACCAATACCAACGCCTAAACCAACAGCTACACCAGCTCCGACACCAATTCCAACGCCAACTCCGACACCTAAGCCAACACCTACACCAACTCCAATACCAACACCAACTCCGAAGCCAACACCAACACCAACACCTATTCCTACACCAACTCCAGAACCAGAGCAAGATGATAATGACCCATATTGCAAGGACACGAAATGCAAGAAGAATTGCATGGAAAAGGAGAAGTTTGATGAATTCAACAAGAAATTAGATAGAACACTCAATGATGCTCAGAATCTCAAAAAAGAGGTCGATAAAATGAATCTGTAATTTGTAATTCTATTAAAAATGTTTTCTTTTACTAATAAACCTACTAACTTTCATTCATTTTAAGTTTAAAAGTAATATTTTCCTATTTGTTACAAAAACATTGATCAAATCATCATAAATCTGAATTAACAAGTTCATAGTCTTTTGTTCATTGTATATTCTGGATGTTCATATAATTTCATCATATCAAGAGACAAAGAATTCGAAATCTTGTAAATTCTTAATTGAATATTCCATAAATTTTGTCTTGAGGCTTTACAACGATTTTATTGAATATGATTTGTCATTATTTGATTTCAAATTCAATATTGATTAAAAAAACTTTTAAAATCGATGAAGTTTCATTTGTCTTTTGTAAGCTTACTCATCAAAAGTAATTCTGCAAGATAAATAATATATATTTCTGTAAATAAAAATCGAAATATAAAATTATAGAAAAGTGACTCATTTTTTAGATTGCATATAAGGAGATACCTCATTCGTCCTTAGTAAAACGCTCTTTGGTAACTCCAATTGTACCATCCTCGTTAAGGGTGTATATGTATGCAACAGCGGTTGTTCCTTGGACATTTAAGAGAATAAATGTTGGAGTTGGCTTTGGACTTAATGGTGTGAAAGCACCAGTAGCTGTTCCAGGATCTAAGTAGAAGTGGTTATCATAGACATAAGCGGAAGCTTTATGTGTTCCGCCATGGATAAGAATATCGACATCGAGTTCGCGCTGCTTGAGTGCGTAGGCAGCTGGGTCGCGTGGTGGCAAAATGCCAACGCTGCTAACAAGGCCGACTCTAAATCCGCCAATTGTGAGAACTGTCTGATCTATGTTAGAAACGCCTTCATCATCGAGTTCACCGCGAACAACGACAATTTCATTGCATATTGTTCTTAAGTAATCGAGCTCTTCTTTAACACAAACATTTCCTGTGCAAAGAATTTGATGGATTTTGTTTGGACCAAGTTTCTCACGAAATACCTGTGATATTTCGTGTGCTTTGTATGGAATAAACATGTCGCCGATGATGAGAACGAGCATTTGAAATCTTTTCTAACCGCTGTGTCACTTTTATTTCATAGATGAAGATGCCGAATCAGAACTATTGTAATCTCGTTAGCAACTGATAACCATAGAAGCGAGATTTTCGCATTTATGAAATATAAATAAAATGGAATTGAATGGCAACTTTTGCAAACTTCATTTCTGTTTCAAAAAATCATGGCTTATCTCTTTCATATCGATACGAATTGCAATGGTTACTCGATAGATATAAAAATTTATCAAAAATACTGATTTCATTCAAAAATAATCTTTATTTTAATGAATTTTGCATGAATTAACTAATGGGTGAATGACATAGAACTAAAATAATTTATAGTATGCCGTCTAAATTACATTACTAAAGAAAATATGCAATCGTATGATTTCATATTTTCTAATATTATCATGAAAATGAAGATCTTAAGCATAAAGTCAATATTAAGTGTCGAAATTAGTTACATGAGCATAAAATTATATTACTAAACTTGAAATTTTATAAAAAATTAGTTAATTATGACATAAATATATCTGTATTTATCAACACAAAGAAAATATAATGATTAAGAAACTTAGAGTTCCGGAATCTCTTTGGCGTGTGATAATCTTCTGCTCATATTCTCTGCTTCTTCATTTTCTTGTGAAGAAGAAGAGACGTCGTCGTCCTTTGTTTCCTCCTTTCCCTTTGGCTTGAAAACAATTACACCAAAGATGATGGCGAGGACCTGAATTCCGACGAAGAAAAGGAAAGCGTAGCCAAGAGTCAATCCGGACTCCAAGTAAGGCCAAATGAGGCATACAATGGTAGATAGAAGCCAATTTTCAGCAGTTGAAACAGCCATGGCATTTGCGCATAATTCAACTCTGAAAAGGTTTGCAGCTGCAGCGAAAGGAATTGGACCTGTTCCAATACCATAAGTAAGCTGTTCTAGGAAGAGACCAATCATAAATACCCATGATGGCAAATTAACTTTTTGATGAAGGCACAAAAGAACGAAAGAAATCAACTGACCAAGGGATGAAATAATCCAACAGATTCTGTGACCAAGTTTGTCGACAACAATAGCTGAAAGAATCGTAGAAATGAGTTGGATAACGTTTGTAAGAATACCAATCAAACTGGTCGAAATTGTAAGCTTTGCATTGGTAATAATGATCTGCATGTTAGACATAACTGCATTGATACCGGAGAACTGCAAGAAGAACATGCATAAGAAAGCGATGAATAATTCTTTCTTAAACTTCAAGAGATGAGAGCAAGAAACGGTAACTGCTGCGATTTCTGGCTCAGGGATAAAGAGGAATGAGCAGGCGAGAATGAATGATGGAAATGCGCAAATGATTGAAACGGCTTGCCATGAAACATAAATACCTAGCACAGTAACGATGAGGAAACCTATAGCAATACCTATTTGGTTCATGAAGCCGAACAAAAACTTCCTTTCGACAGGAGCAACTTCTGCAATGAAGGTTGGGCAGATAGTTGAATAGAATCCGACTGTCATACCCGAAAGAGCTCTGAAAACAAATACCATTGCTTTGTTAGTTGAGAGACCAAGAATAACCCATGCGAAAACACCGTAGATGGCCGTTATGAAACCAGTCCATCTCTTTCCGTAACGATTAACAAATGGGTTAATGATGAGGGCTGCAACCATAGCTGCAAGTAAACCGATGCAAGTGAACCATGTTGACTGAAGTTTATTCATATCAAACTTGTTGGAGATAGCTGTAAGGGTGAAAGAGGTGTACACAAGGCCAAAACCCATATCTACACCACCCATTGTAAGAAGAATGCCACAAACATAAGGATTCGAGATCTTGGGAATCTGAGGCATCACGATTTATTGGTCAATTAAGAATTTTCATAAATCTCATTGAAATCTATAGTCCTGAAAAAATTGAACGAAATTATGCATTTTATTTTCCTTATATAATGCTCAGCAATATTTTATTCTGAGAGCGGAAATTTTGAATCACCATCGAAAATTGAATTAATACCGGTTGAATTTAATGCATGCATTAAATTGAACCGGACTTGGTGATTTTGGAATTAATGAACCATCATTGATAGTATTATTCTTAAAAACGATGATTTTACATTTGATGCGAAATTGGGAAGAAGAAATTATGGGTTCTGCGAGGTCAGATTTTGTTAGATTAAAAGTAAATGCATTCCACATGAATATTATGTAAATATCCCTTTTCGAGTCTTTGATTCATGAAATCAAAAAAAAATATTATGTAAAATTATATATCTATTGTATCTGTCTATTCGTTGTATATCAATGAACTAGATTTTCCAGCTGATATGATAAAATATTGACATAGGAATAAAAAAGAAGAGATGATTAGTAAAATTACAAACATTTACAATAAATTTATCTAATATCAAATAAAAAGAACCATCATTTTCGAACTTTCGCACTGGAAGGCGCCACAGTTCTTCTCTTTCCTATCATATAAGTATTTGGTTTCTTAACAACTATGCTCATTGCAGCGAATTGATTTTTATATGCTGAAGAAGTCTCTCCGATATACGATTTAGGTTTTCTGATTGATAAGTTCATGTAATCTTGGAAGTTTGCATTAATGCGTGACGTATGATGGAATGGCTCTAAAATGATTGAATGATGATGTCCGTGTTCGGAAAGGAACAGATATCCAGCTTTGTTTTCATTTTCATCATTATAGAAGCTTGATGAGAATATGGTAAATATATTTTCATTGAAAAACTCAACTCCATGTTCTACGCATTGGTGTCCTCTTATAATGTATCTGATATTATTATCTTTAAGGAATTGATTGATAGCAATTGTTCCAAAAAGCTTACCTTTGCCTCTAGGTGATTCTAAATATGTCGATGCCATTGTATTGGGATCTGACCAAAGTAAATCTGATAAAACTTCGTCTGTCAATTCAGTAATTGGTCGCTGATAATGCTTCAGTTGGTCGATATAGTTAAATGATGGGCCAAGACCTCCATGTATGCAAAGTATGTTTCCTCCAATTATTGCAGCAAGTGGCAAATAACTGAAAGATTCATATATAGGAGCAACTAAATCAATTGCATTATAGCTGAATAGGCAATCGCTATATAGGCCGTTGACTTTGGAAACACCAGTTACTTCGTGGTTGCCGCGAATAAGGAAAAAACGATTTGGGAACTTGAGGACTAAAGCATAAAGCAGTGTAACGACTTCAAGAGAAAAGCTTCCTCGATCAACGTAATCACCCAGAAATAGGAATTTTGCGTTAGAATTCATTAAATGAGGAGAAATAATTCTTAGTAGGTCTTTAAGATTGCCATGTATATCGCCAACAACATACATCGGGAGTTCAAGGTTTAATACATTCGGTTGATTTTTAAAATGCTCTTGTGCCGAAACAATTATATCGCGAATAACTTCGGGATTAAGCCTTGGAACGGGCATCTTTGTCCCAACGAAATTCAATTCATCATTTGTTGCATGAAAAAATGGAGAATATAAATGGAGTACATACTCAACAGAGCCATTCATGATATTTGATTCAATTTTTTCGTTTTATATATAATATCAGCTACATGTATAGATCGCATATATTATTGAGTTTATACTTTTTAAAATTTTAAATATTCTCTATTCAATATTTGTGAGATTTTAGAGATTGAATATTATTGAAAAATTAATGGTTGCAAAGATTGTCACAACATATATTTCTCATATTATTTTCTGATTTTCGCTATTTGACCATTTAGCAAAATATTTGAAAATGATTAAAATAATTATAATATTACAAATCTTCGAAAAATTTTCGGAACGTAAAAAATTGTGAAGAGTTTTTGAATATTGCGTGATTTGAATTAATCCTGCAAATCATTGTAAGAGTAATCAACTTCTCTTAGAAATAATGGAATTTATCAACTTTTTAAAGTCACATTCAATTCTTGAGAGTTTTAACGAGGCTGTTTCTTCATCGCTTTATAAATAAGCAAATTCGCTCATAAACCATTTTTGTGTTTTTATCAATTTTACTTTACAATTAATATATAGATTTTTCAGAAAACTCTACCAAAAAGTCATAATCTTAAGATTCTATTTTTGTGAAGAATATGACCAAATAGTTAAAGTAATATATACAATAGAGCCAAATGTAATATTAATTCGATGAAAATAAATTCACTGGTCGATTGATAGCAATATGGCAATTCAACTTTACCGATGTCTAACAAGCTCAAAGCACATAGTGATGCTGCTTCAAAAATAGAAGAAACTCAAATAATATTTCATATTTTTGAATCTTATATTGTATTTATGAGTTTCTGTATAATAAGAAGCTAAAATTTCCTAATATACTAAATTTTAAGTTCATTCCCAAATTTGGAGTTAGTTTTGATTCATTAATTTTCGAGATATTTCCAATTTTTTAAGGAAGAATTCAATTAGACGCATAATATATTAACTTTCCTTATAAATGTATTAATACATGAAAAATAGCTTTAATTTCAACAAACAACATAATAAAAATACTAAAAGTTGCCTTTCATAGCGTTTGATGCCTTTATTAGCATCTCATTTGCCTTGTTTAAGTTCTCTGATAATTCTCTTATTTCCTTATCTTTCTCTTCTATGAGTTTTTTGACCTTTTCACCAGTTTTTTTGAGCGTGGCCTCTTGTCTTTCTTTCATTATGGAAATTCTTGCTTCAAACTCTTTGGTTTGTCTTTTCTGCTCAATTTCAACTTCCTTTATTTCCCTTCTTAACGATGAAATAATTTCATTGCTCTTTTTCGTTGATGACAAGTCAGGCTTGGGCTGATTCGTCGATAAAGTAAATAGCCTATCTTTCAAGCTGGAAATTTCACTATTTATGTGACGAATTTCTTCATCAGAAATTTCTTTTCTTTTTTCTGCCCTTTCTCTCTGCGATCCAAGTCTTTCATACATCTGCAACATATGGTTCTTCTCAGATTCTAGATAATCTATGTCTTCTTTTAATTTTATTATTTTTCTTTCGTTTTTCTGTTTGTTTTGGCTAACTTGCAGTTGAAAATCAGCATCAAGCTCATTTTGGAGTTCAGTGACTTCATTTTCAAGGCTTTCTTTCCTTCTTTGAATTATTAAATTATTTTTCTCATTTAATTTCTGTTCTAACTCAACAACAGGAAGATTTTGGGCAACAAAGTTGTTTTCAGTCTTAATATTATCCAATTGCGTCATTCTTTGTTCGGCAACTCTTTTTGCTGACGAAATACTTCGTTTTGCCTCTTCAATTTTCCTTAAAGTAGAATTTCTTTCGATTTCTATGTCCCTTTGATATCTTCTTTTGATTTCATTTATAGAAAATTCTAAATTTCTCAATGCTGATGATAAATCTGCGTTAAATAGTGATAATTCTTTTTCTGCCTTTTGCCTATAGCGTTCTATTGCATTGTTGTTCTCTTTCATTGATGTTTTAACCATTTCATTTGTTTGTTCTCGAAATTGATCGCGAAACTGTGCTAAAAATACTCTTGTATCCTCACACTTTTTCTGTTTTAGCCTTTCAAGTTCTTTGACATGCTCTGTTTGTAATACTGAAAGATCTGCCCAATGTTTTGTTTTAAGTTGCTGTAAATGAGGTGCAAACTCTTCTGCAGCTTTCTTTGCTTGATCTGACATAAGTTTGTGAAGTTGTTTATTAAGTTTTTCGTTGGATTGTGCTTTAAAATCTTTTAATCCTTGGTTTACTAACTGATTAATCTGTTCTTGTTCGTTAATAGGTGGTGTATTTCGTAATTCTTCAAGTTTATCTGTTGATTCTTGCAATTTGCTGGTTAATATTTCTTTATCTTTAAGAATTCTTTCGATTTTCTCTTGCATTTTGGTTATTTCTGCCATGTAATTGGATTTTTGTTGAAAAGATGCATCTCGAATTGCAGTAAATTCATTTATTCTCGTTTCAGTTTCTTTAATTTGTTTTTTTAGCTCTTTCTTTTTGTTATTCAATACTGAAACTAAATCTGGTACAATGGGTACTGATCTTTTGGCCTCTTTTTTGTCAGCTTGATCTAGAAAAGTAAATAATGAATCAATTGAATTACTCAAAATTAAAAAAAAAATGAAGTCATTGTGTCAAAGGAGCCTTTATATGGGGTCCATTCAGTGCTAGTCTTTTGTCGTCAATTAACGAATACAAACCAAGAATATGAATCTTATAATGACTTTTCTATTTTCGCGCTTATAGTACCCACCATTCTGTTAACACAAGTTTTCCCATGATAGAATGATGCATTCATGGAATGAATTTACAATGAAATTCAAAATAATTGTACATAATAAAACTCTAATGAACTTTGTATAGTTAAGGAAAACTAGAAACTAATATAGACCAAAGATGTTAAACTACGAGCTACTGAGTTAAACAGCAAGCTTGATTTAAAAAATAAAAAAATAAAAACTAATTTTTATTCATTTTTTAATTCCAAAAGTATTGCAATTATTAATGATTCCTTCAGAGAATTTAACCATGTTAGAAACACATGTTTCTTCCGGATATGAACTGAAAGCTGGAATATGAACAAAAACTGCTCCTTTTGTCTTTTTATTAATGTTTTGTAATGCTAAGAAGTAAATATAGTTGCAAATGTATTGTCCTGCATCACGAGAATATCCGAAATCAACTTCATTTGGAATTAATTTTTGAAAATCTACTGGATTTTGAATTTTCTCTCCGAGTTTGAGATTTTTATCTATTTTCTGGTTATGGAGCACGTTTCCATCTGCATCTGGAACCCCGAAGTTAGCAATATTTTGTCCGACAAGTTCAATCTCTGGCTTTTTCAGTTCAGTGTATACACCAATGTGCAAAACAAATATATCTTTTCCTGTTAGTTTTTCGTAAAATGAATTGCATCCATCAATTGAAACTTTTAATGAATGAAACTCAACATAATATCCTTTTGATTTGAGAATATTAGCAGTCTTTTCTGCTACGATTGCTGCGGGGTTCTCTGGAACTCCAGGGAATGGTCCAAAGCCAGTTATAACAAACTTCATAATAATTTTTAAAAAAATTTCAAATCACAAAAATTTTTCACATAAATTGTATTACGACTAAAATTTATGTTCATCAACCAATGTCCTAAGCAACCATCCAAATCTTTGTTGATGAATATAATACAATAAATGAAACATATTGCCATACAAGCTTTCAAAACCAAAGCAAAATGTGGAACCAGTGATGAAAAACAATGCATTATTTTGGATATAAGGTCGCCAAAAAAAAGTGCGGAAATTAAAAACCGCAGTTTGAGTACTTTTTGAGAGTCTGTTTGTCAGAAAGTATACATTTGTAAACTTTCTGACACTAAAATTTTTTAGTCCTTTCAAAGTTTTTGACAATGTCAAAAAGTATACATCGGGGCTCTCAATTTTCCTCTCAAACGGCGGTTTTTTAAAAACGCTCATTTTTTCATCGACCTTACAGGCGTGCAGAATAGATTTGCTATTCAGCAAATTTCATCAGAGTTTAACAATTTTTCCTGCAAATTTGTATTAACATTAACCAGAAATATCGGTGGTTTTAAAAAAACTCGTTCCCTTCTCAATTTTTGAGTACGTTAAACGATAGGATGACAAAATTTTGACGATAGAATGTCAAGATTTTGATGATAAAAAATTATCCCGCCAAAACTAAAATACTTTTTAAACTTTACCAATACATTTGTAATTATATGGATAGTATTGTTTCTCATATAATGGAGTTGAAAAAATCAAGCCACGTTGGAGGGAAAGCATAAATATCTAAAAAATTGAGGGGAAAGCGATAATTTCTTATGGTGTAGTTGTATGAGTTGAGGAACCAGGTTCGATTAAATTTTATGAAAAGATTTTTTTCTTTTTTCATAAAACATGCTGGTAATTAGAATTATAAATAATTGTTTAAAGCTGTTATCTATGAAAATCATTCAAATCGAAATAAACAACAAAAATTCAATTAATTTTATTTTTTATATGTCTAAATTCTGCATATTTATATAATCTCCCATATGTATATGTATTTCCGATTCATAAAATCGAAATAGTTGGCTCATAAATGAAAATATATCATTATATTTTTTCCATCTATCAATTAAATGTTAAGATTTAGATTTCAATCTATTAAGCAATAGATTTTAAAGGAATTGATACAATTAATTTTGTTATATTTATCGTTTATGATTAATACGTATTTAATTAACAGTAATTATAAAATAAATAGAAGTCAGAAGTATTGAATATAATAGTATATCAAGTATATGTCATTATATCATGAACAAATGCTTTATTATTCAATTTTCGATAAAATCATTTTTCGATAATGAGTTTAATTATTTTACTGCCAAATAATTCCAAGTGTCATAACATTATAATATAATATGCATAGTTAAATCTAGTGAATATTTATTATTTGCCTTCAAAATACTAACAAATAAGAAAAAAGAAAAAAAGAAAACCTGAAAATTAAATCGAACCTATGACCACTATTATCCAAATCGATGATTGTACCACTAAACTATGGTCTTTTTCCCCACAGCCTGCGGCTGTTTGCCACTTTATGTCCCAAAAAAATTGAATTGCGACCGAGATTTTTTTAGCGGACGATAATTCCGACTAATGTTATTAGATCTTATTACGTTCTCTAATATTATTTGTAATATTATGGAATTCTCGAGAACCAATGTTGAGAAAAGGGATTATCGAAAAATAAAAACTGAAATGAATGTATTATTGATTTCTAAATGATAATATTAAACTAAATAGACCTTAGCATAATTATACATCATCTCCTGCGCAATTCATATTCTGGATCAATCATTCTATTAATAACTATGAGGGTTTTAAACTGAGTTGGTGGCACCTTCGGAAGAAATGACTCAAAATTTTATTTAAAAAAAATTTTTATGTTCATTTCTTACAAATTGATGATTATCTACTATAGTACATGTAAGAATTTGTTTTTTTCTTTGAAAATTTGTGGTATCTGATACAAAAATTTTGGTAGAAATTCATTCAAAATTTTCAAAGAAATGAGTGGGAATTCAATTCTCTGAAACATTTAGTTAGTATTTGGAGTATTTTAAGAGGACCTTAAAAGCAATTGTTGAAAAATAACAAACATTTTATGGGTTTTAAAATTAACATTGAAAAAATATATTTCCTTTCAAAAGTATCCTTGAAAAGAAACTTCAACGTATGAATCATTCACACGTGATATCATTCCAAGGACATGATTTTAATAAATTAACAATTGAACACCAACAAATAATAATTCAATGATAACTCTTTTTGAGAGATAAAAAGTACATCATAGCAGCTACTATTAGTTAAAATAGATTAAAAAGCTATTTTGAATAGCTATATATTTAAACAAAAATTTGAATCAAGAGCGATTAAAATTTTTAAAATTTTGAATTTGATGTCAAAATCACTTTTTTGGGAAGTAGTAAGTACATCCCGAAGAAGAAATTTACAAAGGATGAAGATGAGGAGATCCTAAAATATGTTAGAGAACATGGTGCCAAAGGTTGGAGAAAACTTGAGGAAAAGTTTGCAGAGTTGAGTAAAAAAACAAGAACATACATCTTCGAGATCAAAATAAATTACGCGAGAGATTTGTAAATTATTTATCTCCAAATATCTCTCATAATGATTGGAGTCAGGAAGAAGATGAAAAATTGAGGAAACTTTACATGGAGTATGGTTCAAAATGGGCCCAAATTGCGAAATTTTTCCCAGGAAGAACTGATATAAACTTGAAGAACAGATGGCAGAAGTTTAAAAATCAAACAGCTGTGGTGAAACCTCAAGAAAATGCAAGAAAATCGAGAAAAGAAAATGATTCTGGTGTCAAATCTCAAGACGAAAACAAGTTGGTAAAAGTAAATGATTCTGGTGTCAAATCTCAAGACGAAAACAAGTTGGTAAAAGTAAATGATTCTGGTGTCAAATCTCAAGACGAAAACAAGTTGGTAAAAGTAAATGATTCTGGTGTCAAATCTCAAGACGAAAACAAGTTGGTAAAAGTAAATGATTCTGGTGTCAAATCTCAAGACGAAAACAAGTTGGTAAAAGTAAATGATTCTGGTGTCAAATCTCAAGACGAAACAGATTTAATAGCTTTATTCACACAAGAAATAATTGAATCAAAAGTTAGTAAACATATCATGGGTACGGCGGCACTGCGTTCCACCTTACCCATTATATGTGAATTTGACACTTTACGAAACCGTTAACGTATATTTTACAACACAAACGATAACACTGACTTAACCTTAAATATTTACAAAGCCACCAACCACTTCACCTCACTAACGTTTTCACAAACGACTTCACTAATGTAAAAAATAAACGTTCTCACTTACAAAAGTATTGCAACTCCTCCCATTGCTGTGCTTCACATAACAGCTCATAATCTTCTGACTCACTTTCTTCTTCATATAGGTCAAAGTCACTGTCAAAATAAATGTTAGTAAGTTTTGACAAAGCTAATGAAACACGCTTACCGTTTGTATCGTATGCTTGTATAAACTTTCCATTATGCTTGTAGTCATAAACGCTCAAACTAACTTTACCCTTTCTCCCTCGTATCTGATAGAATGTATTTTCACGAGGAACGAAGAACAAATTCTTGAACTCATGACCGTTGTAGTTTGTTATCTCAATAGTTTTCGTCATTTATATAAAAATAAAATAAAAAATAATGATATCACCACCCTCACACGTATGAAAACATAGCACAAAAATAAATTTAGGTGAAGTGGTGAGATCTCACCTCTTTTTTCACCTGTTTTTTCACCCTGTTGAATTCATTGCTTTATAACTCTCTTCCTTTCTCCAACTCTTCTAACTTCTTCCTAAGTTCAGCAATGTTGTCCTCATGAAGTTTAATCTTCCTTAATATACCTTCTCTATCTAATGGTTGCTTTATCTTTCTAAACTGAACTCTACCATCCTTCATAGTATGAATGTAAAAACCTTCTGGAATAGTTCCTGATTTAATGTATTCTACCAAAAACTTTTGTTTCATTGCTTCAGTGACTTTATTTGTCATTTCAATCAAATAAAAATTTTAATATTAAATAAAAATAACGTTATTTTTTCAGTAAGGAAACGCAGGAGTTTTACGATTTATTTGAGGAGTAGGTTCTGGTTTAAATGTTGGAGTCGGTTTAGGAGTTGACTTTTGAACAGGAGTTTGTACTTCCATAGGTTCAGGAGTCATTGAAGGTTTTGCTTGTGAAGGTGTTGGAGTTTGTTTAACTTCAGCTACTTCAGTATTATTTACAACATTTGCTTTATTTCTTTTCAACATCATAACTGCTCCTGCTGTAGCTAGCAAACCTAGTGGGAGACCATATCTTATATAAGGTCTTGACCAAATGCTATTTTTGACAGGAGCTGGTGGAACACCTAACCTTGGTGAGACTGCTCTTTGCCATTGTGCAGCTCGTAAGAAATATTCAATAGGTGCTCCATAATCGTTTGGTAAAGTTTGTTTCATAGATGGTGAAGGTTCACGAGAGCTTGATGAAGAACTCATTTATAAGCTTTAAAAATAAACGTTCATCCTTTATTCCTCACTGTCGTCCGTAGCTAAGTTATAGTCATCTAATCTTATTATGGGGATGCCATTAGTACGCACCTGAATGGCAAAGCAACAATCCCTCATAAATCCAATAAGTGGCTTTGGTACATTTTCAGTTGCTAGTTCAATAGGTCTTTAACAGACAATTTGTATGTTATTGGAGCAGTAGATGTTTGACCTTGCTGGAAGCAAAAGTCCACTTCTGTTGGAAAACCACATAAGAAATGTGTGTTGTCATAGCTATCCCATTTATGTTCCACACTACCATCATCCACCAATGACCTCATAACATCTTCATTAAATCCTATCATATCATTGTTTGTATTGCAGGCGTTCGCAACCATTTCATAAAATACAGGTCCATATGATTTTTCAGGTTCTGCAGGCATATTTCCATAAGCTCCCATGGAAAGCTGAAGATATTTAAACTTAGAGTTCTCAAAATTAACATAATAGTTGTCTTTCTTTCTAAATAGTGCCCAAATACTTTTAACATTAATAGGCGTATAAGCTGCTGTAAATGTTGCACTTGAACTATCTGTATTCTTTGAGAATGAACCATCCATAGGAATCCAATCCATAACTTTAACAGGAAAACATAAAGCCTCGTTTGTATAATGTTCTACAAGTTCTGTATAAATGTTAGGGTCTAAAGAGAATGACTTTGGATGAATGAAACATTCATTAAAATCCATCTTTGTTCGAAATAGTTGCTGGGTTACAGTTGTAATAGTAACTGTTCACTAGCTTCTACTGCCTTCGTTATCATAGTGAATGGTTCATTCCATGGAACAAATTTATTTGTCGGTGGATTTGAATCTGAAGCAAATGCAACTTTAAGAGTTGGATTGAAAGCAATGATATCATTTACAGATATAGATGTGCATTGTAAGGCGTCGCTACTGAACTTTACTTTAAGCTGAATGTTTCCTGCAAAAGCTGGAATAAATCGAATAGCTTCTAATGGAAGGAATCTTCTAACAGGAATTCTTAAACGAAGCTTAAAATCAAATGATTTTCCTGCTGTAATTGGACCACTAACAATTTGTCCTGTTCTGCATGTTCCCGAATGACTCCATACATCTTCATGTCGAGTCTTTGAGAAAACATCTACTTTCTTTATTTGTTCGGTAGTTTGTGAGTTTGAAGTTATATATGCTTCTTCTCTTGCGTTGTCTTGAGAATATACGATACGACCATTTGCAAGGATTTGATATCCAGCAACTGCATAGAAAGCGTCATCGAAACCAATCCAAAATCCTGGTGGGTTTGTTTTATTGGAACCTGAACCAATTTCTTTATCTGCAATAAATTGACCTTCCATTTTATACGTAATGAATGTATTGTAAAGGTCCAACATATTTTCACCAGGAGGTGAGAGATTGAATGTTACCCATGTGTTATCTTTAGCAGTTCCAGGTTGTGATGGAATCTTTGCGTCAGAATATTTTCTATTAGTGTCACCAATTTGAACTGCATTGTCTATGATATCGAAATATGAGCGAATCTGATGAATATGCTCTGCTGGAGTAAATTCGTTTAGCTGTTCGTTCTGCATGTATTTACTTCAGATAAAAATATCTATTTACTTCATTATTCTCACTCTTCTTCTTGGCATTCGTGGTGGAAGTTGTTTCTTGACATTTTCAATGAACTGTACATTCTCTTTTGTCTCAACTTCTTTCACTGGCGGGTCAGGGTTCTTTGACTCGGTTTGTTTTTCAATGAAATTCACGAACTTTGCAATAAGCTCTTGGTTCGTTATTGAAAGTACATCTGGCTTCTTTTCTTCTGGTTCTATTGACTTTTCAGTTTGAATAGAAGGCTTAACATGGGCTTCGTGGACTTCACCCTTGCCATACACCTTAATGTTGTCGCTCTCTGCATTCGCTAATGGAACCTTTCTTTTTCTTACGTATATTTTACCATCTTTACTCTGACTTACGTAATAGAAAGGATGTTGTATTCCTCTGGCGTCATTTAATATAATAACTCTCGCTCTGATTTTGACAAGCTCATTTTACATCGGTTAAAGTTTTAATTTTGTTTTTTATCTGCAGTCAAATGACTCAGACAAGCCCTACGGACAAGACCCAAGGGGTCATAGATGTTGAAGCATTGAAGAAAGAAATTCGTGAGCAAATTTTATCCGAACTGAAGGAACAAAAACAAGAACAAAATCCAGAGAGACCAAAGAGAAAACTTAGTGAAAAACAACTTGCTGCATTAGCTGCTGGAAGACAGAAGAACCCACGTTTGCTGGCGAAGAAAGCTAGAGAAGAAGCTGAAGCAAAGAAAGAGTAAATGGTTTATTTTTATCCGAATTAAATGTATAGACAAATACCTTTATCTGTTGCGTTCAGTAGTGAAAACCCTGACGTCAAAATAAAGGGGAACAGAGTAACGTTTAAGTTTCCAACAGACTGGATTGTGAACATAAATGAAGAGAAGTACATTGGCATAACATCTATGTATATAACACGTGCTTTCAGAAAGGTTGACTTTATACTTCAAGTCGAGATAGAAAATGACGAACAGTCTTTAAGCGCCCAAAACATTCACATATACAAATACTTTAAAGACGATACTCTTATATACGAAAAAAAGAGATCTGACATTGTGTCAGATCTCAGTAAAAGTGACATTTACATGTCAAAAAAATAGAATGAGTTTAAGTAATTAAAATTGAGGGTGAGAGTAGTATTGTATGAAATAATATCTCTCACCCTCCAATTCATCCTATGGCGCCGAAAAAATTTTGGTGAAATGCGACCACATTTCACCAAAATTTCTCGGCGCCATATAGAGAACTAGAGCCTGTGAGGTACTGATACTATCCATGTACCTCGCAGGCTCTAGTTCCAAGCCAAAATGGCTAAAAATTGCCCGCAATTGTTCACATTGCGGGCAATTTTTAGCCATTTTGGCTGGGAATTGGAGGGTGAGAGTAGTATTGTATGAAATAATATCTCTCACCCTCCAATTCATCCTATGGCGCCGAAAAAATTTTGGTGAAATGCGACCACATTTCACCAAAATTTCTCGGCGCCATATAGAGAACTAGAGCCTGTGAGGTACTGATACTATCCATGTACCTCGCAGGCTCTAGTTCCAAGCCAAAATGGCTAAAAATTGCCCGCAATTGTTCACATTCCCATCTTTTGTTGGTAAGACGAAGAATATGAAATAAATTATGAAGAAGATAATGATGAATAAAATATCACTTTTTATATTTTTGACACGTAAAGTTGTCACTTTTCTGTCAAACTGTTTTTATCGTTTTCGTATATAACAATACAACATTGTTGCAATGTATGATTTCATTTAATGAGATGTTCGAGAAAAAGTTCAACATTGAAGTACAAACTTTACAGCCTTTACGTGAGTTTCTTGCACAACTGAAAGAAGAAGGTAGTCAGCCACAACTTATAGACTTTCATTATGAATTTAATGAAAATGAAGATGGAACTCATGACTGTCAGTTTGTTGTATTCTCACCATTCAATGAAGTCGCTAAAGAGAAAGAAAATCCATTACGTATAAGATTTCAAATCTCTGAACCCAATGATGATTTCAAGAATGTTTTCAATTATGATGCAATGCTTCCGAGGAAAAATGAATTTTCAAAGATTGTAACACCTGGCATTTGGGATAGAAAGCAAGCTATATTATATTCAAACTTAAGTAAGGGAGTTGAAAATGAGTTCATTGGTCATACAAGAACTACACCACTGCCAAATCCTAAATACTATAAATTAACTGGCTTCAATCGTGAGTTTTGGATAGACATGTTCTCCACTCATGACCATAACTGCCCAGTGTTCTTACCTCCAGACCATAAGGACTGTCTCTACATTGAAGCACAACTCTTAAATTCTACAATAGCTGTATTGTAAAATCTACGCTAGCTTTATTTTTATCACGAATGACCTCATTGCTGACAAAAATAATGACCTCATTCATGATCTCATTGCTGACCTCATTCATGACCTCATTCATGACCTCATTCATGATCTCATTCATGACCTCATTCATGATCTCACTGCTGACAAAAATAAATGACCTCAGAACTTCAACTTACGAATAAAGCTTGTTTTAGTCGTTATTGAGAAGTTAAACTTCTCTTCAAAGCAAGGTTGACATGACTTACATAAGTCAAATCCAATCTCTTGACCGTCATAAAGTGCTTTGTAAAGTTTCATTAAACTGAACTCAGAGTCTTTGTCATATGTTCCAACAGGTATGTGAATGTTCTTATCTTCATTGTAATAGCATTGTATAGCTTCAGGAAACATTTCATTTGCTGTTAAAGCAAGGACGTCTTGTTTGACACCTTTGCAACGTGCATGGAATGCAACTTCATTTAAATCGTTAGTGAGTAAGTCTATGTAGGTCTTCTTTCCACAAAATATTGACTTGTATGCTAAACTTTGTTTTCCAGGTGTTATTTCTGCGAAGTCAGAATGAAATTGACCAAGGTTCTTTCCTATAAGTTCGCGACCGTATCTCTTCTTAAACTCTGCTGCAAGCTTTGGTATGTCTTCATTGAAAATATGCATGCTATCACAGTCCTGGTAAAATATTTGAAGACCCATATCTTCAGCAGTACAGAATACTTCACACATTATTCTCTTCGACATAGATAGAATGTTAACACCAAGTGGACAGAAGTTAAAGTGTCTGCAAATGCTTTTCGTTAGCTTGAAAATAGTTTTATCTGAACCATCCAAACCTTCGAACTTCACTATATGGTTGTAGTTTCTGATGGCATATCTTATAGCATCTTTGTCATTTACTATGGTTATTTTTGACTCAATAGGAGATAGAATAGTTTTGCCATAAATACTGTTCAGAATGAGCTTTATATTTTCTTGCAAAGGATTTCCTTCTTTCTTATACTTTAACCTTAACTCAAACAACTTCTTTACTTCATCTCTTATTCTAATATCTCTGTTTCCATCGTAATAGTATCCTTGCAACACTTCACATTTGACACCTTGATATTTTATGAGGTCTTGTAATGTTATATGGTCAAATACATGAGACAGCAAGTGTTTGAACTTCTGGGAACGTTAAGTTCTGGATTTAGTTCAGGGTCACAAACTATTAAAGGAAAGTGTCTATGTATTCCAATCTCTGTTATCTTAATGAGAACAAAGAAGCCGGACATAAACTTTTCACCAATGCGTTCCTTTTGGTCGTCATCGAATAAATGTCTCATGAGATACTCTGTGCTTAGCATCTCATCCTTCAATACTTTTGGAATTCCTTCTAAAGTATACAATCTTGCTATAGCGGATGGATATAATGAAACAGCGTCGAAGTCAGCAATGAGTTTCTTTTTGCTCTTTTGTTTCATGTTATCTGACAACATACATCTTCCACCTTGAATGCATCTCGAAATAAATTCTCTTGGTTTATTTGAGAGGTCATAAAGATTTCCATTCGGGAAGTACACTCTGTTCTCAAATAATTTGTTAGCAATTGAACAAATACTAACGTAGTCATAAACGTTTAAATCAAATTCTTTCAATATGTCATTGCGGAACTTAACAAAACCTTCTCTTAAAATTCTTACATCTTGTTTGCAATAAAACGTGCTATATTTTTCTATGTCGAAGTGGTTCTCATCTATTCTGCAACCTTTGATGGAATCTATGTTCTTCATGAACGTTTCAATATCTTTTACAAACTTACATGTTTCAGAAATGACACCAGTTCTGTTGTCATTTGCTAACAAAACACTGCTGTAGTAGTTGTATGGAAATACTTCTTTCGGTCCTGTTTGTAAGTTAAACATAGCAGGAAATAGTTTAAGTTTCTTATTTATAACACTGTAAGAGTCTTTTATAATAATTGCCCTTCCTTTATATAAGCCAGTTATTTGCATTGTTCGTGAACCTTTAATGATGGGAGTTCCTTTCACTTCTGTCATGTGTCTTAAGATGAAGTTTATGTCATAACTGAGGTTATGGAAATATATTAAACTCTTGTCAGGAAGTCGCTCCAAAAATTCTGTTGCACAGTTCTGACCCCAAATGCTTTCACTCACTGAACCATCTTCACTGTCATAACAGATGTTAAAAGCTTTATGAAAGCCATCGGTACTGCACTCAAAGTCAGCAAAGAAAACGTGCTCAGGAATGAACTTGCACTTATTTTTATTTACTTCTTTTGACTCTGCTTTCTTCTTCAGTTGTACACAATACTTTGGAGCATATGTCAAATCTTTAAATGGTGCAAGGTTCTGTTTATATAAGTCAGTCGTATATGTGAAAAGTTCTCCATAAGAAATAGGTTCGAAATATTTGCACTCCCACAATGTTTTCATAACATCCCATAGCGGTGTAGTTCTATCCATGCGAACAATGTATTTACCATCTCTCTTTGTATAAATCTTCATCTGTTTCTCAATGTTCATTCCACCACACTCCTTCAAGATTTCTATATAGTTGCGAATGAAATATGTTGTCATTGGTAATCTTTCATTTAGCATGTAGTGGTCTTCAACAAGAAGTAAGTCAATAGTTCGAATAGTTTCACATTCTTTTGGTATGTATCTCTTTATTTCATTATGTCTTGAGTCATTGAAGTAACCAATGGTAACATTAAATGCTATACCTGTTGCGTCAGAAATTTCTTGTACTTTACTTTGAGGAAAGTCTCTAACACGAATGACTTCTCTCATGTGGTCAATAGTTTCTTCATCTACTTCAGCCTGAATGCAAGCATAAACGAAACAATTGTCTTCTGTCATAAGTGCTGCAGTTCTTTTGTTCAATTCATTGAAGATTTGGTAGCGCTCAAGATTTATAGGTAATGTGCAAAGATACTTCCAGAACTGACCGCTTCTCTTCTTATAAAACTTCTTTTCACCAAGGATTTCATTCCAGAAGTCATCTATATCTTGTTTATCTCCTGTTTGTTTAAGTCTGTTCAATAATCTTTTCTGTCTTTCTGTCAGTGTGCTTTCATCTCTATATGGTCTCTTTTTTGGTTTGCCTTTCTTTACATCTGACATCGTTAAGCCTTCATATTCTGTTAAATCATACATCTTTATTTCAGTAAGATTCTTTATGTTTGTCAAGAAGAAGTCATAGTGCATTTCAACAATACCTGCAGCATTTGCTTCTATCTCTGATATAAAGTTCTCCTTCAAGAGCTGATGTAGTAATGTTCCAATATTATTGAGGTTTAACGTAGAACATTCATACTTTCCACCAAGTTTATAACATACTATCCATCTTTGTTGGGAGTTTATTTTAATCTTCTCTAAGAGTCTCATGAAAACCTTACCGAAATGTTTGTGTAAGTAGTCTCTGTTTGGTTCATCTAAAGCTTCGATGTTAAAGTCAATGAGTCTATTGCCTGACTTCACATTTCTCTTCCTATTCTCTTCATCTTTCTTTAACCATCTCTCACCTTCTTTTGGTTTGTCGTCAATGGAACGAATGACATCGTTAGCTTTGCGAACTTGTTCTATAGCGCTCTTAAACATCTCTCTTCTCTGTTGTTTCAGTGTGTCGTCTCTCTTTCGTGTTTCACCAACGTTTGCATTTGTTATGTCAAACATCTCTTGACGAACATCATGCGAAAGAGCTTTACGAGTATGACCAACGTTCGCATTTGTTATGTCAAACATCTCTTGACGAACATCATGAGGTACTGAACGTCTATGATATAAGTCAATAGCAACGTCATTTAAAGGAAATGCTCTTGCATGGACTTCGTCCTCGCCGCGTTGCGGCTTTATGAACTCATGAATTCTATCATAACTTATTGCACCATTATAGTCATTGAGGATGTCAGCGAGTGCTTTTTTGTTTGTTGCGTAATGCTTTGCTACTTCTATGTTAGCTTCTGTAAGAAGTTGTTTTATTTCCGAGTGTTCTAACTTAGACAACTTCCGATACATCTTTAGTAGGAAATAAAAAAATATTTTTGAAAAAATTAGATTAGATTTTTAAAGTTATTTTTCAAAATAATTTAATATTTTTATTTTAATGAAACACATGCAAGATTGCAAGTTCTTTTCATACAATGCTCTCGCTACTGCCATCAAGAATGAGTTCAATAATGCTGCAAACGTTAATGTTATCTTTAACAAGAAGTTTGTGAAAGAATCTAAGTTTGGTCAGTATGTCAGACCATTAGCTATCGTCATTGACCGCAAACGTTATACTTCACAAGAGTTAGCAGTAGTTTTGAAACAAAAGAGTTTCTTCGTGAATGTCAAAGATACTCATTATACTGTTATAAAGAACTCTAATATTGACTTCTTCAGTATTGCTTTAAATCTTTCCGAACAGAAAGAATATAAGAAGGGTGAAACAAATGTGAAATATTATCCTTCATCTCTGAAGACAATAACGAACAAAGATGTTATACAGAAATTCTTACCAAAGGTTGAAGAAGCTTCTATTGACATTGACGAAGGAAGTGAAATGGTTGAAGAAATAGACCCTGAAGTTATTTAAGCAAAAATATATTTTTGAATAACTGAAAGTGTCACCACGTCACCATGTGCTACCAGGTTAATTAACTTCTTTTAAAAATGATGACAACATGACATTTTGACAACAGTCCAGGATTAATGCAAAAATGAATGTTATCGTTAATGTTATCGTTAATGTTATCGTTTATGTTATCGTTAATGTTATCGTTTATGTTATCAGTGTCGAACATAATTGACGTAGGATTCATGACTTCTTCGTAAATGAGTGTAAATATAGCACAAAAATATATTTTTGGTGAAGAGGTGAGATCTCACCTCTTTTTTCACCTCATTCTCTTTTCGTTAATGTTGTCGTGACTTTATTCTTCCTCTTTGAAGTTATCGAAATATTCTGTTATTTTTTCCTTCAGTAATGTTAAGTCTTCTTTGAATGTAAGTATTGTGCAACCTTTGATGTCATAGTGTGTTTGATGTAACGTATCTTGAACTATTTGTTTCACATCTTCATTCGGTGTCATTGAAATCGGTAAGTTTTCACGATAGAACCAGTTTCTGTCAGATTTATATATTTTAGCAAGGTCGTAAAAGCTTTTGTTGTTTCTTCTGACTAAATGCAACATAACCATATCTTTATCTTCTTCATTTTCCATCTCTTCAGTATAAATCATATACTTATAGTTCTTTTCCTTTCCTTTTGGTACCGAACGTGGTATTCTTTTCTGTATGCTTTTGTCTTTGGATTCAATGACTTCATCTTTTGCTTGAAGTTTCTTTTCCATCTCTTCACGTTCTTGTCTGTGAAGTTCGTCAAGAAGTTTACAAACATACCATGAATAGCGAGCTGAAGCCCATTGTGCCACATTATTTACGAGAAGTCTATGAACATAATATCCTCTCAAACCGTTTGGCAATTTTTCACGGTTTTCATAGAGTTTTGGCGACTGGGGTTTTTTACCTACTCGCTGTTCTTCACTGTTTTCAGAAAAAAGTATGTCTCGCTGTGCTTCGCTCAAAAGTTCTTGTGTGCTTTGGTTCCTAAACCAGTCTTTAGGAAGCTTAGTATCTGGAGCAAAACATGCTGTCAAAATACTTTGCATTTGGTACATGTCATCTTTGACTGAACGAATGAGACGTAACTGTTTGTTATACTGTATGTACTCGTATTCTTCATTTATGACTTCATGAACGATAGCAGTTGTTGTGTTCTCTAATGTTGACATTACTGTCTTTACATACAAAATAAAAAAATAAATAAAAATAAAACTAACTTTATTTTCTGACTTTCACAAAAGACCAAAAATAAACGCTTTACATGTATTTTTCAGCAACTTCGTCAAATAATTTTATAGCTTTATCTATCTCATCTACTTCAAACGTTTCTTTACCTTTCGTGGGAGCACCATACATTTTCTCAAAAACTTCAAGCAGTTCTGTTTCAGCAGCTCTCATATCATTAACAAACACAACCTTGACTCTATTGACTGTACTGTCATATCTTTGAGTTATATTATATGTCCTTCCTATCTTATATCTTTTTGTGTTGAAGTCCTTCGGTTTCTGAACGATGTAAAGTAAGCCTTCACTGCAACGTTCTGAGTCGAATGAACCATATGTTATGAAGTTATATCCAACAACTGGGTCTAACCATAACAAAACTATTGGTATAAGACTTTTGTCTATAAGATATGCTCTTGTTCCATAGAATCTTACTGATATCATAAGCTCAGGATTTCTTGTCAAAATTTTCTGAGTTGAAGCATTTCTAACCCAGTCGTTTGTTTTCTTTCCAGATGGAGATATAATGTCTGACAAAGAATATTTGTTGTATTTCTTTGAGTATCTTACGTTTAAATCACCTATTCTAACCACTTTGGTGTCATTGTCTATCTTTCTAACTGTTTCAAACTCAATGTTTGTCATTACTGTCTTTACATACAAAATAAAAAAAAATAAATAAAAATAAAATTAGCGTTATTTTTCTAACTAATGAAATTCATTATTTTTGTGCTGAATTCAATAAAAATAAAGTTTATGTTAGCATGTTAGATCTAACATTCTACCCTAAAAATTATTTTTTATTTTTTCTATCTTAAGGAAATTCATGAGAATTCATGAGTTTTTGACGAAGTGCAAAAGTTCACTTCGTGTCATAATGCAAAAAAATAATGCTGAAAACACACAAAATTCATGAGTTTTTGACGAAGTGCAAAAGTTCACTTCGTGTCATAATGCAAAAAAATAATGCTGAAAACACACAAAATTCATGAGTTTTTGACGAAGTGCAAAAGTTCACTTCGTGTCATAATGCAAAAAAATAATGCTGAAAACACACAAAATTCATGAGTTTTTGACGAAGTGCAAAAGTTCACTTCGTGTCATAATGCAAAAAAATAATGCTGAAAACACACAAATTCATGAGTTTTTGACGAAGTGCAAAAGTTCACTTCGTGTCATAATGCAAAAAAATAATGCTGAAAACACACAAAATTCATGAGTTTTGTGTGTTTTAGACCATGTTAGAAAACAGGTGAGATCTCACCTCTTCACCTAAAATATATTTTGTCTGATTTACATCTAATGAAAAAGTTATTTTAGAAGAATTTTCTTATTCTTTCTGGCTTATTTTTGTCTTTCCAGTACTCCCGCTCTAATGGTCCCAGATGTGTTGGCTTTGACTCTCTCAAGTTCTTAGATGGTATAACATCTTCAACGCCTCCTTCATATCTTACTTTATAAGTGTCATCGTTTATGTTGTAGCCAAGTATTTCAATAACCACTCCTCGCTTTGCTTCGTCAATGGTTTCAGCAAGTTTGCCATTACTACTTTCAACTAATTTCTGACGAGGGTAAAACGCAATAGAGTCGTCAGCAGCTTTTATAAGATATCCATTACCTTGCGTAGAGTCTACGATATAATAGTTTCTACTTAACCTTAAACGTTTCTTTGTCAACGGTTTGTCGTCAAGAACTACACGAACTTTTGTACCAGGAATGAGGGTAAATTGTGTTGAATTTCTGATATTTTGTGTTTGGCTTCGTTTCTTTTGTATATACTTTTCTTCTTGTTGTTGTGTCATTGAATTTGGTGTATGTCCTGTTGTAAATGTGTTGAGGAATTATATACTTCGAGAAAATGTTTCATTGTTTCTTCAGTAAAGTCTCGCTCTTGGTTTAAATCTCTGAGCGTTCTTATGAAGCGGTTTATGATGCCGAGTATGTTATGGTTATGGTCTTCAGTAGTGTAGTGAGTTATGTTATGCTTAATGAGAAAATCTGTGATTTCATTGCTGAGGTATGCACTGTCTTGGTCTGATGTTAAAGTACTTGGGCTATGTTCTGCTACAAACTTTTGTAAAACTCTTAACACTTCACGAGTTCCTTTATTCCTCATTGGATATGCATATGCTTTGCGAGTGTTAACATTAATGAAGATGAGGAATGGGTTATGTCCTCCTTTTCTGCTTTGAATGAGAGTGTCAAATTGGTATGCGTCATTCGTGTTGGAGTAAATTGGTAAAAAGTAGTCGTAAGGGTTTATTTTTGTTTGATGTACAACATTTTTGTCAAAGAACCTTTTCACTTCAGCTCTGTTAGTAAATCCCCAACTCTTTGCAGCTTCATTGAACTTCTTAAATGACCTCCATGGATGTTGTTCGAATACTTCTTTCAAGCTCATTTATGTAAAGTTAAAGATTTTATTCTAGGCTCAAGCGCGTTCATTGAACTCTATACCATGCGAATACAGTCACAAATGGTGGCATATAATCTGCACCCGAGCCTGTTGGATTTGTTGTGAAAGTGTGTGAATGATTTCCTGTGGTTCCACAGAAAATACCTGCGCTTGAATCTACTGGGTCACTTGAAATATCATATCTATTCATTCCCTGTCTATCCGAACCTGCTGCAAGATTTGTATAACCTCTTTTTGTTATTGAATGTGAATGACTACCTGTTGTGTTTGTAGTTCCTGTATGAGTGTGCGGTGGAAGGTTTGCTTCTTTAATTTTCTTCGAACCTCCCGTTTGCTTTGAATATCTAGCACAGTATAAGAATTTATCTACAATCTGTTCCCACGTACCGAAACCCAGAACTGTTGCTGGATTTGTTGAGTTCATTGACGTATAAATAGAACCTATAGGATATAATGTTTGAAGTATTTCTGTCTTTAATGTTTGAAGCTCTGTTTTGTCAGCTTTCTTATCTAACATTGCTGGTAGTTCATATGCTTCAAAGTTTCTGGCATGATCTTCAATATTCCTGCAACTCTTATCTAAATTGTTAAGAGTATCTTTTACGCTTGTACTTGGATTTTCTAATGGTGCACTTGAACCAAGGTCAAAGTTCAATATTATGTCGTCTGCTCTAACAGTAGTGAAGGATTCATGTGTATGGTTCTTGTAGGCTTTACTGTCTAATGTAGCTTGAAGTTCATTTATATCGGAGATGTTGTGTTTATGAGATTTCAAAACTTTGTTCATTGCTTCGAGTTCAACTTTGTCAGCTTTACTTTTAATAGCATCTTCAAACGTTATTTTTGCCTTAACTCTCAAAGTAAATCTTGGTTCAACTAATACACCGTTAACATTGAAAGTAGAGGCATAAATTTCACCGGTATAACCAAATGCTTCTGGTGCTTTAGCTACATCATACTGTACAGTACAGCTTATGTCATAACCTTTAGCACGAATGTATTTATATCTTCTTTCATTAACATTTTTTGTCTTCGCTTCATCACTTCGTGTTAAATATCCATGGTAGTCCGTTATAATCTGTTCGTCTGAAGTTATATAATGAACGTGGTTCTTGACTTTATCACTCAGAGCTAAAAGCTCATTTTTGTCTGCTTTTTCGGCTAATTTCTCATTAACATCATTCACTTCTAATTCAACTCTTCCGCCAGAACTCTTATTATCATTAATCTTTTTCATTAATTCCGTAATTACATCATAAAGACTATATTCTGTTTTCGGTTTTGTAAATAATGAGTCAAAATTTCTTTTCATCATTACATCGCTGACATTAATGATATCAGCTATACCTTTTTCATTTATTCTCTTCATTAGTTCTGCAATAATGACGAATATATAATCTGTTAATTTATTCTCTTCATCGAGGGTTATAGAATGTTTTGAAATTGAATCATTAACTCCTCTAAATAAATCAATAACTTCAGGATACACGTTTTTAATGTCTCGAATAACCCGACCAGTATCCTGTTGTTCATGTTCTTCGTTCCCGTCGTTACGTGGTTTTATATCTCTAACCATCATCAACGCAGCCATAACCGGAGGGTTTGTTGCTATCTGTTCGAAAATCCGTCCGTTATGTACGGTATATCTAAATAATTTCTTTGTGTTTGTTAAAACATTTGAAACAAGTCTTTTAAAACCATCTACAAAATTTCCTGTTTCACCTAATGTTCTTGCAGCATTTACAAGCTCACCCATGCCCGCTTTTGACCCCAAAAACGTCCATATTGCATTTATTTCACTCTGTATAGTTGTCCATTCAGCAAAATTAATTCCTGCATTCGCTAAGCTGAAAATGAAATTCAGTGGATCGAACTTAATTCCACCTTCTTTTTCAATTTCAACGAACTCACTAACATGAGATTTTAAATATTCTTTCGTTAAAATTGTTTTCCCTGATGTTATGTCATTAACGAAACTATCACCGTCAAAAGTTAACGAATTCAATTTCGTCGTTGATGCTTTTATTTCATACACCGCTTTATCGATAGTTTTTGGCTCACCTTCTTTAGAAGCATATGAAACATTAATGAATGAATTATATGTATTCGTGAATGAGTTAAAATCAATGATTTTCATTAATGACGCCTTTAATGATTCATTTACTGTCGAATCCCTTAAAGCAATTAATGAACTGTCATTTATGAAAGGTACACTGCAAACCGTCGAGTTTGGATCAAATCCTGTAGTTGGTGCAGGAATATTAATGATATAAGTCATTAAATCATTAAGTGACGTAAATAATGTTGTCGTTTTTGATTTAATTTCTTTAGCATCTGTTATATATGGTAATTTCATTTCTGTAGTTTCTGAATTAAAGATATTCGCTAAAATGTTTTGTAAACTGTTTTGAACAGCTGTGTAAACCGTTGAATCCGGAACTCTTACGATTTCACCGTCCTTAATAAAAGGCATTGCACATGGTGTAGTGCTTGGATCGAATCTTTTTGGGTTATGATTCAACATATATTCTAATGCTTCATAAACAGACCTATATACGGTTGTATTATCTTTTTCAATAATTTCACCGTCCTTTATAAATGGCATAGTACATGGAGTTAAAATAGGGTCAAACTTTTCATAGTCCTTCCATGTTATGTATTTCTCAGTATTTCCATCAGTGATAACAATATATTTGTCAGTAAGTGTGAGAGAGTATTGACCAAAATATAAACGTTTAGCTCTGTCAGCTTCATACGCATATGCAGCTAATACTCATATTTTAATGAGAATAAAATGTTGTTCTATTTGCAAAGTACAGACCCAAACGAATACGGGACAGTAAAGCTACAAACAAACTTAGGTCTACAGAATGAGGCGCTTGCATTCAGAATGGTTGACTTCAATACTATCGCTTCATTCGTTATAACAGATGAAACAGATTTCATGGAGCTTGAAATAGATGGAAAGAAGCACGAAATAAGATTTCACAATAATGTAGAATATAAGATGGAAACATTAGCTGGAGTGTTAAATGCTCTCATAAGTACTACAATAAACAAGGATAACGGAGAAAACTTAATGAATGTTAAACTTATTGCAGGAGTTTTGAAGTTCAGTTATGCGAAAGAGTTTAAGATACCAAGAATGAGTCATAGAGTACAACTTCTTTTGGGAGCATACCATATGACATTTCCTTTGAAAAGTGTTGACAAAACGATTGAGATGAAATCTGTTCCATACGTATGTTATGGTAATTGTTTGTACATTGAGTCTAAAATAGCTAATGTCACAGGCATTTCAGGAGTTAATAGTAAAGGTTCAGTAGAATATAAATCCTTCTGTTATGCAGTCAATTCAATGTTCATTCCAAACGTTCCTGTCATAGCAACTCATTTAGGTAAATGGGTTCGCATTAGTCCTCATAATTTGAAAGACATGCAATTCAGACTTGTTGACTTTCAAGGAGAGCCTGTAGAACTGAAGGCACCAGTGCGAATGACTGTTGAAGTTGACTTTTTAGAAAATATTAAATGCAACAGCTTACAAGAGAACTCAGAGCTAAAAATATAAAGTATGAATGTTATGTATTAGGTCATGAACTTTGGTTGTTGCTGTTTGATGAAACAAATGAATTAGTTATGTCAGTCAAGAGAACAGAAAAATATTGTGTTAGTGAAAACTGCACCAAGTCAATAAGATTAGGTTTGCATTATGAAGATGAGTTCGATACTGTTGAAGAAGTTTTGGATAGATATTACAAATTGCTTTAATTTACTAAAACATATTTCAAACAAAGCTTATAGTAAGTAGATAGTTTTGTATACTCGTTCGAATATTTATACTTAAACTCAACTCCTGGAGTACCTGGTGTTTCAATGATGCGGATGTTACCTATTTTCATGAATGGTGGCGTTTGACCACAGCATTCGATTTCAGGGTCGAGATAGTCAATGACACATTGCTTTCCTGTTATTCGTGATATAATATTTTCAAGGTCCTCCTTTGTTAGAATTATTTGGTTCTTACTTATAAGATTTGTCAAAAGCTTCTTATCGTCTTTGAGTAAAATTGTTTGGTATAACTGAAGAAGGTAATGGTCTAAGTTATCTGAAGGATTTGTTTGAACATTTGTGTAAGGGTTGTCGTTGGCTTCTCTTGAAAGAACTTGGTCCAGTGGTGGATACTCTAATTTAACATCTGATGTAGCGTTAGCGTTTGAAGTTGTGTTTAAATTCACGGCGCCATGCTCCAAGACCGAAGGTCCCGACTTAAGATCTGGTTCTTTTTCTTTCAAACACTCCGAACTATAGTTCTTTATGACAATATTGTTTGTCGTTCGTGAGTCAACATTTGATGTTGGTTCAATTGGAACATTAACGGCACCAGCTAAGATGGATTTGCTTCTCATTTCATATAGAATAAAAACCTTTTATATGTATGAAATGAACAATATACTCGACAAGGGTTTGAATGTAAAGCTAACGAATGAAAATATTGTTGAATTCACTGAGACAGGAGCTGTGTATAAAGATGTAGAACTACTGAACAAAAGAGCAAAGGGAAGAAGCAGGAACATGAACAAAGGGTGGAAGCCTATAAAAATTTATGTCAATGATGGCTCAGGAGGTTCAAACATAAAGTATGCAGAAAGTTATAGAGTTTATGCTCTCAAAGGTGAAAAGCCTTCATTTAAGAACAGCTATTCTAACGCATATCCTCAAAAGCTAACGGATGGGGAAGTGGATGATATGAATGACAGCAAAAATATTAACAGAAATGGCGACAGAGATGCATGGAATTTGTTTACCATCAGTCAATTGAAGGTTAAACTTTAAAACAATGTTGGTCGTTCCCATGGAATATTTTTGACTTTAATGGTATTAGTCATGATATGAATCTCAAGGTATGAACGAGGAGAGATGAGAGACTTATATGCTTCCCAAATTTCTTCAAAAGGTAATGTTATACCTGACTGTTTCCAAATGAGTTCAATGTCATAGCGTGAGAAACCTTGAAAGATAACGAAGTCAGTTATGAGACGTTTTATGTTTAAAGCTAAAAACCTCCATGTTTGCATAAGTATTGCTACAGTTAAGTGGTAATGTCTGACTTTAGTAATGATGTTAGCTAATGGTGAGTCTGGTTTTGACACTAAACCTTTTCCGGCGAAGTCGTCACAAACTAATAAAGTGTTTGATGGATATTTTTTGAAGGGGTATTTTGAAAGTTTTGACAGAATGTAGTTTGTAAGTCGTTTCATATCGTAAATTCCTGAGTATTGACGTAAGTGGTGTTTGTCAATAATTCTTTCCATCTCCTCAGAAGTCTTTTGCATTCCTGACTGTATAAATTCAACGATGGCATAATATTTCCTCTTACGTCGAATGTAACGTTGAAGAAATTCAATGAGTTCACTGTCTGGAACTTTAACGACAGAGGCTTGAACTTTTGACATAAATGTTTTCGCTGTTGAATCCATAGAGTCTGAAGTTGCTGATATAATGATTTGGTCATAATATGAGTCATTTCCTAAACGTTCTGTTATAAGAATATGACGAATGAGGTTAAATGTCTTACCTGAACCCATCTTTCCACAATAGAAATACACACCATTTGAACAGAACTCATAGTCCTTGCTGAAAGGAAGAATGAGAGAAGAGTTAAGTTTGTCTGTAGTTTCATTCATGTCTTCATCTACGTCATGTATTAAATGCTTCATTTATCTCCATTAAAAATGCAAGTCAGAAATATTCAGAACATAGCACCGAGTCTAACTGACAAGAGTATAAAGATATACTATGAACATGTTATGATGAAACCTACCAAAATTCAAGAAAGTCAGTATATTATGAATATCCAAGACACTGGGTAGAGTATGTAGGAGGTGAGAAAGCTATTGAAATCAGACAGGTTCGAAGTATTCCAGCAGGAAGAACAATATTATTGAAGAACTTTAATGTTTTGAGATATAATGATGAAACAAAGAAGCAAGATAGTTTCCCTGTTGCTGTGTATGTGAACTTAGATACAGGAGATGACATGAAAGTTTTTAATACAAAGCTTCAAATGGTAGTGAGAGAACAACTGACTGCGGAAGGGCATCCATTACCTTCAGAAGTTACCATAGCATATAATTTTGAAACAAACTCAATAGATTTTAAAGTCATCTCTGCAAAGAAGTCAGGTTTTACATTTAATGAAGCAGATGTATATTCGAATGAAAACTTCAAAGCTATTGCATGGTTAGATAATGACGATTGCTTTAAGAAATATTTAAATACAGTGACTCAACGATGTCAATAGATGACCTTCGTGGAATGTTACCATCGACGTTTACAGTAGAAGGTTCAGCAGGATTGCTTACAAGATTGTCAATTGGTGGTATTTGGTCTCGTGAGAACATTGTTATAAATCCAGTAAAGTGAATTTGCTGAAGAATCAATATTATGTCTTTCAAACTACATGTATTCGCCGCCGAAGCATTATAGTATAACAAACTTTGTCAGTAAGTTTTAACATAAGACTTGTCGAACCTTCTTCAATGAAAGATGTTGTGCTACCTAAAGATGGAAAAGGATGGACTCATTATTGAGATGATTTTAATAGCATATTAAATGAGCTTGTTCTTGAAGGTCATTCATGATGAAATAACTGTTGTAGAAGATGTTAGCAATTGTTCAGACATTTTGAAGCGTATAGATGAGATAAGAAAGAAGTTAGATAGACCGCAAGTGGTGAGGGCGAAGCCGTGAGAACGCTTATGTTTCATTGACTTTCTCCAGTAACGAGAACTTTTATGAGATAATATTGAGAGAGATGATTTTAATATGGTGTAAATGGTAGCTTGGGCAGCTTTAGGCGCAATGGGAACAAAGCATTAGCATTTGGAGCAAAAGCACTTGGAGCTTATGACTCAGTAAATAAATGAGTGGAGGAAGGGTTTCAAAGACATTAGATGCAAATAAAGGGAAATTGGAGGCTGGGTTGCAAAGAAGTTAAGATTAAATAAAATAGGGCTCATAAATAAGCATCCAATTTGGTTGCGACTGAGTCAGAAAATGCTTTAGGAAAGGACGATGAGTTTGCAAAACACGTAAAAGACTTTAATGACCAGATGAAAGGTGAAACAATGCATTTAAATAGAGTCGATGGAGCTAAAGAAAATGTTTCTTCTCCACCAGTAGTTCTTCCGTATGGTCCCTATGGAATGTATGGAAACCCTTACGAAAGACCATTTGATCCATTGACTGGTGGAAGTAACTGGTATCATTACGGACGAAGAAGAAAGACAGTCAAGTTGGAGACAGACGTGAAGAAAGCAACTAAAAAGAAACCAAGGAAGAGAGTTATAAAGCAATGAATTCAACAGGGTGAAAAACAGGTGAAAAAAGGGTGAGATCTCACCACTTCACCTAATTTATTTTTGTGCTATGTTTTCATACGTGTGAGGGTGGTGATATCATTATTTTTTATTTTATTTTTATATAAATGACGAAAACTATTGAGATAACTACAACGGTCATGAGTTCAAGAATTTGTTTCTTCGTTCCTCGTGAAAATACATTCTATCAGATACGAGGGAGAAAGGGTAAAGTTAGTTTGAGCGTTTATGACTACAAGCATAATGGAAAGTTTATACAAGCATACGATACAAACGGTAAGCGTGTTTCATTAGCTTTGTCAAAACTTACTAACATTTATTTTGACAGTGACTTTGACCTATATGAAGAAGAAAGTGAGTCAGAAGATTATGAGCTGTTATGTGAAGCACAGCAATGGGAGGAGTTGCAATACTTTTGTAAGTGAGAACGTTTATTTTTTACATTAGTGAGGTGAAGTGGTTGGTGGCTTTGTAAATATTTAAGGTTAAGTTAGTGTTGTCGTTTGTGTTGTAAAATATACGTTAATGGTTTCGTAAAGTGTCAAATTCACATATAATGGGTAAGGTGGAACGCAGTGCCTCCGTACCCATGATATGTTTACTAACTTCAAATGATGAGTCGAACGACCTGGAATCATTTGTTGAAAGAGTATTATTTAATTCATGGAGTTTCTCATAATGTGGTATTCATGCTTCAATTCAATTCAGGTTTGTGTTCTTTTGTCCGGTTTTCGGAAAGCAATATTTCTTATTCAAGCTAATTCATTTGAGACATCTTATTTTGTTAGAAAAAGAAAAGCTTGATTTTAACCTACCATCCACCTCAATGCCATTAAAGCAAATTATTCAAAATAATCATATAAATAACAATGTGAGGAAAAAAATCTATATTATTGTGGTTTTAATGATTCGATTTCAGAATGTATTCATATCTAAAATGGCAGGTGGAATGGTATATAACCTACTGCATAAAGTGATTTATTTGTAGTGGATGATTTATAACTCGAAAATTATATTATTCAATTAATAAACAATTAAATCCTTTATGTAAATGATACTTGTGATATTGTTGATGCTATGTGCAATGCTTATGATAACGATATCCATGCAAATCTTGATCATTTCTAAAATATTGATAATGAATCAAAAAAATTATCAATAATCAGTCAAATTCTATAATTCAAATAGTAAGGCCTTATTATTTGAATCATATGATATTATGAAATTGCTATGGCTCACAATTAACAACATTAAAAATATTCAGACAAAAAAATAGACATTTCCTAAATTTGTATAGTTTGGATATTAGCAATTCGATTTAATATGCATTTGTTAGCTATATAGTTCATATAAATGTAAAATCAACTATGATTAATATAAATTAAAACATAATTCAACAGATATAAGTCATACGGTATTTCCATTTATCATTAAAAGTTTAAATGCAACTGAAATATTTTCTTTTTATACTTTGTTTGCGATAGATTTAATTTAATTCTTATAATTCAGCAATAAAGCATGTTATTGAGCGAGAAATATAAATATACCTCTGAAATTAGAATCGGAATATATTAGTGTCTGCAGATAATTTCCAAATGAAAAAGTTTCTTTTCAAGTAGAATTCTTGCAAATGCTGAAATGATTAATTAACATATAGCCTGTAATATGTGAGCCTATTAGTAAGTGAATGAAATATATCTGTTTGCTTTATTAACCTATGAAACTTTTGTGAAGGGTGGACATACAACTTTCTGACATTCTCTCAAATTTCCTGCCAAATGTTTTATTTTCTGTGTCTCTTCACGCTTGAGAAATAAAAAAATTAAAAATGATAATAAAAAAATTGTGCATGTTTATAAATTGTGAATGAATTCCAAAAAAAGTCATCCGCTGAGGATGACAGTGTTTGGAATGACTACTTCGGTGTTCAATTTGCAGGAAAAGGAACTAAAAACTGTATAAACTGCAATCTAACAACAGGAAAAGGACAATATTACTTAAATGAATGCAAATTTTTGAGGATAATGGCCGAGTTATCAACTTCAGCTCAATCAATGACTCACTGTTCCTACATAATCTTTGTTCTTTTAGTAATTGCACTTCAGAAGAAGAAGGAAGTTGCATTTACTACGTCATTGGCAGCAATAGTTCAATTGTTCAGCGAAAGTTCTGTTGTACAAAATGCCAAAGCACTAAAAGAGGCCAATTTTCATATACAGAAGTTGGCAGAGATAACTTACACTTTTTTATTGAAAGTTCCCTTTTCGATGTAGGAAATGAAGTTGGTTTTGATTCAATTGATGCAAAAGAAGGGAATATCATAGTTTCATCAACAAACTTTTCGTCAAATAAAGCGCAAGGAGAACCTGTTGGATTGCTTGCACAATTTTTATATAATAATGACTTTTCAACAACATTGAATTACTCCACAGTTGTTAATAATTTGGCAACAAATAGTTCAATCATCACATTTTTTATCGTGTATTGGTTGATACATGTAATATATTAAATAATTCTTTTTCACAAGCAGGAATGGAAATAATTTATCATGATATTAATCAGCTTACTATAATAAATTGTTCTTTTATTAACAACACTAGAAGTTTTTCTTTGATATTTAGCATGGTTCGTAATCGAACAATCATCGATTGTTACTTTGACAAATTATACTATAACATGTTTGAACATTACCAAAATGAAAGAGAACTATTTATTAACAAATTGATTCATCTTTCAATTGGTAATTGCCAAACAGGATTTGCAATTATCAATAAAAGTATTTCTAAAGTTAATAAACTTTCTCTTTTTTTACAAACTTTAGTAAACATTGGATTTTTCTCATAGTCGATTTCCACAGCAATGATACTTTTACGTTTGATAATGAGTAAGAAATTTGTGTTTATTACACCAAATTTTTCCTTTTTTATTTTTATTTCAAATAAATGTCCAATACACACAAACAGATTGTGCTATATTTAGAAAATTTTATTTAGTATGTAATTCACAAGCATTCCAAAAATATTTGAAAAAAATTCGGAGCTATTTGACAAACATCACGGGTATTCAATTTTATAGTGAACTTTGAGGACCTTGTGTGTCAAAAAAGTTAAAATAATTGAATGAAATAAATCCTAGTCTGAGAAAAGGACCTATTTTTTGGGAAAGCTTTGATTCAATCATTCTTTCATTGGTTTCTTTATCTTGATATCCGGAGAGTTCGTGATACACACAGTAGTATATGTGGAAGGGTTTTGTGACTTTTTTTGTAAACGTAAGAATTCATACAATATCGAGCGATTTTGTATCATTTTTTTAACATATGAAGTAAAAAATGTATGATTCTGACGGTTTTGATTCTTACGTTTTTGAATAAATCAAGATTTAAAAAATTTTCAAAATTGTAAGACATTTACACTCAGCCCATACATAATGAAATAAAAAATATATTTATTTATAAATCATTTAAAAAATTAAAGTTATTTTTAAAATAATTATTTTCATGAATGAAAGATTCACTACCATAATGAAATAAAAAATAAAAATATATATATTTATAAATCATTTTAAAATTCATGTCTTACATTTTTGAATAATTTATTTTTATTTTGTATGAAATGAGCGTCAAAACTAACAACGTTAAAAAATTAGGATTCACAAACGAGGAAATAAAGGATATATTAGATGAGATGTGTTATGAAGTTAATAAATATTATTTAAGAAATTGTCAAAAATTTGCCGAGTTATTAAATGATTTAGATTATGATGGAAAAATGAATAAAGATGATGTTATAAATTTCTTATATCCCACATCTGAAGAAGAAAAACCTAAAGAACCTGATGTTTTCCCTGAATATTATGAAGAACGGATTAAAGATGATGAATACGATGAAATTGAAAGACTGGAAAAAATAAGAGATGAAATAGATGAAAAAATTAAGGAATTAAGAGAAGTTGAAAAATATAATGAAAATGAAGTAGAGGGTTTAATGAATATCCCAGCTTCAGAATCAGCAGTTCAGAAATCTCATGAAGAAAGATATAAAAATTATGTCTCAGAATCAACACAAAATTTATTAGATGGCGAAATAGATGAAACACTTTCAGAAGAAGGTACTAAATTTATACGTAAACATAAGTTACAATTTATTGATAATGAAAAATACCCTTGTATCTTACTTTCACCCCTCTCGATTCTGAGAAATTCAAAAAAAGCTCTTAAAACGTGACATATGCAACTAATACGATTAAGAAAAGATCATGATATTTACACAAATTATTATTTAAATAAATGCACAGGTGTTGATAAAGTTTTTGATTTATTAGATAAAATATCAAAAGAAACCATTGGAACCTATAAAATTTTGTGTGATTGTGGTTTCATTATTGAAGATACCAATAATGTTTCATATGAAAGAACAGCACGAAGGAAGATGAAGTGGAAAGGTCTATACCATTCGTTATTAAGAATATAAAAGATATGAAAACGTATAAGCATTATATTTATTCATTTATTTAGAAAAAATGGAAGCAACCCATAAAACATCTTCTCATCATTTTATAGCTATTCATACATTCCTTTTCAAAGGTGTGAAATTAAATAAGACAGGAATTAGATTTAATGTATCAGGGTACGCATTCTTGAGTAAATTAAAATGTATTCGTCACGTCGCAGATGATAAAAATTTATGTGTTCTTAATTCATTTTATGGGCTTTAAAAAATAAACTTTATTTTTTAATTTTTTATTCTTACATAAATGAACAAAAACGGAACAGCTAAAATGAATGATAATCAAATTAGAGCAGAAGGTAGAAGGTTATTTAAACGCTTCTATAACATTCCTGATGGTGTTAATCCTAAAACTCGTAGAAGCTATTTAAATGAAGCAATAGATGCATATGAAGGGTTTGAATTTCATCAGAAAGTGAGAGATTAGCGAGAATGTTAAATGTTAATATTGATTTCTATTATTGTGATCCTCAACCAGAAGACGTGGACATAAAAAGGTAGACTTTCATTAGTGGATTCAATAATGATAGATCCAGAATTTGAAACAATAAATATTTTATTAACACAGAGTCCATGTGGAAAACTTCACGCTGACAGAATAACAGACGTTGAAGCTCACCGGCTATAAAGTTTGTCCATATTGTAAAGAAGAAGTTTATTCTATCCGTGATGACCCAGAAAGGAAAAAAAAGAAGATTTTTAAAGCATTGTGAGAAATGTAAAGAAAATAATGGAAGATTAATTCAAGACGTTCAATTGCAAAAGACACAGCAACCATATGCACCACATATTACGAACAGAAGATATATCAGTGGTTATTAGCTCATAATTTGCAGGAATATTATCAACCGACAAGATATTATATTACTTTTGACTTCGAAACATTAGAGACTAAAGAAGAATTACAACTTTCTGAGTGTGCAACTTTGAACGCTTACTTAAAACCATTCATGGTATCATCAACGGTTAAATTAAATGATAAAACATATATCGAGGAATTTTTGCTTACTTCGAGTGATTCTTTTATTTCTGATTGGATTGAGTTTTTATTTTCAACCTGTTCATTAGTTGCTAAATCAAATATTGAACAATATGAAGAATTAATGAGTCGCAAAACGGATCTTTGAGTCCTGAAGGTCTTTCAGACCAAACGGCGGGACTTTGTCTCATACATTAAATGAAAAACAGAAAGGAAGCATTTAAAGAACTTCTAGATGAGGAATTCAATAAAGTGAATATCATAGGTTTTAATTCGGGAAAGTTTGATTTAAATTTAATTCTTCGTGATTTAAACACTGCAAAATGGAAAATAAAATCAATGCTGGGTTCATCTTCACAATTTAAGCAAATCATTGTAAAGAAAACAAACGTTCATATGAATTGAGATTTTTGACATCAGAAATTATATAGCGGGTGGGACATTAGACCAATTCACTCAAGATTTCGGAAACAATAAATCACGTGTTAAATCCTTTTTCCCTTATCAATTCATCACATGGGAGAATTACGAAGAAGAATTATATAAAGTGGAACCATTCACTCAAGATTCATTTTATTCAGCATTAACCCAAGAAACTATATCAGATAGTGATTATCAAATATATCTCAATGATGCTAAAAATTTTAAGAATAGATTAGAATATTTTATTCATTATTGCAATAAAGATGTTGAAATTATGATTGACCCAATTGATAAAATTATTGAAGAAACATTTGTTTATAAAATTGACATGCTTCATAATCTTTCTTTATCATCGAATGCTTCAATGATTCGTTACGCTTTAGCATATAAAGACTTTAATCCTAATGAAAAATATCCTGAGGAAGAGATAGAATCAAGTTTTGAATTAACGAAAAAGTATTGGAAATATAAAATTGAATCATATAAGAAACAAGATGAAAAAGCAGAAAGGGATACTAAAATAATGTTTCAATGGATGATTTCAATACTATCACGATTTAATCCTTTCATCTAAATGCAAAATGTGTGGTAAAGCGTTTACATATGCAAATAAACCAACATTGGATAGAATCGATAATGAAAAACCACATACCAAAGAAAATTGTCAGTTAATGTGTTGTTATTGCAATGTCGTGAAATCAAATAAAGATGAAGATGTTCAACGTTTAAGAATCAATTTAAGAAATTACGCATTAAAAAATAATTTACCAATGACTTTAGATTCAGTTGAAGCTTATCACATTCTCCGTAATGGAATTACTGGTGGTCTATCAAATGTTCAACATCGTGTTAATCTTAAAGGAATCACGCACATTAATAAACTTTCATATAATCCAGAAACTAAAACTGTATCAAATGAGGACACCACCAACATTATGACTCATTTCGTTGGTGTTGACTTTAATTCATTATATCCTTCATCATTTTCATCTAATCCTCATGATTTCATTCAATATACTGACCATAAAATGTATATGCCGGGAAGATTGAATGGTGTTATCATTTGTGATACAGCAACAAAGAAAGCAAAAGCACTGGGAATAATTAAGAAGAAAAATACTTTATTCGTGGCTGAAGTAAAGGGTCACATTGATGAAAAATACATTAATGATTACATAAACTTTTTACCGATAATAAGAAACTTAGATATTATCACAGATGAAAAAACAATTGGCAGTTTTATGTATAATTACATGAAATCAAACAATCTACCAGTTGACCAGAAACAGAGAAAATTAACTCAATTAGCATCAACACACAACCAATATCAACCATTTTCTTCTTATTATCTTTGGTATCTAATAGACAGATTTCATTTTATCATTGATGATTCAATCAATTTTAACATTTACGAAAAATACTTGTTTTAATGAATTTGCGAACAAATTTATGAACGAAAGACAAAAGGCTGAATTAGAAGGAAATAAAGGAAAAAGTTTATTTTGCAAAATTTCACTTAATGGATCATATGGTTACGATGCAATGAATACACAAAATTACGCAAAGACTAAAATAATGAATGCACAGAGGGCACGCGTT